AAAGACATAATGATTAAAAAATTCCAATTTTGAATCAGAATGCTCAACCAGTAAAGCCTGTGCAAAAAATGCAAAATCTAACAACCCTACATTCCTGGTCCCAAGCATTTTAGATAACAGACACTCAATCTCTCTCTACTTCATGTCTTGTTTGTTAAGAAGCCCTATTTTCTTTTACACATAGTACATATAGCCTGCCTGTAGTTAAATAGCTATTAAAGGCAATTTAACCATTTTGCTACCTTTATTCTTTAGCAATTCTTTATTCTTATTAATTCCTTAATAAGAAAAATTGAGAAGTACAAAGAATTGGTTTATACAGATTGAGGAAAATCCCATTCCTTCCTATTCATGTACATACAAAATCCCCACATGCAGAATTTACTTAAAATGTATATATATGTATATATATACACACACACATACATATATATATACACACATATTCATATACACACAGTGTGTGTTGGAGGAACAGGCATGTGCCATAGCACATGTATAGAGGTCAGAGGGCAATTTTTGAGAGTCAGTTTTTCTCTTCCAGTGTGGGATCCAGGGTTTAAACTAGGGAGTCAAGTTTGCCAAGCAGGCCCTTTTGTCCACTGAGCCTTCCAACCTACAACCACAAACTGAATTTCAGTGTTAATAGAGGTATAGCAGCCCAACATATGGAAATATCATTTTGACACATTCTCAACATTAACAAGTTGCTGTTACTTCGTTGTTTTCCAAGTGACTTTTCCACCAGCTATGCTTCCAGTGTACTGACAGTGCAGCCTCTCAGCCGTTCTCCATTCAGTCGTGATTCGATTGCTAAGAGGAGAAACTGAGGCCCAGCAAGATGAAGTATTAGCGTGTGAACGGCACACTACTACATCCCCCCCCCCCCACCCCCGTGAGCCTATGGTCCTTCAGGGCTGTGTTTCTGTAAACATCTTACCATATGTGCACTATTTCCGAGTAGAAAACCCACATCTGTTGCTGTGGTTTTGAGACAAGGTCTGATCTTGGCTAACCACCACCAAGGGATTGTCCTGCCTCTGTCCCTCAGTGCTGAGACTGAGGTGTGCTCTACCATACCTGACTTAACTCTTGATTAGCTAAGACTTCTGCAAAGTTTATACCGAGGAGCAATTTGTCAGGGTATGTAAGTAGAGCCTAATCTAGAAGCCAAGCACCAAATGTGCCATTACTGGACCAGTTAGTCTTTAGGGAAAAGAGATGAATTTGGCTACTTTGGCACCCCCCTGTGTAGTACAGCTCTCCCACTTAGCTCATCTGCTGCCAGTTAAACATCAGAATTCAAGAACATGTCTCCCTCTAGTGGAATGAAATGACTTGGAGGACAGTTAACAGCATTCCCATGGTAAAGGCTGCCTAATGATTCATGTAATAGCAAACCTGACCTGTATGGTAGCCTGCACTTTAAACCTGTTTATTTTAGTTCTAATAAACAAGACGTGATTCCAACCTGGCCCTTCAGTGTTGAAAACAGTCTTTTTGAGTTTGAGATCAGCCAGGACAACACAGTGAGACTCTTGTCTCAGGAACAAAAACAAAAAGATCACATCAATCTGATAGATTTTAAAATAATTTTAGACTGTAATTTGCACAGCCTGTAGGAAGCCCTGGGTTTAATTCCCACACTGTATACAACAGGAAGTCAGGACATGGTTCAAGAATGGAGTCATGTGAGATTTCAGAGCGCTTGTGAAAAACTCCAAGAAGTCATGTGACCTCGGTTTCTTCAAAATGCGTTATTGTTCATGTTTTGGGTGTCCCCCCAGATGTAGCAGATAGGAGAGTGTGATTCAGATTATTTGTCACAGATGGCCCATTGTTACTTGTTTCTACACCTCTACGGAAACATTTTTTGTGATTGGACAACACATTTACTCACATGACTCTTCTTAACGCTTAACATGTAAAGTTGGCTACTACTTGAGACTTGGGTCTACCTCATTTATCGGCTCCATTCTCCTAGGTCTCATAGTCTCTGGAGAGGCAAACAAGAGGGTGTGGTGCCACACTCTTAGCACTTGGGACAAAAACAATGGCACGAGGATTAGAAGTCATGGGCATCCTTGATTACCCAAGGAGTTTGAAGCCAGCATGAAACGCTACAAGTGAATGAATTTTAGATGATGTTTTTTGTAATCATTTGGTCCAAGTCCCACCACCATTTACACATGAGGACTCCTTCCCTAAAGTGACTTCCCCGTGCCACAGCAGGATATCAGAACAAGTAAGGGAGCTTAAACTAGAGCTGGCAGCCCACTCCTCAGAAACGTTCCGAGCCAAGGTATCAGAGTGTGTGCTAGGATTGAGTGACATAACCTGGGGTTGAGCACTTCCTGTGGTAGCCAGGTGGCCTTACTGCAAGCCTGAGGGGGGCACACTGACCACATCAATTACGAGTAAGAGGCACGTGTGATACCCTCGCCTTTGCTTAGATAACAGAACATCATCATTTAAATATCTACTGAGTTGACTATGTCTCAGCACATGACAGGTGTTGGCATACAGAATAACACAGACAAAACCCTGCCCTTGTGAGCTTACATTCTGGTCTGCGGTTATATATGTAAGTAAATCCAATATGCAAGTTACTGTCATTGATAGAGAAAAATAACTTAGAGAAGGATGATAAAGGCTGCAGTAGCTCAGCAACAGAGAAGACAGTACTACACCAAGTATATAGGACAGGCCTCACTCAATCAGTGACTACTTAACTCTGGCTGGCCTGAACTTGCTATGTAGACCAGACTGGCCTCAATCACCCCAGTGTTGGGATTGAAATAGTGTTACCATGATGGTCAACGCTATGTTTAAAAATGAAGATCTGGGTAAAACTGAAAGTGACATTGGCATTTTTTAACATAACACGTTCCCTAGCCTCTTCCATAAGTGGAATCTGAATTTCACAAAGCAGAGGGCATGTGCTAAGTTTTTTGTGGCTGTGCAAAATGCCAGATAGAAACAGTTCAACTGTCGCAGTGAGTACCTGTAGTGCAATGTGCCCGAGTTAAAAGTGGATGATGGGGAAAGATCAAAGGAACAAACAACAGAACCATTCCTTCTGACTTGTGCAGTACGTTAAGGCAGTGGGGAAGGAAAGCGGCTTGTATTACCATGACCAGGCAGCAAGGAAAGCACCAGGATCCAATTCCAGCAAGAACACCCCCAGACCTCAGCCCCTTCCCCAGTTCTACCCTTCTTCAGCAATACCACTATCAACTTGGAACCGAGCTTTTAACATATGATCTTGGGGGGACATTTAGGATCTAAGTAACACAGCATTTCAAGACACCAACTTAGGCTATAGCCCCGTACCAGCAGACACAATGATGCTTTGACTTAGCTTTGAGTCCACATGATTTAACCTTGATGCTGGGACAACAGAAGGCACCTTTTAAAGGTAAAATATAAATCCACACACACTTGTCTAAGTGAATCAGAAGACCTGGAAGATAACACAACCGTGCACAGAGCTGGTAAGTCTGCTCTCTGTATTGTGTAAAGTGGGTTTTTTTTTTTAGGACTACTTTTGTGTTTCACTGAAACCCCACTTCACATTTTGAGCTTTAAAGCAGAAAGGAGCATGTTCTGGGATGATCAGAGTTCAGCTACTCCCCACTATAACCCACCATCAAAGTGGCTGGAAGCTGCGTCTACAGAAACCCTGCTGCTGTGTAAGGTACCTATCTGGTGCAGTGACCCTGCCAGTAAGTCTACCCCATCCACATGTCTCTCTCATCACAGTAACTCATGGTCTCGGGGGCTTCTTGGATCATAAGCCCCTGAAGCCCTCTTTACTATTTTGTTCTAACCCATCTGTTCCCTTAAGCTAACTCCACAGCTACTTCTAGCATCCTAGGCCAAGCTCCCAGCATCCCTCACCCGAACTGACAAGCACAATCATCTTCCACCTTTGCTTCAATTCTCTAGATGCCAGGACATTGCTTTCAAAAGACAAGTATGATCCTGTCACCCTTCTGCTAAACACTCACAGGCAGTACACAGTCAGATCTCACGATACTTAATTCTGATGCTGCGGCCCCGTTTCTGATCACTGTGGACATCCTGCTGCTCAAGGCCTTCCCCCTGGCTGTTTGCTTTACTTAGAGTATTCTTCCTTCTAATGTATCTGACTTGGCTTTGTTGTTTGTATCCTCATCTGTTTCAGCAGCCCAGGCTGGCCAGAACTTAGAATCCTTCCATTTAACCATTGCAGTGCCAGGAAGCTCAGTGCAACTTGGCTTCAAGTATTTTGTCAAGAATCTCGCTGTGCTGCCTTCTCTCTCCCTAGGCATTCTCTTTATTCAGCATTATCTCTATATATAATTTATAACCTCTTAGGAGAATGTTACTTATTTTGTTTAATGTTTCATTTCCCTAAAAGAATGCAAGCCATTCAGAGCAAGTAATTTTGTTTTGTTCACTGCTCTATCACAGTACCTAAAACACCTAAATGTTTGATGAGCAAATGAACATGACAAATGGCTAGATGGGAGATGGCTTATGAGCTGAGAAGTCTGGCTTGAAAAGAAATGTTAAAGACACAGTGGGATCATATGACAAAAAGCACTAGAACAAACAAGAGCAGAGCTACTGTGAACAGCAACACCATGGCCAGATGACTTCTCTTACGAGTGGAACTTGTTGATTTCAGATGTCTTTGGCATGTACAATGAAAACAAATATTCCCATGTCTGTCCAAGTGCCTTTATGTTCTTTACAAAGGCTGTAGATGTCCATCACATTAAAATTTATGGTGCTTCTGAAAACGTTTAAGGAGGAAATATATAAAAATAAAATGTACAAAGTTCTTCATTAAAATAGTATGGGTGGTTGTCGTGCACGACTTTAATCCCAGCACTCAGGAGGCAGAGACAGGCAGAGCTCTGTGAGTTTCGAGTCCATCCTTGTCTACAAAGAGAGTTCCAGGACAGGCTCCAAAGCTACCCAGGGAAACCCTACCTTGAAAAAACAAACAAACATAAATAAAATAGTACTTTAATAAATCCATTAAAAGCAGAGCTAGTGACTGACTGGATCCCGGCATTCTGGGCTGTGGAGGCAATCACATGACCACACCCAGTCTTCCCCAACAGTGAGATGGTAAAGACTCAGATGTGGTAACCAAGCGACAACTTCTGCTTGAGGTTAAAAAGTAATTGAGAGATGTCCGTAACAGAGTTCTTCATTCTATTTGCCTTTTTTGGCCTTGGCTGTTTTTTCCTTTCTTTTTTTCACATGTTTGGGGATTTTATTTTTCCTCTTCTCTCTCTGGGCTTCCTTGACCATCTTTTTTCTTTCCTGTAAAAAGCAAACACACCTCCAACAAATTACATTCATTCAGAGAATTCAGACTATTATTAGAACTAAATTAAAGTTCTTATGTTAACAGGATAAAAGTAAATGTAGCATAAAAATAACGATTAGTTTGGTGAAACTTGGGGTAACAACTTTTCTTTGAGGCTCCCTCCATCTTACTTCTTTTCCATCTCCCCCAATATCCCTGCCTTCTTCCCTCCCTCAGGAGGGCCTCACTTTGCTGTCCAGACGCCTGAGGCTCAAATGATGCTCCCCCACCCACCCACCCACACCTAGCATTACCCACATGCTAGGGTAGGCGCCTGTATTCCTATGAGGGTTATTTTTCTGTCCGTCTGGGACGTCCCTCCTGCCCTCAGCACCAGCCCATCTACCACCGAACTACACCTTGACCCTTGAACTTTGCTGAAACTGCATATAGTTAAATCAATATCCCTGTATGTTACTTGATGTTTACAAGCTCCATTTTTAAGAGAAATAAAGACTAGAAAGAAACAAATATTTGCTCAATGTCCTCAGTGAAGACACTGAAGAAGCTCCTAATAGCAGCCAAGTCTCTAATTTACTCCACAAGCAAAGTTCATATTTACTTACAGAAACTACAATTAAAGGCACTACTGATGCCTGGTGGTGGTAACCCACATCTTTAATCCCAGCGCTCTGGAGGCAGAGGCAGAGGCAGGTGAATCTCTGTGAGTTCAAGGCCAGAGTGAGTTCCAGGATACCCGGGCTGTACATAGAAACCCTGTTTTTGGTTTGTTTAAATCAATTAGTTTAGTAATAAAGGCACTGATGCTTCCGAGCCACCACACTCAAGAGAAATAAAGATCTTGGCTAACCTTTTTATCAAGGTCAGGGTCAGCAGTGTGCTTTTTGCATTGGGCGTTATCTCCCTGCTCTTCAGAGTCTGTGTCAGAGCACTCAGAACTTCCAGCATCTTCTGAATCAAAACAGGTCTTTTCCTTAACTTCACTTTCTAGGAGTGCAGGGACCTTGAAGTTATTAAAGAACCATGTTACTTGAAGCCAATTACTTATCTATTTGTTAATCAGCATGCTACTGCCAGCACTTTATATGAGTATGCCAGATACACTTTGAAGTCACACACTGAAACATCAAAAATAGCAGAATCGACATCAGGGAGAAAGACAGCATTCATTCACTCCGGTAGGACTCAAGAACACACACAAATAAAGGAGCTAGCACAAGGTGTTCAATCTTTTGACACTGCAACATGATGCTGTCATCTACAAATGTGTGGGGCTACATTTACAGCTGTAGGCTGGGCACATGTCTGACTACTAGGGTTATATCGGTGACCTAAATCAACAAGGCAAGTCTGCTGCTGCTTTTAGCAAGCCGGATGGCTGAGTTTGGATCTTGAAAGGATGTGAAATGTGAAACAGAGGCAAATAATAATAATTATAATGGTGATGATGATAACAACAACAATAAGAAAGATCTGGTTGGTTGGGTGACTTCACAACTGTTTTTTATGAATCACATTACTAGCAATAAGCTAATTTAATGAACAGTCATGGTAACTGAATAGGTCCTCTGGAAGAGCAGCAAGAGCTCTCAACTGCTGAGCTAGCTCTCCAGCCCTGACATTTTTTGAAACTGATTGTAGAAACTCCCCAAAAGATTGTATGGCTATCAGTAATACCCCAACCAAAGCAGGTCAGGATTAAAGACAAATATTTCACTTTTAATAGAATTCAGGGACACAAAAACCAGGTTCGTCTCCAAATTTAATTCTAATACTACTTTACAGTAAGTTTTATATCTTTTAAACATAGTTTCCACAGGCTGGCAAGATGGCTCTTTAGGTAGTCTGACAATCTAAGTTGGATCCCAAAGACCTAGGAAGTAGATAGAGTCATCAACTCCCCAAAGCAGTCTTCTGGCGACCCACCATACATGTGTTGTGGCACACTTATGAGTAAACACACAAGAATAATGAATGTGTTAGAAAGCAACCATAACACATGTTCTCCATACCTTCTGGACTCCTGACAAATCTTTTTTCAGTCCTGTGACAGTCTGGTATAGAATCTTGTAACAAAAAGGAAAAAGAATAAACAAAAATTAACAATGATATGTACATACTACACCATAAAACACTGGACACGATGCTGTCTCCTGTGATTCTGAGAATGTACTCAAAACTGCGGTGATATCTTGCCTGTACAAATAAAGCCTGTTGAAGATCAGAGGGTGGAGCTTGCCACTAGCTAACAGACAGACAGGAAGTGAGATGGCTGGGTGCAGAGAGGCATACAGGAAGGAGGAAACAGGAACTCCATCTGCTTTCCACTGGGAAGCTGGAGAGGTGAAGGTGGCTTTGGCTTGCTCCTTTTTCTCTCTGATCTCTCAGCATTTCCCCTATATCTGACTCCCGGCTTTTATTATTAAGACCTATTAGAACTCGTGTTATATAAAATCTATCACACAGTAACACAGAAAGTAGCTTGCACCGTTCTTATGTGCCAGGTATGCATGCACAGGCCCAATACAGTCAAAGCCTCATAGTTTTCGGGTGCACTTGCAACCCACCAGGTGACAGCGAATACTAACTCTTAACTTTGTCAGTGAAATGTTACCCACTCCACAAACAGTTCTATTCTACTCTCATCAGTAGGTCTGCATAGCAAGAGTTGTAGTTATTACTAAAAGTGCTTTCAAGGGGCTGGGAAGATGGCTCAGTGACTAATAGTGCAAGATGCTTGATCATGAAGACAAGAGTTAGGATCCCAGCACCTATATTCAATGGCTCAGAAAGTTCCAAGGGCACCAACAACCTCTTCTGGAATGAGGGCACATACAGAAATGTTTACATGCAATCACACTGACACATAAAATTGGTCTTTTTTTAAGTGTGTTTAGGCCAGAGAGCTAGCTCAGCAGATAAAGGCATTTGCCATGACTGCCTGCTACCATCCTCTGAAGCCAAACAAGAGTGGAGAGAAGTGATCAGACAAAGCTGTCCTCTGGACCTTCCTATAGGCACCATGGCATGCATGCTCTCACACATGCATCTAACACGCATAGTAATTTTTTTAATGCTTTTGTTTCATGCATGAAAATCTGGAGAATATTTCTTCTGTCTTTCTATAAACACTTACATAAACAGCTAAGTTTTCTACATGGCTGCAAAGCCTCAAGGGCTTACCTTCTGATCCATTAACAACAACAACAAAAAATATTTCAAGGGGACTGAAGAGATGTACAGGGGCTAAGAACGTGTTCTGCTCGTGCAAAGGACCCAAGTGTGGTCCCCAGCATCTGTGTGGGGAGACTTACAACCCCTCTTCACTCCAGCTCCAGGGGTCCTAACACCTCTGGCTTCCAAGGACACCCGAATTTACTCATGTGCACAAACCACCCCCCACATACATGCACACATAATTCAAAATGATATATTTTAAGCATTTCTTCAAATTTGTATGGAAATAATACATAGCTTATCAATCTACTACATTTTTATCCTAAACTTCTTTATGAATCTGCCTTTTTACTAGTTATTGTTCTCTGAACACATGCAAATGCATCCAGAAGTACCCCCTTTACAGCTACTGCGTATGGAAGCAAGTTAATAGGAAGGAGCTGACCATGTCACTAGCACCAGGCCGGGATGAAGCTCGGGCCAGTGTCTCATGTGAGAGCAGGCTCGTAGACAAAGCAAGCTACTCACGTTATCTTGTTGCGTATTCAAAGCCATGTCTTCCTCCTTCAACCTCATCATTATGTCCACATCTCTCTCATAATTTTTCACTTCATTCAAGGTTCTGGGAATATATGCTTGTTTGAACACCTATAGAGGAAAGCAAAATCAACCCATTATTCCTATACTCCTCCATTCCTTCAGCATCTGTAGCTCTATCAATGACGCAGAAACCTGTTATCTCCAACAATGACTTTCCGTCAACATTTGTACCCACTAGTTTTGTGTTTTGCTATGTGGTAAGCTAAAAACAATTTGATAAGATAAAAATAAAATTTTACAACTGATTTAAGGAAGAAAAGAGTCTATTTTAGATGAACCTTAGAATAACACTCCTCTCATACATCCTAATTTCAAAAAGCATCTTCCAAAGAGGAAGGACAAGATGAAGTTAGAGTTAGCAATGATTGCCTGCCTATCAGCAACTGAACACACACGTATTCTTACTATGTAGGACTTCACCACCCAGCTACAAACTTCTGAGCAGAATAAACTACAATTAAAACAATAATAAATACAGTAATAATAAGCCTGCTGTGGACTAAAGATGTCTTGACTTCTTAGGACTAGTTTGATTTTATTTTTTAACAAAGTATCAATATTTAAAGTCTGTTATATTTATAGAATCAGTACCTAGGTCATTTAAAAATTCATACTTGCAAATTAATAGTCTTTTCCTCCTTAACTCATAAACTCCACAAGCTCTTTCAAAACTTTACCTAAACAATGTTAAGAGGTTCCTGAGTGCAAAAATGTAATTGAATGTAAATTATATGCCATGTAACTACCTATAAAATCAAGTTCATGCTTTACCAACAAAAACAAAAACATGAAAAACACTGTAACACAGGAATTAGTTGGGAATGGTGGCACATACCTATTATTCTAACAGTTAAGCAGCTGAAGTACAATGAGTGTGGGTTTGAGGCCAGCCTGTACTAGTTCTAAGACAGTCTGGTTTATATGAAAAGATCCTGTCTCAAAACACATGGCAGAAAACCCCACAGGTCCATGACAAACCCCCCATGTATTCCCCAAGGCTGTGGAACCATAATAAACCCCACCTCTTCATCCACATGATCTTGGCTAGTCTTTTCTTCCTTGGTCCTTTGGGAAGCTATTTCCATGGCCTTTGAGAGAAAGCAAAAAATTATTTTTATATTCACCCTAGAAAAGATACATTTTCTATTTTGTAATGAACTATTTTTTTCTTTATCTTAATATGTGTCTTCACACTTCTGAAAGTACCTAGAGCGAGCTTCTACAATGTAGGTTGGTTCTGTACCAGACTTGTGAGCAATTTAAAAAGAAACAATACACCCCTCTAGTTTCAACTTACCTTTAGTCCCCTTCTTCAAGCTCAACCCTGGGGTGCAGCTTAGTGGTGGAACACTGGCATAGGCTATCCAAGGCCCCACATCCTAGCACCAGCACCACTCACACCATACCCAAACCATGGCCAAGACAACTAGGAAACAAAGCTTTAAAAAAAAAAACTTATTTTTAAACTATTAGCAAAAATCTTTATCAGAAAAAAAACTGAGACCCAATTATGAACCTTTCTCCTTTTTTTTTTTTTTTTTTTCCTTTTGTTTTTAGAGACAGGGTTTCTCTGTGTAGCTTTGGCTGTCCTGGTACTCAAAATGTAGACCAAGCTGGTCTCAACTCAGAGATCCCACCTGCCTATACTTCCCAAGTGCTGGCATTAAAGATGTGCACCGCCACTGATGGCATGAACCACTTCCTGATTCTTGAAAAGTCAGTGAAATGAATCACAAGAAAGGTAAATATGTGGCCCTAATGCTACTACACCAAGAAAGCCCCTTGGGCAAAGTGACTGGAACAGAGGTGACGAAGACCTTATACAGGGTTCTTCTGACTTCTAAAACAGTTAAAATACATATAAGGAGAGGGCCAGAGAGGTGGCTCAGTCATTAAAAGCATGTGCTATACTTCGAGAGGACCAGAGTTTAATTCCTAATACTCATGCTGGGGAGCTCTACTGCCTGTTACACCACCTACAGGGATATCCAATGCCTCTGGCCTACACAAGCATCTACACACATGCACGCACATACCCATATGTAAACATAATTAAAATAAAAATATATCTTTTAGAAATATAGAGAGAGAACAAAAGAACATTTATTCTGTTTTATTTTTAAATACAAACACTAGACTCAATACTAATGGTTTAGGGATAAAAATACTTTGATAGTTACTCAGTCAATACATGTCAATACATGTTTGGTGGTTTGAATTAAAGATGGACCCCACAGGCTTATAGGGAGTGGCATTATTTGAAAGGAATAGGACCTGTGGTGGGGGGGTGGGGGTGAGGGGGTGAGGGGGACAGGGGTGGGGGTGGGGGGGACAGGAGGGATGATGGACGACGGGACAGGACGGGACACACAGGCAGAAGAACACACAGTAGCTCAGGGCTGATGAAAAGTGAATAGCCAGGGTTCACAACAGGACAAATGGCCTGCTTAAAACAGGCGGTCTCTGGACATGTATTTAATATCCCCCATTAGTAGAGAAACACTCAGCACACTCATAACAAGATGCCACCTTACACCCATTAGGATGGCTCCCCAGATAAGAGGACAACCAGTGCAGGCCAGAATACGGAGATACTGTAAGCCTTGCAGTGTCAAGCAAAACTGCAGAACAGTATGATCAACAGTAGGGTCTCCAAAACTTGGAGATATTTATATGCTCATATTCTCACTGGCATTATTCATGATAACGGAAACATGAGGAAGAGAACCCAAATGTCCACTGACAAATGAGAATCTAGACAAAATATGGTCCATAATGGACTCCTATCTAGCCTTAAACCAGGAAGGAAATTCTGTCACACACTAGAACACAGATGAACACTGAGCAAGATGAGCAAAATAAGCCAGCTACAAAGGACAAACAAGGAGCTGAGAGATGGCTCAATTGTTAAGAGTGCTTGCATCTCTTCCAGAGGACCTGAGTTTGGTTCCCAACACACACTTCAGGTGGTTCATAACTACCAGCAAGTCTAGCTCCAGGTGATCCAATAACTTCTCCTGGCCTGCTTGGGCATCTGCACACACGTAGTATACAGTCACACAAACACACATGTGTACAAGTAAATAAAAAAATGAAAATCACAGTATGTGGTTTTACTTATTAGCAGTACCATGAATAGCTCAATGACACCAGAATGGTAGTTTCCAGATTGCTGTGGGGGTTAGTAAGTACAGTTTCAGTCTTTGATGATTAAAAAAAAAAAAAGCAAAAAACAAAAAACAGTTCTAAAGATAGAAAACTAATGGTTTGCAGAGTAATTTAAATGCATTTAGTGCTTAGTAATTGAAATGCATTTAATGCATATTTTGCCACATACCCATACCCTGGCAGTTTTCTTACTAAACATTCATGGAAGTAGATAATCTCTGTAATCTTGAGGAAAGTCAAGAAACCTGGCTTTACTGGCATCTTTGCTATTTCTAATTTCACTGTGAAATGAGAAGTGCTAAGAGGTTATGGAAATAAATAATTACACTAAGCAACCCGAGTCCCACAGATGTGTACACAAAGGCAAGTCATACTTATTCCTCATGTCAGCCCATCTTACCTTTTCGAGATAAGCATCCATGTTCTCAGGAGTGATGGAAGGATCTGTGACAAACTCGAAGAGCTCCCGAACAGTCATCACAGCCACAGCATGTTTGAAAAAGAAATCTGTCAGGAAGAACAGCGTTAATGAGAGTTCTACAAAGGAAATACTACTCCTACTGGTAAACAGAAAAAGATATAAAAATGGAGCGTTGCCAGCCAATGGTTTAAGTGGCACTGTCAGTGCTAGGGATCAAATGCAAGGTCTTCCCTTTGAGAGGCAAACAAAGTGTTCTAATGTCAGACTACACCCTCACTCAGTGACAAGACCTTCTCCTACAAATGCATACACAGACGCTGTCAGGAAATCCCACGTTCTGCTCACCATTGACATTAGCACAGTCTTTTCTCAAGAACTCCAACGCATGTGGGTGATCATGCTCCACAGACTGAGAAACATCAATGATGTACACATCTCCACCATGGTACCTTATGGACAATAAGCACAGAGGTTAGAAGTTACTGCTATAGTCTTGTTTGTTTGTTTTTTTAATCTATTTTGTAACTGGCTGTGGTGGCACACACTGGTAGGATTTGCTGAAGGAGGCAAAGGTGGGAGGGTCAGGCCAGAATTTTAGCTTGGTGTAGTGGTACACACCTTTAATCCCAGCACTCGTGAGGCAATGCAAGTATATCTCTTTGAGTTTGAGGTCAGTCTGATCTACAAAGTGAATTCTAGTACAGCCGAGCTATGTAGAGACCCTGTGTCAATGTTTTTTGTTTTGAATAGGGTCTCTATGCAGCACAGGCTAGCCTCAAACTCTTAATCTTCTTGCCTTTCCTTCCTAAATGCAGAAATTACAGGCAAGCCTATATCTGGCTTAAAAATTCCACTTTAGCCTGTCGGTGGTGGTGCATGCCTTTAATCCCAGTACTTGGGAGGTAGAGGCAGGCGAATATCTGTGAGTTCAAGGACAGCCTATTCTACAGAGCAAATTCCAAGACAGGCTCCAAAGCTACAGAGAAACCAAACCCATGTCAGGCAAAGACAAAAACAAAAACCAAAATTCCATCTCAAGTAATTCATAAATGATTACAGCAGATAAGGGCTATCTTGATTAATAAAAAGATGGAAAACTGAGAAAATTTCAAAGTCCATTAAGTTAGCTAAAAATGCATGCCCCCTCCCCTGACACCTTGTGGGGCTGGAGATGGAATCCAAAGTCTCACACATATTAGGCACTTGTTCTACCAACCAAGCTATAACCTCAGTCCTTCATTCACAATGGTCTCCTCTGTGACTAAGTTCACTGAAGGCACATCTTAATTCCTATCACGGGGAACCCAACAGAATACAGCATGATTTTATAGATCTGGATTTCTTGAAGAACATGAAATAATGGGAATTTTCCAAGAAACAAACCACACTCACAGCATGTTGAATTCACTGAGATCCGCATGGACAAGTCTAGCATCCTGATACATTGTCCTCATATACTGGATGACCTGCAGGTACAACTCCCGTGCCTTTGACTCTGACAACTGGACATTTTTCAAAAGTGGTGCAGGCCTCAAGTAAAAACAGAACGACAAAATTATCAAGACCAAGTTTTCCCTTGACCCATTCTATGGGTACATGGACATCTCTTCTGCAATTTGTCATGTGTACTGACTATGGAATAACGGATACCACTCCACAATGCTGACAATTACAGGTACTTTCTAGCGCTTTAATAAATTAAACAGTCCTCAAAAATAAGGTTAACTTTGTTACTCTGAAGTGTGGTGAAACTTCACAATGGTAAATCATAACAGTTAGGCCCTAACATTGCAGGAAAGACTCGGGACAGGAACTACGGGAGAGACTTATCTAGTACATAGCTCACAGGACATAAAATACAGTTTCACCATGGAATTCTTTGACCTCCCATACATATACTTACATGTCATCCTTGCCAATGAAGCCCATGAGAAGAACATGACTTTTTAGCCTGATTGGTTTTGGACATGGTATGTTTGCTGTTCTTAGCCTGTGATGTAGACAAAAGGACAACTGGAAAGTCAAAAGGCATATAAACAAATTACAGTAGCTGCAGACCATGGCATGAATAGTACTGTTAGAAAACAGACCAAGTCCTCTCAACTATATTCCTATTTCATAAGCCAGTAGTTTTAAGAGGCATTATTATGTGACACCAAGAACATCAAAACATTGATAACTATTAAATCCTATAACCTGTGGCACTTAATCCACTTCTACAGGTGTTAAACTGTGGGGGGTCGCAGGGCGTTGGTGGCGCAGCCGGGCGCTGGTGGCGCAGCCGGGCGCTGGTGGCGCAGCCGGGCGCTGATGGCGCAGCCGGGCGCTGATGGCGCACACCTTTAATCCCAGCACTCGGGAGGCAGAGGCAGGCGGATCTCTGTGAGTTCGAGACCAGCCTGGACTACCAAGCGAGTTCCAGGACAGCCTCCAAAGCCACAGAGAAACCCTGTCTCGGAAAAAAAAAAAACAAAAAACCAAACACTGTGAGGGGTGGAGGGTACATCTTAGAATTGATAAGATATAGCAACTACATCAACAATTATCTTTTGAGTTTACTAATCTCAAAAATAAAAATCACTGTACACACCTAGTGGCTAGTTGGGCACAGGAAGATTTCAAAGGACTTCCAAACCAAATGGTACTGACTTAACAGCAAATTATATTTATGGATATCACATAAAAAGTTAAAAGACACTGAAAAGGAGAAAGAAACCTCCACAAATTTTGAGAAAACTAGTTACGTGTCCTTTCTTTACAGTACTTATGGCAAAATGAGTACATAAACGTGTCCCAACTAGACTAAGAAAAGCAAGTTATTAGTCAGAGTTCAAGGGTTGACAAGATTTATCTAAAAACCCCTGCTATTTTTTTAATGACAGCATTATCATCACCATGTCACTTACTACTGTCTAAAATCCTGTAAAAGTCTTATCTTCCTCAGAACAAATTCTATGTTTTCATATGGCTTAAGACTCAGGAAATTCTTCTACTTAGTTAAGCATATGTAATGGAGCTACACGTCTAAGGACGACCTTTCTGCTTTAAAGGGTAGGGCCCAGACACAGAGACAGACATAACTAAGCATGGGAACCCCACCCCCAACCCACACACTACCAGTTACCTGGATAAATTCCTCATTTCCTTCTCTGCCCATGTCTTCACCATTTTTCTAGGGTTTCCTTTACAGTAGCCACGACGAAATCTAAAGTAAGAAAAAAATTCTTAACTTTAATCACTGCATTATACTATTTTAACACTTGAGGAAAAAGGAATTCAAGAATCTGGACTCACCTAAATTCCCCGGTTACATACTTATCGCGATCTTTGAACACCAAAATAGAAGTTTTGTATATCTTGATTGCTCTGCTTTCTCCACTGGCCGTGCTAGCATAGTACACATTAGCCTATTTTAAGCAAAAACAAAGGAAATGAGGCATGGTTAAATAACTAATGTCAGTTTTCCAGTGGATTCTAACCTCAAAGGTAAACCGAAACATCTGCATTGCTGCCATCTCTTGAAGGTGTGACTGAGAATATGAAACATTGGACCAATATAAACACACCTCCAGCATATATTTATATACCACCCTGTTATACTCTGGTCAATGACAGGCTCCATATACCAGAGTGATTCCATTCGATTGTATCACCTATATCATAAACATCTTGGTTTCCTACTACACAAAACTGCTTAATGACTCATTTCTCTGAATGTAGTCTATTGTTACATGAGGCATAATGTATATAGAAAAGTCCAATTTAAGTGGAATGACAATTTTCTTATTCTAATTAATTCCCACAGAATGAGTTGCTAATTGTGATGGTTTGAATGAGCAATATCCTCCACAGGCTCATGGATTTGAACGCCTGTTGCAATGGTGGTGCTGTTTGTGTAGCTTATGGGACTTTGAGAAGGAAGTATGTTGCTGGAGGCAGGCTTTGAGGGTTAGCAGCCTGGGTCACTTCTAGTTCACCCTCTCTGCTTCCTGTTTGCTGCTTGCCATTATGGACTCTAACCTCTAACCCTCTGGAACCCTATGCCAAAATTAACTTCCTTCCTTAAGCTGTTCTTGGTTATGTATTTTATCATAGCAAGAAAAGAGTACTAATATAGCTTTTTTTTCAAGTCACACTTATTTTTTCTAGACTTACAAATAAATGAACAAGAAAAACTAGCTCACAGAAATGAATAGCCCTCATTCATTAACAGTAATTTTAAATTGGGACTGAGGACCACTGTGCTATTTGAAAATCGAAGCTCACTGCTGGGCACATAGCCTCAGAGATACAACAAAGTGAACAGGGTAAGGTATATAATTTCATAAAAACTAACTATCAAGCAACATAATTTCTAGGAACATTGTTAATAAACTATCCAGTGTGTGTAGCCTTTTCTTTCTTTTTTGAGACAGGGTTTCACTATGTAGCTCCAACTGGCCTGGAATTTGGTATGAAGACCTTGCTGGCCTGGAACTCACAGAGATGTACCTGCTTCTGCTTCCTGAGTAATGAGATTAAAAGTGTGTGTCACAATGCCCAGCTCCTTTTCTTTATAAAGGCATAAATTATAAAGTGCCTTACTTTTCCTTGGTATTTAAAATAAGAAAACTAACATGAGAACACTGTCATCCCAACAAAAGCTCACTTCTTTTCCAGTGCTAATGCAGCCATGAATCTCTGCTATGTCTTCATTATGTAACATTTTGAATAAAATCATCCTTGTCCTGGGATCCAAAACCTAAAAAGAAATGTTTTAAGTACAATCATGAAAAAAATCAGACAAAATGAATTACAGGACAATAAAAGCACACACCCAGGGTGATGAACTGGCTCAGTGAAAAGAGGTGCTTGCCACCCAGAACCCCCTCACGTAAAGGTGGACGGATGGAACCAACCAGAGTTGTCTTACGACCTCCACATAGGTACTGCCTCCCCGTCATGCACACACACACACATTTTTGTTTGGTTTTTATTGCTGTGATAAACACTATGACCAAAACAAGTTGGGAGAAAAGGTTTCTCATCTTACACTTCCAGAAAACAGTTCACCACTGAGGGCAGTCAGGGCAGGAGCTCCATGTAGGAACTGAAGCAGAAACCATGGAGTAAAGTTGCTGACTGGCTTGCGTTCCAACGATTGCTCAGCTCGCTTGTTTATACAACCCAGGACTACTTGTTTAGAGGTGGCACCATGCACAGAGGGCTGGCACACAGACTTGGCTACAAAGCCAACCTCATGGAGGCAATTCCTCAGTGGAGGTCACCTCTTCCCAGGTGACTCTAGTTTGTAGCAATGAACAACAACAACAAAAAACCTAGCCAGTACAACATACAATAATAAGCTAACATTATAAATAAGCTCTTTCGTGTCCAATGATTCATGAATTCCACAAACTGGTTCTGGACTGCAGGTTAGCTTGGGAGTACAGGAAAGAAGGGTATTTAAATCTTAAGTCAAGAGCTACAGGTCAAGAAGTTGCTATTTCAAAATGTGGAATTGTACATACACATATGAGTAGAGGACAGCCCAGATAGGCAGCAATAATAATAACTTAAATATTTTAAAAATAATTTTCTTCACATCAAAAATCTGTATCACGTGACATGCACCTTTAATCCCAACACTCAGGAAGCAAGAGGCAGGCATCTCTCTGTGAGTTTGAGGCCATCTTGGTCTAAACAGCAAGTTTCAGTCCAGCAAGGACTACTGAGAGCATCTGTCTGTGTGTCTGCCTCTGTCTCCTCCCCCCCTTACACACACACACACACACACACACACACACACACACACACACACACACACAGAGTAAACTTCAATCGTGTCCTGCTGCCCATAAGAAACTTGGGGCTAGCACCCCACCTGCTCCAAAGAATAAAGCACATGTAAGAAAGAGGTGTCTAGTTAGAAATTTTAAGGCATCTTGTCCCTTCTTCCTTTCCCCCTCATCTATACATAATCTAGGTACATGGTAGGTAGGTACTCAACTTATTTCATGGCAGATATTCAATATATATAATGGGAAAGAGAATAAAATTCCTATAGTCTCTGCTTCAAAAAAGTTCTCGTCTGAGAGTCGGTGCCTTCCCAGGGAAGCTGAGAAGGGGGAAGCAGTGCAGTCGCTTCAGGGATATGGAAGGCCCATGGCTCTACCTTACCTACTAGTGGTTCCATTATATGGCAAAATGCTAATCACTGAACTTGACTTTACTCCAGAGCAATTTTAGGTGCGATTAACACCAAGCAAGGAAGTTAAAACAAGGCACAATTGAAATACCAAAGGAATGCTAATTTCACACCAGACCATGCAGCACATGTCAAGCATACCTGCTCTACAGTTGCTCTGTCCGCCTTATCTTTAACTCGATACCTAAGCAAAAATAAAGATATTTAAAACTCAGTGAGAAGCCAGAATGAAACTTCTAAATGTATATGATTTTGTGACAATTCTTAAGGATTTTTCTTAAATTTTTTTTCATCCTAATCTGATATAGACTCTTCACTCAGTAAAACTCAATTTCTCTGCACATGCAAGTCAATTCTCCTTAGCAGGCATGTCCAATCTTTTATTTCCATGTATTATTCTTGTGTGTGAATGAAGTGTAGAAAAGAGATTGCCACCTGTACCTGGTGACCAGAAGACAAGTTTTGGGAGTTGGTTCCCTCCTTCCACCATCAGGGATCAAACTCTGGTTGTGAGCTTGAAGGACAAACATTTTTACTGCTCCACCCCCCACTATCTCCCAGGACCCCTCTTGGTATTTCCACAGTCACCTACAAAGCTCACTTGAGAGTCATGGATTGAAGAAACTACAGAAACAACAAGCCTCATGCTCTAAGTAAATTTATAATTTTCTGTTGGACCAAGGTTGTTGTTATCCTCAGTCACATGCACTCACCTATGAGCCCACAGGTTGGATATGCCTACGGGAGGGGGGGAGTGCACATGCACACGTGTGCATGTAACGTTATCTTTGAAATATATTTCACATACGCATACAGAGGGAAGGGAGAGAGGGAAAGTGGAGAGAGGAGAGAATGGAGAAGAAAAAGAGAGAGGGAGAATAGAGGAATAAGAATGTGTGTATAAGAGAAAGTCCTTCATTCTTGAGACATTAAATAAAAGCAATTGGAATACAGTTAACAAAGGAAATACTTGTGCGTTCATACTGTCCTTTAACTCTTAAATGATTCTACTAGTAAAGAAATGCTCATTTAGTTATAAGGCTGCTTTTTTTTAGAATTTTATCTCAAAATCATCTTCAAATTCTTGATTTGCTTCAGCACATATACACTCAATCCAACACACTAACCTAACAAGGATTCCAATACAAGGAGGCAGACAGGCAGGTCAGTGAAATACCAAGTGACTAAGATGCCACTCAGAAAGCAATTAGCCCTGTGGACATGGCAATAAACCAGAGGAAAACTGATTTTCATGTTCAGTTTTAACACTGCTATTGGACTCGTTATTTTCTATACTGCAACGATCATGCCAGTTATTAGCACATAAGAAAAGTCAGCCATGTCTTAGTCTAAACTGAAATCCACAAACCCTTACAATTCTGCTACTCGGTCAGAAAATTGGTCTCTACCAACCACGCTTTATAATGAAAACATTACTTACGATTCTGCTTCTTTTTGTCTAGATTTTACGGTGACTTTATTTATGACAGAATCAGTAACATTCAGTTTATCTGAAAATATAGAAACTCACAATGTAAACAATACAAACGACAAAGACACTAACAGTCTCTGAACAGGACACTTCCCCCTCAAAGTTCCCCCTCTATAGTTTTCAAAAATAATTAAAACATAGTTTACTTAGGAAGCCAGTAACAAATTAAAATATTGTCTTCATAGTATGTACTTTCAGCACTACAGGTGTGATTTTTGAGTCAGAATTCTAAAATTCTAGATAAAGATAATACTCAAAAACACTGGATCTACATATTAAATCTCAGATACTATTTTGTACAATATAGATAACACAAGTGTTAGTATTTAAAGTTTAACTCTGCAAACTTCAGTTTCAAGTTAGAGGTACATCATAAAGACTGTAAAATACATACATTAATTTGATATGTATAACAGTACACTCTCTAAAGCTACAGTTTATAGAGAGTCAAGATGGTGCAAGGAGAAAATGATAGCCTTCCATTTTTAAAGCAGTATATTTCAAGCGAGGGCTGGCTTTCAACTAAATCATTAACACCATCATAAAGTGTCTAACCAAACAAAATAGCATTTTTAGCTGTTTTAATACAAAATCCAATGCAGAACAGATAAGAATTGGAATGAGTATCTGAAACTTCATATTCCCACAACAGATGAAAAACAAGAACTAAGAAAATATGAATTGCCAGGTGTTGGTGGTGCACGCCTTTATTCCCAGCACTTGGGAGGCAAAGGCAGGCGGATCTCTGTGAGTTTGAGGCCAGCCTGGTCTACAGAGCGAGTTCCAGGACAACCTACAAAACAATGCAGAGAAATCCTGTCATGGAAAAAAAAAAGTATGAATTAAAATAACACTAAAAGTTACTTTTCTTCATTCAGCTCTATCAGTGGGTCAAATACATTTACTTCTTGAGCCAACGAAAATGCCTAACATTTCAGCATTTGGAAGAATCTCTTCTCAGACCAGTTAGGCCATGCTTTTTGTTTGGTTTTTCAAGACAGGGTTTCTCTGTATAGCCCTAATTGTCCTAGAACCCACTCTGAAGACAAGGCTGGTATAGCACTACTGATAAAAATCCAGAGACAGATATTTCAGTTCAAGCTGAAGATCAGAAAAGCAAAGCAGCCAGCCACCAGAGAGTTCTCCCCTCTAAAAGCTGGGGGCGGGATCCTGTCCTCAATGTGGCTGGAGACTAATTACCAGAATCTGAGACCCTGCTCCTATTTTATATATATGAACTCTGTTTCTCTTTTAGACTGATTCACTCTCATGTAGCCCAGAGTAGTCTTGGTCTCATAGAGATTCATCGGCCTCTGTCTCCTGAATCCTGGGATTAAAGCTGTACACCACCATTGCCTAGCATCTATGGCTAGTTTTGCACTCTGATCTCCAGAAAAGTTTTATTAGATCATATACAATATATCACCACAAGCTGGTCTCAAATTCACTGCCCAGCTAAGCAATGTATCTTTAAAAAACTTACTTAGATTAATTTTATTTTCAAATTTTCTCAAGGACTTGTCAATTGGAGTAGACATTTTGGCTGAATTGCAGTTCTGGCGATTTGCCTAAAAGAAATTAGTTTAAAATAGGATTAGTTGTAAATTCAAATCTAAGGTTCATAATTACATTCTTTTTTCCCTAGTTTTTTTTTTTTTTAATGCTTTTGGGGAAGGGCACCACACACACGGAGGTTGGAGTACAACTTTTAAGAAGAGCTGATTTTCTTCTTCCACCTGATAGTCCCAGGAATTGAACTCAGATTGTCAGACTTGATACCAAGTACAATTATTTACCTGCTGAACCATCTTCCCTGATGCCCCTCTCAGTTAGTTATGAAAGCATCATTAAATGCAGGAGCACACTACAAAAGAAACACATTTTCTAAGATTTTTTTTTTCTTTTTAAGGTTCTTACAACTGGAGAGATGGCAAGATTCCTACAGCTGGAGAGATGGCTCAGTAATTAAGAGCACTGGCTGCTCTTCCAGAATGGGTTTGATTTCCAGTACCCATGTGGCAGCTCACAACTGTCCATAACTTCAGTCTAGTGGATCCAGAACCTTTTTCTTCTGGGCATTTCATGACTGCATGCACATGGTGTGCAGATATATATGCAGATAAAGCACCCATACATATAAGTAAATAAAATTTTTAAAAAGGCATTTCTAAGGTTGCTGACTAGAACACAGATCATGTTATTTATGTCCCTTCAATGTATCTTTTGTTATGAATAATGTTAGATTTTTTTTTATTTAACTAGTTCATAGATTTGGTACTTGAGAATATGTATTTACCTTCAAAGTGTTTACTAAAGAGCTAAGGCTAACATTAAATTCATTATAGCAATTTTATTTTAAGCCTGACACCTCAAGAAAGGAAAAGGGATGAGAGAACCTGAGGCTCAGCACTTAGACCGGTGCTCTGTACGATCTTAAATTATACCAAGGAGAAGCAGAAACAATACCTAAATCTTAAAGACAGCAACATAGATAAAAAGGGCTCTGAATAATTGTTGATTCAGTCTTATTGTATCTCAGCATGAAACTCGAGGCTGGGTTGTCCTATTTGTAAAAAAGCTTAGGAGGATTTTCTATTAAATTTAATGTAAATATTTTTTTAGATTTAGTTATCTAATTCTGTATGTTCTGTATGTATGTACGTACGTACGTACGTATGTACGTACGTACATCACAAGGTGTCTGGTGCCCATAGAGGCCATTGGATCCCCAGAACTGGAGTTATTGGTGGTTGTGAGCTGTCATGTAGGTTGTGGGAATTGAACCCAGGTGCTTTGCAAGAGTAGCAAGAGCTCTAAACCACTAAGCTACCTCTTTAACTTCAGCCCCTTTAAGTTTTAAAATAACTTTTGGCCTTGGGATATATATAAGTAGTATAATACTTGTCCTTGCTTTGATTCTTAGCACCACAGTAGATAAAAATCAACCAGCGTTTCCTATCATATACATGTTTGACTAACTGATTTGATTTTTGTCATGCTGCAATGCATGGCAGGCAAGTGCACTGTACCCGCAACAACAATTTAATTTCTAATAATCATCAGCAACCAAAAGTAATAGCTAACATTAAATATACATACATCATATCACAACTCATTCGCAAACTACCCAGTCTCACCAGTGACTCAGCAGAGGAGCTACCAGGCACCCCATCCGCATAGGGTTTTCCTATGTAGTCCTGACTGTCTTGGAACTCACTCTTTAGACCAGGCTGACCTCAAACTCAGAGATCCATCTGCCTGTTTCTCGAGCGTTGAGATGAAAGGTGTGTGCCACCACACTGGCTGAGTTGCCAAAACTTCTTTTGTATTCCAAACTGGCCTTGAGCTTGTAATTCTTTTCTTCACAGGTAGCTGGGACTACAGAACTGTAACCACCAGCCCAGCGACACTTCTTTAATTACCAGTGAGTTTCAATGGTTTTTCTTTCCTGCTGTGCTGGGGCAGTCAGGATAAACCCCAGAATCAAAATTTTGTAGGCTGGCCAAATGCTTTACCATTAAGCTTCTCTCCCAGCTCCCTTGCTATTCCTTAAGCAGTCTGCAGTTAGCTGCCTAGTCATGGCCTTTTCCTTGTACATTTAAGTTCATACATCTCACAACACTTCAGTAACTCTCAAACTTACTAATTGGTCAAAGAATCCAAATACAGGAAATATGAAAAAGACAAAGGAACAAATCAATAAATATAACCTATAGAACCACAGTCTTTTTTATTTTATAGTATTATTGTTGTTTTTTCCAGACAAGGTTTCTTTGGGTAGCCTTGGCTGTCTTAAAACTCAGCTCTGTAGACCAGGCTGGCCTCAAATTCACAAAGACCTAATTGCCTCTGCCTCCTGAGTGCTCAGATTAAAGATATATGCCACCATGTCCAGCCACAAAGTATTTTTAAAAAATACTACACAGAGCTGAAGAGATGGCTCAGTCCATAAATTGTCATGTAAGCCTGAGGAGCTGAATTCAGTCCTCAGTACCCACATAAAAAGGCAAATTCAGTGGCATACATCTATGATTCCAGTACCAGGGCAGCTGAGAGAGGAGGTTTTCTGGAAGTCACTGGCCAGTGGCTGGCTAAATGGTGAACTCCAGGTTCAGTGGGATATCATGCCTCAAAAGACAAGGTAGACAGGCTGGAGATGGTTCAGTAGCTATGAGGACTGGAACAGGACCTCAGCACCCACGTAAGAAGCTGGGGGAGGGGGTCCCAAAACATCTATAACTCCAGCTCCCAGAGTCTGGTGCTCATTCTTCCTCCCCCAACATGCACAGAGGTCTGTGAACACACATGTGCACACAGACACACACATACACACACACACACACAAAGAAAAGATAAAGTGGAGAACTAATGAGGAACACACACACACGCAAACACATACACAATACATGCAGATTCACAGAGTGACTCCTGTACCTGCGGGTTACTGCCTCCATTCCAGGTAGAACTCTTGGTGAGTTTTCCAGTTCCATCATCCCAGCACCAATCACTGTCATAGTCATAGTAGTCTTCCTCATCAATCTCACCTTGGCCATGCGTCTCTGTCACATCATTCTGAAGGTTTCTAAGTAGGATACCGTCTTTTGCTTGAGTTGACTTCACATTTGTGCTTTCACTAGACATAAGAATGTTCTGGCATGTTTATACATCCTCTAAGGAGAAAAAACATGTACACACACATACAATCCTAAAGATCCCTTTAATGCTGGGTGTTGGTGGTGGTGCATGCCTTTAATCCCAGCGTTCAAGAGGCAGAAGCAGGCAGATCTATGTGAGTTCAAGGCCAGCCTGATCTACAGAGCAAATTCCGAAACAGCCAGGGCTACACAACGATACCCTGAATCAAAAAACAAAAACAAACAAAAAAATTCCCTTACATTTCCCAATCTGTTCCATCTACTTCTTTTCCTTGTTCTTTCTTTTTTTTTTTTTTTTTTTTTTTGAGATAGGGTTTCTCTGTGTAGCTCAGCTGTCTTAGAACTCACTTTGAAGATGAGGCTGGCCTCAGACTCATAAAGATCTGCCTGTCTCTACCTCATGAGTACAGGGAATTAAAGCGTGTCACCACAACCGGTGCCAGGTTCAATTTTTATGAAACTTTGTACATCCCAAACAAAACACATTTAACACCAAATTCCACCAATTGTTGCCAGCTTTGACCTTTCAAAGAACAGGCCAGTAGTCATATAAACAACTAATAATATGTACTACCTAAAAAGACATAATGCCTGATTCAGCATCACACAATACAACAGGAACAATTCCAGCATTAGCATGGGTCCCCATCAAGGATGACATGCAAATAAATTAGTGAAGGGGTCTCCATTCCTTTCTTCTTTTTTCAAAGACAGTGTCTGCCTCACCATGTAGCCATGGCCTGGAACTTACTATGCAGACCAGACTGGGCTTGAACTCAAAGATCCACCTTTCACTGCCTTCCTGGTTCTGAGATTAAAGATGTGTGTCACCTCACCAGACCTTAAAAATAGCCATTTCACACCCTAGTTCTGAGGACTGAACCCAGAGTTATGCCCTTTCTAGGCAAGCACTCTATCATAGAGCTAAATCCCCAGCCCTTCCTTCCCACCCCTCTTCAGCCCCCTTTATGAGACAGAGTCTCACTGTGTGACTCTAGCTGTCCTGAAATAAACTATGTAGATCGGGCTGGCCTTGAACTCAGAGATCTGCTGCCTCTGCTTCCAGACTGCTGGGATTGAAGGCCTGTGCCACAATACCCGGCTCCCTGCATTTTTAAATAAATAAATTCAGTTATTTTGTTGGGCTTTTTGTTTGTTTTTTTTCCAGTTTTTCGAGACAGGGTTTCTCTGTATTGCTTTAGAGCCTGTGCTGGCACTCACTCTGTAGACCAGGCTGGCCTCAGACTCACAGAGATCCACCTGCCTCTGCCTCCCAAGTGCTGGGATTAAAGGCGTGCACCACCAACGCCGGCTATCAATTCCAATTTATTAATTGGCTACAGCACACAGGGCTTCAAATGCCTATGGGCATCAGTAGGAAGAAGAGACAATTGCTAAGTAACTGCAAGTTATTAGGACATCATTTAAGTGTAATAAATTACTACTTCACTTACATATCTAATAACCCAGAGGTTAAAGTGACAACTATGTGTCCTCAGTCTGAAGCAGTCAGTCCTCTGCTGTGAGAATGTCTTGTACATACAGCACTGCAAGCCTCTGTCTACCTACCAGGTGCCACGAGCACACCCCACCCCCGCCCAGGAGTGGCATATAAAAGTGTGTCTGGAGAGCGGCATGTCTCTCTGGTTCAGTGGCAAAATCGCATCCAGCAGAGGAGCACCGGTTTGTCCTCGCAGTGTCCTGTGTGCACGGGGACAGGGGGCAAGCAGTGCGCTGTCACTGCCATACACACTGACAGCAAAGCAGGCTGTTTCCTCTTCCCATCACCCTTCAGGGAGAACTCCTGTGAGAGGACCTGCAACCAGAAGCCTGGAGAGCTCTCTCATTTCTCTTGCTAGTCCCCACTCACCCTCTACCGACTCACGATATGCTATTTACTCGTTTCTCCTCTGCACTATTCACCGTTTCACTTTAGTACAAATAATTTGCCTCATTATTAATATCAGCTTCCCCTAGAAAAAGGGACAGCCCTTTTGTCAATCAAGACGGTAGCTACCAACATTTCCCTAACACTAGATTTGGTACACAGCATGGTCAATATATTTATTAATACCACTATTAATTGATAATATCATCTCCATGACATAAAGCACACAGAATTCCTTGTTGTTTCAAAAATGACTATATTTAATTTTCTCCCCTTTCCAATGGGAAGTTTTCCATCACTGCTTTCATCAGACCTCCCATCTAATTTAACCAGAGAAGCTCAACACTGCTACCTCAAAATCATTCCGTGATCACAGAGCCACCATGTTCGAACCTGGTTTTGTTTGTCTTGGGTTCTCCAGACAGGGTTTCTCTGTATTGTTTTGGAGGCTGTCCTGGAACTCGCTCTGTAGACCAGGCTGGCCTCGAACTCACAGAGATCCACCTGCCTCTGCCTCTCAGAGTGCTGGGATTAAAGGCGTGGGCCACCAACGCCCGGCTCCGTTTGTGTGTTTTAATTGGTTCTCTGTTCCACTCTTACTCCCCAAGAGCAGCTTCTACGTAACTGACCTGTCCTTTAGTCCACAAATCAAATGACTCCCTGTGCCTGCTAGAAGCCTTCCTTTGGCGCCATAGGACGTGAACAGGATCGTTACTCCTCTCAGCCACTTGTCAGGCTCTACCTGGCTGGTCTCCCTTATTCCTCAATTCTCTCCACTGTGCTCTAGGCTGTGGCCTCTCGCTTTTCTTTTTACAGCCAAGAAGAATGCACCACAGAGCCTTCACTAGTCCGCTTGGTCACCAACGTTGTTTCTCCTCTGCTTCTTCTAGACATTTAATCTGGACTCTTTGTGGGTTTCGTACTGGGGATGGAATCAGAGCCCTGTCTATGTCAGGCAAGCGTTTTTCCAAGCTATTAAATCTGACTTTCCTGCTCCATGCGCCCATTTAAACTATCTGCGTCTGCGCTCCTTTCCAAACAGGCAGCAGAGATCTGGTTTGCCTTGTTCATCACTATCTCTAGTGGAAGTAAAAATACGCTGAATGTGTGGAACCCTGTATGCGGGGCAGGGGAAAGCCCCACGTTCCCCAGTTACCCCCAACTCTGCTAATCATGCTGGGAACCCAGATCCCTTGACAAGTAGCTTTCACGACCCTGAGGAAACCACAGTCCCAACCTGGCAGGTGTCAGCTGCCCGAGAGGAACGCGGAGTCTGAGCTGTCCGTGTGTGGCCTCCGGCCGCCTACCTGTCTGAGGAATCCGCGTCGTCGAACTGCCCGGGGACCACGGCGACCATCCTATCCCGACTGCAGTCCATGACAAGCGGGGTGAGCCCTCGGCGGCCCGCAGGCGGCGAGCGGAAGCGACGGCTTTTCACCCCGCGAACCCAACCGCGTCCCCACGGTTCCCGCTTCACACGGACCGCTGGGCAGCCGCCAGGCCCAAAGCAGCCACCGGGCGCCGCGGAGTATCAGCACACACGATTTTTGCAAACACGCCGCCGCCAGGCCGGAAGTTCAATGTCGGAAGTTTGCCACTCGTAGTTCCGCTCCGGGCCGCAGTGCTCGCCAGGAGCTTGTGCATTACGGTAGCCGGGAAAGGCCAATCCGCGGTGTGAAGGGGGCGTGTTGCGTTGATTGTCGGACGGGACACGTGGCGTCGGTTCTTGTCCCAGCCTTCCGTTCTTGCTCCGCCGTGGTGCTTCCCGCCTCACAAAGTCGGGCTTCTTATCCCCCGGCTGCTCCTGAAGACTCGCGTCCTTTGACCTCCGTCCTCTGACGCCTGTGAGGTCCAGAGGACGTCACACTGGGACGTTCGAGTTCTCTGCGACACAGCCAGTTGAAGCCAGCCTTCTGTGGGGACGGTTGGAAGGCGTTCTCCCTCCCGCCGACCCGGTGTGCCGGAGGAGTCCCGGAATCCTGAGCCTGGGTCCGAGAAGCTCTATGGATCATGGAAGTGAGCACACTTTTGCGCCCTAGAAGCGTTGGTGCGTTGTTTTGAGATGCAAATAAGACAACCGGTTTTTTTAAAAATTGGTGTTATTACACTGAAATACTAAGTTCAAAATTTGCGCTTGGCGGGAACTCTCGTTACATCTGCCACTGCCTTTGTTTTTCTTGAAGTTTAAAAGTGATGTACGACCACTCGCGCGCGCCTGTGTTGTGTGTGTGTACACAAGCACACGTGTGAAGTTCAGAGAACAACTTTTGGGAGTCGTCGCTCCTTCTACCTTGGGCTCCAGGAACCGAACTCTCGGGTCGTCAGCGCTTTTCCCTGTTCAGCCATCTCGCAGGCCCCTTACTACCTGTCTATCTGTCTTAAATGGCCTTACTACCTATCTCAAGCCGGGGTTGGGGGATGGAGAGGTGCCCAGCACTCGGGAGGCAGAGGCAGAAAGATCGATGCCAGTTCAAAGCCAGCCTGGTCTACAGAGCGAGTTCCAGGACAGCCAGGGCTACACAGAGAAACCCTGTTTTCAAAATCTAACTTAATTTTTTTAATAAATTGGCAGATTGTACAGAGCCATAGGAGGCATGAACAAACTTTTAAAGACGTAGTTGGAGCAGATGGATCTCTGTTCAAGGCCACTCTGTGCTGCATAAAGTTGATCCGGTCTAAAAGAGAAACAGCTCACACAGGTGATCCCAGCACTTGGAGTGACACACCTTTAATCCCAGCATTAAGGAGGTAGAGACTGGAAGGGATCTGGCTGGGTAGAGAGAGGAATATAAAGCGGAAGGAGACAGATAGGAGCTTATGGAAGTCTGAGGAGCAGTGCCGTCTGAGGCAGTTGTTATGAGGAGGCAGTATGAGGCCTGGAGCACCCTTTGGTCTCAGCATTGGTAGAACTCTCTAGTGACCGGCTCCTTTGCTTCTCTGATCTTTCAGCTTTCACCCCGGTAGCTAACTCTGAGTTTTTATTATTAATACCAATTAGAATTTGTGCTACACGCGACTGGAATTGCACACAGTTGTAAGCTGCCAGGTGGGTGCTGGGAATTGAACCCTGGTCCTCAGAAAGATCAGCCAGCTCTTTACTGTTTAGCCATGTCTCCAGCCCCCTTTCCTGCTTTCTTATTGTGAAAAGGAGTAAGGAAAGACTTTGCAGATATTGATTGACACTAAAAGTGTGTCTTTCTCTTTTGTTTGCTTGTTTTTAAGAGGCATTCCATCATTCAGCAGTTAGAAATAAGGACACTCTCAAACGTTTTCATCATCCCTGACAGTGAAAAAAGGGGAAAGTTATTGCCTTTTTTTTTCATTTTTTTGGTTTTTAGAGACAGGATTTCTCTGTGGCTTTGTAGAGCAGGCTGGCTGGAACTCACAGAGATCTGCCTACCTCCGACTCCCAAGAGCTGGTATTAAAGGTGTGTGCCACCACTGCCCAGCTAGGGAAAAGTTATTGTAGTTATCTTCAGATCCTGTACATTTTGAAGTGGATACTTTCCATGAAAAATTAGAAAGTGTGTCAGAGTCAGAAACAATAGATGTCAGTGGTCCTTCTCAAGATGTCTCCTACTCAGACTCGCTCTTCTGTATAGAAGCCAGCTCCATCACTTCAGACTTGCCTCAGGTGTGAACTCTGCAGTAAGAAGTTTGAGGAGATAAGCCAGCTTGCTCTCGTGTGAACATTTTTTTTTTCAAAATTACGAGGAGTGGTAAAAGATCTCCAGTGGACACAGAAGGAAGGGGCATGCAGGGCCTGATTTTCTTAGTCTTGGTATGCAACGAGTGGTACAGTTTTACAGACGTCACACTAAAGCAGATCCTTTCTGCTCACTAAGTACCAGGTGTGCATCTAGGGGACATGGTCACAGCTCAGTCACAAACAGGATGAGAGCCCAAGCAAGGACCTGCTTCCTGCTCCAACGCACCCTCTTCTGGGTCTGTCTGCAAATGACCCGCTGTCGTGTATGGCACTGACAGCATCCATCCTGTGTCTTCATGGGAAGTCCTGGTGTCCTTTCTCATGAAATAAAAGAGATCATGATATCTCAAGATCTTGAAGAATGTTGACTTTTGTAGTTGCTAGCAAGAGTGTAGGAAGATAGTAGAACTGCATTAAGTTGGACCATATTGACTTTTTAAAAAGTGGACAAATAATGAAAAACTCATGTGGTCCAGAGTATAAACTCCCAAAGCCTTCCTAAAGGGCTTGTTTAATTTTAAGGATCCAAGATGAATTGCAATTTAAAAGTCTACCTCTAGTAGGCGGATCTCTGAGTTAGAGACCAGCCTGGTCTATAGGGTGAGTTCCAGGACAGGCACCAACGCTACAGAGAAAGCTTGTCTTGAAAAACAAATATAAAACAAATCTACCTCTAGAAGATATTCAAAGAAAATACTTAAGGAATTATCCCTCATGGGCTTTTGAGATGGCTTCAACAGGCAAAGGCACTTGCCACCAAGCCTGATGACCAGAGTTAGGACCTGAGCAATCTCCAGGCCTCACCAGTAGAAGAGAACTGACTCTTGCAAGCTGCCCTCTGACAATCACATGAGTGCCAGAGCACACACATGTCCACACTCATGTGTACGCAGAAATAAATGTAATTAAGCACATTTTTGAGTGGGGGATAATTATTTTATGGAATACAATAGATAAATTATTTTATGGATGTAGCCTTATATACTGAAAATATATACTTGCTAACAGAGAAGTGGTCACGTGGGCCAGGAGTGGTGGTACATACCTGTGGTCCCAACACCCTAGGTGTGGGCTCAGGAACATCCTAAATTTGAGGTCAACCAGGGCTACATAGCAAAACTCTGTCTCAAAAAGATGTGTGTGTGTGTGTGTGTGTGTGTGTGCGTGCGCGCGCGCTCAAATATAGGTACCCCATGGAGGCCAGAAAAGGGCACCAGATCTCCTGGAGTTACAAGCAACTGTAAGATGCCCAATGTGGGTGGTAGGAACTGAACTCAGGTCCTCTGGAAGAACAGCAAGTCTCTTAAGTTCCTGTGCCATCTTTCCAGTGCTCTTAACCAGTTACCGTGCCATCTTTCCAGCCCTTCAAAAAACTTTTATAAATGAAAGAAAAAAATGGTCACATTGGTTCTTCCTATGTAGTGGGCTTTTAGTACTGTCTCTTTATATGATGCTAAGGATTTTTAAAAGTTGTTTACTTTATTGTAGGGTATCCTGCCTGCATGTATGTCTATGGACTGTCTGTATACAGTACCAACCGAGGCCAGAGGTGGAAGGCTGATCCATGGGACTGCACTTACAGGCAGTTGTGAGGCATTCACTCTGTGGGTGCTGGGACCAACCAGGGTCCACTGGAGAACCATCTCCAGCTCCCAGGATTACTTTATATGTTTTCTCTATTTTTCTTCCTTCTTTTTCTTTTTTCCTTCTGTTTTTTTTCTCTTTGAGACAAGATCTCACTATGTAGCTATGAAGTTCTGGCCAGCCAGAATTCATTATGTGGTCCATGCAGGCTTGGAACTTACAGAAATACATGTGCCTCTGCTTCCTGCACCCCCATGCCTGGCTCGCTTATTTATTTATTTATTCATTCATTCATTTATTCATTCATTCACTTATTTATTTAAGAACTTGAGTCATAGTCTAGTGTTAACCAGAGTCAGAGATACTATAGTTCTACCTTAAAAAAAAAAATGAAGCCTGGTGGCGCAGCGGCGCACACCCCTTTAATCCCAACACTCCACGAGGCAGAAGCAGGAGGATCTCTGAGTTTGAGGCCAGCTTGTTCTACAGAGTGAGTTCTAGGAAGGCTTCAAAGCTACACAGAGAAACCCTGTCTCGGAAACCAATAAGTAAATAAATAAATAAATAAATAATGGTTTAAATTATATAAGGAGCTATCCTGAACATTTTCTCTGTTATGATAAATTTGTGGACCAAAGGAGCAAAATGAATATTTATTTAAGAATGGTGCATTGAGGACTGAAGAGACTTTGAGTGCTGCTCTTGCAGAGGACCTGAGTTCTGTTCTCCGCATCCTGATCCAGTAGCTCACAGCCTAGTAACTGCAGATCCAGACGCCCTCTGCTGGTCTACTCAGAAACTGCACTCATGTGGACAAATCCACACACACACTTATAACACATATAAGTTAAAAAATTAAAAATACCTGGGCATAATGGCCCATGTCTTTTATTCTAGCACTCTGGAGACAGAGGCAGGTGGATGTCTGTGAATTTAAGGCCATCCAGAGCTCAAAGAAAGGGAGTGGGGGCTGGAGAGTTGGCTCTGCTGTTAAGAGAACTGGCTATTCTTCTGGAGAACCCGCTCAATTCCTACCATCCATATGGTCGCTCATAACTAACACCAGTTTTGTGGGATCCAACAACACCTTCTGGTAGGCAAAACACCCACATATGTGAAATTTAAGAGGAAACTAAATTTTAAAGAATAATGATACAAGAGAATACCAGAGCTCAAAATTATCAATGAAATGTTGTGAGAATCAGGATCCCAAAAGGACTGTTGAAATACAGTCTGAAGGCATGAAAGTGGTCCCATTCGGGTCTCAGTAATTTTAAGTCTACTTAGGAAGAATGGTCTGAGTAACAAGCTGCTCTAAGCTGTAGCCATTTTTATGGTACGGGAGAAACTCTGAAAAGGTATTATTGAATAGAGGTTGGTGACTGTAGGAGCTTTTCTTTGAGACTCTGTATTCATTGCCTTTTTATTTTATTTTATTTTATTTTTGGTTTTACGAGGCAGGGTTTCTCTGTATTGTTTTGGAGGCTGTCGGTCCAGCCCGGCCTCGAACTCACAGCGATCCGCCTGCCTCTGCCTCCCGAGTACTGGGATTAAAGGCGTGCGCCACCACCGCCCGGCTTCATTGCCTTTTTGAGAGAGGTTTTCACTCTGTTGCTCAAGCTGGCCTGCTTCTATGTTGTAGGGCACCATTAAGATCCACATATTTGAGATACATGATACTTTTTATAATACAGCCAAATGTTTTCCTCAAAAATTCAAATATTCCCTATGCTATTTCTAATACTAATTTAGTATACCCTTTTGTATAACAAAGAATACTTGGAGAACAAGACCTACCTGTGTTTATAAATCATTTAGTGGAATCAGGTGTCACTTCATTACTGGAACTCTTGCTTTATCTTCAATGTAAAACAAAGCAAAATAAAACAAAGAATTCCTACTCTAGTTCTGTTTAGACACGATTTAATAAACATTAAAGAAGTATCTGAGCTGAGGCTGGCAAGGAGGCTCAGCAGATAAAGGTACTGTTAATCAAGCCTGATGGATGACCGGAGGTCAATCCCTAAAGCCCAGGTAAAAATCCAGGTCTGCTGGCAGCATGCACCTGTGACCCCAGCACCCCTACTGTGAGATGGAAGGAAGACTCAGGAGAACGCCCAGAAACTCACAGACTGGGCAACCTGGAGTACTTGACCTGGCAGAAACAGCAAGAGAGGTCCTTACTCAAAAACGAAGTGGAAGGAAAGAATCAACTTCCCAAAGTTGTCTTCTGCTAAGCTTGCCTAAATGATAATAATAGATAAAGAATAATTGCCCAAGCTGAGCTTGGCTGTTCACATATATAATACCGGCACTTGAGAGCATGAGATAGCAGAATGACCATGGGTGGAAGGCTATGGTCTACGCAATGAGTTTCAAGAAAGTCTGAAATTAATATGTAGTGAAGCCATGTCTCTAAAAGAGAGATAAACATCCCCATGTATCCCCGTGGTTAGAGCACTTTAAAAAATACTGAGTAGCAGGCTGCTTGTCTTTTAATGTGACTCTGCTGAGTGATTAACAAAGGACTAAATGCAGTGGAAAATGTACTAAAATTCACATTCTGCCTGTGAAATAAAAAACTATGTAGTAAATTATGTACTCCTTTAGAAGAAGCCTGTGTTTTCTTGAAGTGTTAATATGCTTTTTAAAATTATTATACAGGATGGAACAAAGAATGCAGAAAGGGAAGATGAGTCTACACCCACATTCTCTGAAGATATTTACAGCACTCAAGACAGTTTGCTAGTTGGTAAGTATTCTGTGTGTCCTGTGATGATGATGATGATAACCAGGCACGAGATGACACTTTATATATGTTATAAAGTAAACCACAGGCTATCCTGTGAAATGCTATGCTTTTCTTTTTCCAAAATAAGAGTACTTTTTATTATTTCCATTTCACATTAAGAATCGGATTTGCCCAAGTCAGGCATCTTTAACCAGTAAACTATGATTCAAATCATCTCTAACACTAGAATACCACACAAGTATTTTAGGAGATGTGTGTTGATACAACCAAAATTTCTTATTTTTGACCTAAATTGATAATGCATTAAAAGCTAGTTAAGAGTTAGTCATAAAACACACTGACCATACTTACCAATACAAGTCTAAATAGTATATAGAACTCTGTTTTACTAGTTGTAAAGAATAGTTATATTAAAAGGTTTGACAAACCTGACTGTAGAATTCAGTATACACAGGTATAAGAACTGCAAGTGAATTAGAAAAGGCAGACGAGGGCCCATGAGATGGCTCAGTAGACAAAGGTGCTTGCTGTCTAAGCCTGGTGACCTGGGTTCAATGGCCAGGACCCACATAAAAGAGAAAGGAGAGAATTCCACAAAATTGTTTACTGACCTCACAAAGGTGCTGTGGCATGCTCCCCACACACATGTACACATACAATAATAATAATTTTAAGTTAAAGAAAAGAAGTGATCATTTGTAAATGATATGATGGTATGATGGTGTGTGCCCATACCCCAGCACTTGGAAGCATGAGGCAGGAGGATCAAGAGTTTAAGACAATCTGGGCTAGACAATTACCAGGCCATCAAGGGCTTCATAACAAGACACTGTCTCAAACGATAACAAAAATGTGGTCTTGGCATTTGTTAGAAGTGTGATTATAAGCCGGTGGAGTAAGATTAGACCACTTATCTAGTTATGCTAGAACAGTTAGTTTTCTAAGGTACTAAACACTTACACCAGATTCAAAAGTTAATTCCACGGGGTAATGATCTACAAGTAAGCTACAAAGTTCTTACCTCCTTGAAGAAAATACAGGGCCAAGGATGTGGTGGGTAAAGACATAGCTGAGCAAACCTAATCTCCTGAATTCAGTCCTCAGAACCACTGTAAAAGCCATATGTGGTGGTACACATCTGTAATTCCAGCACTCCTACAGTGAGATGGGAGTCAGAATGGAAAGATCACACAGAAGCTCATGGGACAAAAGTTGACCTCTGACCTTCATATACATGCCATGGCACACTTGTGATCTCTCTCTCTCTCTCTCTCTCTCTCTCTCTCTCTCTCTCTCTCTCTCTCTCTCTCTCTCTCTCTCTCCCACACACACACACACACACAATAAATAAACAAAAATTTAAATGCCTTTATGACAGTAGAAAAGTGAAATGTTTCTTGACACTTAAATACAAACCATAATTACTACATCTGATAATATTAAAATTAGAACCTAATATGTGATCAAAGTATAATCAACCAGTTAGAAAGAAACCACAGGCTGAAACCACAGACTGAGAGAAGGTATTTGCAATGTGTATAATTGATAGTAAATTGACATCCCAAAATAAAGAATTGCAACAGGAAAATGAACACATAACTCCATAGAAATTCCAGACAGTATGTGTCTGTTTTCTAGGGTTGACATGAATAAACACGGGCTGAGTGAGTGCCTTACACAGGAGGGAGGGGCTGCTTTTCTTATTGTCCTGGAGGCCCTGAGCGAAAGTTTAGTCTCTCTCCTCCACCTGAAGATGGCTACTATTCTGTTGTCTCTACCATGGCCTTTTGTCCCCAGGGCCTTTCTCTTCTTAGAAGGACCCTGATGTTGGATTAGGAATTACCCTTCTGGTTCCATTTGAGCCTGATGACTTCATTAAAGACCAAATACAGGACTTCAAAATATTAATTTTCTCTGGGCAGTGGTGGTGTGACACACCTTTAATCCCAGCACTCTCTGTAGCCCTGACTATCCTGGAACTTGCTTTGTAAACCAGGCTGGCCTAGAACTCACAGAGATCATCCTACTTCTGCCTCCTGAGTGCTTAGGACTAAAGGCATGTTCTCTCCTTAACAGCCTAAGATCCCTGCCCAGGGAAGGTCCCACTACAGTTAAGATGGGTCTGTCCTCGTCGATGAACATAATCAAGATAGTCCCAGAGAGACACGCACAGAGGCCCATCTCCCACGTGATCTGACAGCACCACGTCACACAGCCTAAAAAGAACTAGGCTTTCATTACTGGAGGAAGTATTAATTGATACAACTTCTTAGGAGAGTGATTTCACAATATCTAACAAAGTTTAAGCTGAGTATTTCCTAGAATCCAGCTATTCCATTTCTATATACCTGGAGATTAGACATGCCAGTGTACAAAGATGTCCAGTTCAGTGCTAGTTTTGATAGCAGAATTAGGAATAAGTTAAGCAATCAGTAAAAATGGAAAAAGTGTAATCTGTCAGTAGAATGAGTTAGATCTACATGTATCTATATGGCTATATCTCAAAAGGAAAATCTGAAATTAATTAAAGACTAGGTTTTATTTTACAGTGCTGGAGGTCAAACCTAGTGATTCCTACGTGCTAGGCAAATTCTCTATTCCTTTTTAAAAATGCCTTTAAAATATGCATCTGGAGGCATGTATATGCATGTGTGTCGGCCAGAGGACAGTCTTAGGTGTTGAACTCAGGAAGGCTGCCCATCATCTTTGAGATCCGGGCTCTCATTATTCTGAACTCCCCAATTAGACTAGGCTGGCTAGCCAGTGAGCCCCAGACATACTCTTGATCCTGCCTTCCCCTGCTGGGACTATAAGGGCATGCCACTGCATACACCACCATACCCAACACTTTGATGTGGGTCCTAGGTGTTGGGTTCAGGTTGTTGTGTTTACCAATTGAGTCATCCCTTCAATCCTGAAAGACTTTAAAGAATAGATATAGTCTTAATATTTGTGTAAAAATGTTATAGTTTGTAGTTACGATAGTTAGCCTAGGATATTGTAAGGCATTTTGAACTTTGAGGCTGTCTCAAATACTATATATCTCATTCAGACCTCATTTACTAGCTCAAAGTAGTTCAGTATTTCAGCAACACATACTTCATCTCTTTTTATATCTTACTTGCAAAGCCAGGTTTTTTGGAAGTTGCTGGGATAAAAATAGGCACTCTGTTGAGGAAGCAGGGGTGGTAGAGTGCAATCAGATTCCAGGGTCTGAGGTGCTGTGTGGTACTCTCAAGTGCTTATCTAAGTAGTCAGTATGGTTTTTACGATGATATCAAGCTCATGTAGATTATCAGAGAGTTGGTGAGTTGCTAGCTGTGTAGAGCTCTGCTATGTTATACAGCTGAATTAGATGCTCTGCATCTAATTTGGTTTTATTTGTTTGTTTGGTTGGTTGGTTGATTTTATTTTTATTTGCTTATTTGTTTTTCAAGACAGGATTTCTCTGTGTAGCTTTAGAGTCTGTCCTGAACTCGCTCTATTGACCAGCCTTGCTCAAACTCAGAAATCCACCTGCCTCTGCCTCCTGAGCCTGGGATTAAAGGCATGGACCACCATCACCCGGCCCACCTAATTTGTTTATACAGAGTTTCAAAGTAAAGCAATTAACCAATTGGCTAGACCAGCTGGCCAGTGAGCTCTGGGGATTTGCCTTCTTATGCTTCTCCAATACTATAAATTTATAAAAATTAAACATGTTGTGTGCATGCAATTATGCCACCCTATCCTTTTCCGATGTGTGAGTATATATATAGTTTTGTGTGTTTGAGTGTTTTGTCTGCATGTGTCTATACTTCAGGTGTATGTAGTGCTCTCAGAGGCCAGAGGAGGGCGTCTGATCTCTTGGGACTGGAACTAGACAGTTGCATGCTGTCATATGGGTGCTAGGGATCAAACCTAAGCCAAGCGTCATTCATACTCCTGTAATCCTACCATTTGGAGGTAAAGGCAGGAGGAGGATGAGTTTGAGGTTGTCCTAAGATAAATAGTAAGATGCTATATAAAAAAAGAAAAAGTTAGCCAGGCAGTGGTGGCACACGCCTTTAATCCCAGCACTTAGGAGGCAGAGGCAGGCAGATCTCAGAGGGTTTGAGGCCAGCCTGGTCTACAAAGCAAGTTCCAGGACAGCTAGGACTGTCACACAGAGAAACCCTGTCTAGAAAAACCAAAACAATAAAAAAGAGAAAAATGTTTTGTTTGAAATAACATAATTATTTAAAATTTTCAACTTTTTTTTTTTTTGGTATTTTTTTCGAGACAGGGTTTCTCTGTATTGTTTTAGAGGCTGTCCTGGAACTCACTCTGTAGACCAGGCTGGCCTCGAACTCACAGAGATCCGCCTGCCTCTGCCTCCCGAGTGCTGGGATTAAAGGTGTGCAACACCAACGCCCAGCTAAATTTCAACATTTTTAAGTATAACAGTTTTCCATGAGTCTATGGTAATTAATCATCTTCTTTCTTTTTCTAATAAGATATGAACCTTGGAAATTTCTCAGAGTGTGTACGGAACCAGCCAGCTAACACTAGGGTTTCTTCTTTGAGACAATTTGAACCCATTTGCAAATTTCACTGGATAGAAGCATTTAATGATGAGATGACATTTCAAGACCCGGGGGAAGCCTCTTCTTATCTGGAGAAGCCAGAGTTGCAAAGCCAGGAGTATAATGATACATCGGATGCCAGTGAGAAGCCCGACGCACTTAAGGGAGAAAGTCCGATGGAAACTAGCATTTCTGAAAATAAAGACCAACCTAGAAGTCTGTCTCTAAACTACTACAGAAGGGAGACACAGCTGTTTGTGGAAAATCCACAGGCTAGAAGTGCTGTTGTAGATGTTGCCCTGAACATCAGTCAGCCACAGAGTTTTCCGGGTAGAGAAAATGTCTGCACAAGTGGTGAAGATGCATTTGATAGTGAGAACTGCCTAGACCTGCTTGACTTGAGAGCTAATTGTGAAACAGAGGAGGTAAGATTCATTGGTGGTGTCATGAAAGCCTGTGGCATGCTAACAGATGCAGGGGTGTTTTATTGTTTAAAAACACACACTCTGAGACTTTCCAAATATCAGTAAGTCATCAGATCAGTTCACGGACTGTGCTTCCATGGGGAATCTTAGCCAATGGGATATAATTTTTCCTAAAACATTTGGGCCATAATTAGAGAGTAGCTCTACCAAAGTGTTATTTCTCTAAGGGTTATGACTCACTCACTGTCCTACTCCCTAATAGTTGCATGGCTTAGTCTCAACATGGTGTCTTAAATATGACACATTTTTATGTGCATTACACCAAACCCTAACCCTAACCCTAACCCTTTGACCTTGTGGGTAGGGTTGAGAAAGGAAGGTTGTACAGAGGTGTTTATTAAATTGTGTGACAAAACAAGGCCAAAGATTTGTCTAATTTGTAGACTTCTTTGGACAAGCAAATGCTTACTTGTCATAGGTTTCATTGGTTGCGGTCACCTGAAAACATCAGCAGTAGACAGTCTGTGTATCCTCTAAACAGCCTCAGCAGAAGAGTTTGACCCACCAGTAATGTAAACAATCACTTTTTCAGCATGGGTTTCATAAGTCATTACTCATCTGTCTGTGATCATAAGCAGGTTTTTTTGCTCATTGATTTAGAAATTAGACAGTAGTATTTGAAAGAGAACTTAGCTTATCTGTTGATTTCTAGAAACCAGTGTTTCGAAGATCTGCTTAATTTGGGTTTCCCAAGATTGTTTATTACTTTCCCTGTAGTCAATAGGTACTTTCAAGAATCTGTTTACCAGAACAGGATATGTAATGGTTATATAATGTTAAAAACAACCAAACAAGAAAAATCAAACAAGAAAAACGCATGGCTCTTGTCTTCATGAGAATATCATCCTAGTAAGGGAGACATATATTAAACAAATAATAACACAAACCACTGTGCACTTCACTCTTAGAACTACACAGAGTGATGGTTGCTTCTGCTGAGGGTATTTCACTAGGCAAGAGAGTCTGGGAGGCTTCCTTGAAGTAGTCTTTGGGCTGAGCTCTGATGGTTGGATAGAGGTCCATTGAACAACTGTGAATTGGGAAGCATTCCAGGAACAAGGAGCAATATATCTATGGACTCCCTGTATCTACAAGATCTATGATACCTATTAGAACCTCAAGGAAGCCTAGAGTCCAGGAAACATGGAGCTGCAGGGAGCAGGGGATATGAAAGAGAATGAGGACACAGTGGTAGGGTATCCTATCAATAGCCATTAGCAGGGTCTTGGGAACCTTGGGTAGATAACTGACTGTATCCCAGAGCAATGAAAAGTCGTTAAAAGTGCAGGGGCTCAGCATCTCTCAATCGATATAATACTACCCTACAGATACTTCATACAGGGGTTTTAACTTCATGTTCATTTCAGTGTTCTATACCACAATTATGCACTCTTTTGTTACATATACATGCCCACCAAATATGTATTGTGGGCATAAAGCCAATCATGAGGTATGTCTTTCATTCTAATATTCATAGGAGTCAGCATGGGTGAAGTAATGATCTAAGTGGAATATTATTAAAGATCTTTACTCAAAAGACCTTATAGTCTGTAGGTTAATTAATACATTTGTTTAATTGATTTTGAAACCAATGAAAGCACCTTATATGTGACCAGGGTTTACATCATAGGAGACGATGAGAGTCCAAATAGAATTTTTCTTTTATCTGAGTAAATATGATACAAATGTCTAGCATATGCCTACTGCTTGTGCTCTGCCATGATGTTGGGAGCTATACTTGGCAGTCTGCTCTTTCACATTTATCTTATTTACTATAATTTTCAGCCTGAAGTTTCTTCAAAAGAAATACAGAATTCTGGGGAGCTTTCTGAGATGTCAAGTAGTCACCATCAGGAAGTCACAGAAGATGGTGTAGACAGCCTAGCCCTCGCCTCACCTTGGTTTCCAGCAGGCATCTTCAAGAACAGTAGATCTCAGGACAACTGTATGATGCCTGATAGGGAACTATGCTTTGAAAGCTTGGAGCCTTTGGAAGAGGACATGGCTTTAAATGAAGCCTTGCAGAAATTAAAGCAGACTAACAAAAAACAGGAAATTCAGATCCAAGACCTCCATAGTAGGAACTTGCACTTAGAAAACAGGGTTAAAGAACTACAGATGAAGGTCATCAAACAGCAAGTATTGGTTGACATCATAAACAAACTAAAGGAGAACATTGAGGAGCTAATTGATGACAAATACAACGTACTCCTAGAGAAGAATAATATTAACAAGAAATTCCAGGATCTGCAAGAGGTTTCCGCCAACACCAAAAAGCACCTTCAGGAATCCAAGAAAGACAAGGAGACCTTGCAGCTCGAGGTTAAAAAGATCAAGGTCCATTATGTCCGTTTACAGGAAAGGTATATCGCCGAGATACAGCAGAAAAACAAATCGGTCAGTCAGTGCCTGGAGATAGAGAAGACCTTAAGCAAGAAAGACGAAGAGCTGCAAAGGCTGCAGCAGCACAAAGGAGAGCTGGAGAAGGCCACCAGTTCCGCTTTGGACTTGCTGAAAAGGGAGAAGGAGATCCGGGAGCAAGAGTTCTTGTCTTTTCAGAAGGAGTTCCAGAGGCGGGAAAAGGAAAACCTGAAAGAAAGACGGAAATTGAAGTCAAGAGTGGAGTCACTGATGTTGCAAGTGAAAGGTTTACTGTTAACCTGTGAGAGCGAGAAGGCAGCGGCTACAAAGCTCCAGCAGCAGGTCAACCAGCTGAAGCAGGAAAACGCAGAGCTCCAGCAGCAGGCTGCCAAGGGGGAGGCACAAACTTGTGCCCCTCACTTTGAGATAATTCAGTCAAGAAAGCAGCTGGAGGAAGTGATGGAGCCAGGTGACACCCAGGTATTGATGCTGATGCTGAATGCCTAACACAATCCCCAAAGTTTCAAGTTTGTAGGAAGTTCTGAGCTTCTTGTTTGTAGGAAGAATTTTTAAAAAGGAGAAACAGAAAGGGAAATGTACCACAAATTTAGGAAAGTTTCTACTGATTTCTGGGTACTCACCTTAAAGAACAATAATTCCTGGCTTCTTGTGACAATTTTGGTAAAGGAGACAATTAACCTGGGTTTTTTATGGGTACCCATGATCAGCCCTAAGAATCATCTCTAGAAGATTCCTTTGAAACAGGATTTTCTTTCTTCCCCTCCTTCCTTCCTTCCTTCCTTCCTTCCTTCCTTCCTTCCTTCCTTTCTTCATTTCCTTCTCTCTTTGTTGTTGTTGTTGGGGATCATGTTGTATCTCTGGTTTATTTGTACTACCAGAGGATTCTTGAAGTGTGGTTTCAAATCTAATTTAGCAACAAATTAAATAAAACTGTTCTTTTTCTTACAAAATAAGACCATAGTACATCTTACTTGTAAAATTATGAAGCATTGAAAACACAGCATTAGAACTTTTTATCAACACATTTAGAAAAATTGCATTTTTAATGTCATTCTAAAACTGTGCTTTTGTTTATTTGTTTGCTTGTTTTAGCAAAGTACCTAAAAGCACATCCAAGAAGGGATAGTTTGCACAAGTCACAGCACACATGATACAGTTCTTCCTTAAAGTATATGAATCTTAATAGAGTTAAATCTAAAATCTACTTTGGTTGGCATATTTGTTCATGACAGGGTCTTGATATGCAACTCAGGCTGGCCTGAAACTATGCAGTCAAGGCTGGCCTTGAACTCAAGATGCTAATACCTGAGACTCTGAGTGTTAGGTTTACAGGTATGAGGCACTGCACTGCCTAGGTAAAGACTGGTTAAGAAGAAAGCAGGTCTGGCAGCTGTGGAAGTGTATGCCAAGGGACTAGTAGCTGAAGAAAGCAAGGCAGTTTGAGCTAGAAAATAGGACAAGTCTATTTTACTTCTAAAACTATTCTTTAATTGTTGCTTGATTTGGCTTCAGATGGTCTTGTTATGTAGACCATGCTGGCCTCCTATTTCCTGTGATTCTCCTGCCTCTGCCTTCACATAGTTATAGGCACGTGCCATCATGCCCAGCTATTTTTACTTTTCATCTTGTAATAACTTGAATGGAGCTGGTATATTGTTTTGAATGTATCATGGAGCATTCTCATAATAATTATGTGTTATTTGAGAGTAAATCTATTAATTTTTTGGAATTAATACACACACACACACACAGGAAAGAGCTCGCTAAGCATCACCTAAATCAGTGATTTTTAAACTTAGGCACTCACAGCATGACCAGGAGGGTTTGTTGGCATACAGACTATGTTCTTGAGAATATGCTGTTCTAGCAAGATCCTGGGGTGGGATAGGGGAGTATATGGTGCTATTCCAGGGCCCATACTTCAGAGTGACTGACCTTAGCAGAGACCTTGAGTTTAGCTCCTCCCAAACCATAGTACCTTTCCAGGTGATTTGACTACAGAGTTTTAATGTGACATAGATTTTTTTCACTAGGTTTCATGTCAATTTCCTGGTCTTTTTTTTTTTTTTTTTTTTTTTTTTGGTTTTATGAGACAGGGTTTCTCTGTATTGTTTTGGAGGCTGTCGGTCCTGCCTGGCCTCGAACTCACAGAGATCCGCCTGCCTCTGCCTCCCGAGTGCTGGGATTAAAGGCATGCGCCACCACCACCCGGCTCCTGGTCTTTTCTTAACTAAAGAATTTCTTCAACATCTCCAGATTCACACTTTTTTTTTGCTTTCTTTATTCTGAGTCCATTTTCTCAAAATATGCTCTGAGAGCATCTGTGAAAGTCAAAAGTATTTTTGTAGTGATATTAAGACATCATTGGTGTGGTATAGCTATTTCTTCTGCCTTCCATCTCAGTGTCTTCTTCAGTGCTCCCAATAGACTTTCTGGGGCAGAGCATCAGAGCCACTGTGATGAGGACCCCAGGAAGCATTTGCTATTCTCCGTGGAAAATACTGGCTATGATGGTCCCAGTCTTTGGATCTGCATCTGCTACTCCTTCCTTCCTCCTCCCTCCTTCCCTCCCTGCTTCTCTCCCCTCCCTCCCTCCCTCCCTTTTTTGGTTTGTGTTTTGTTTGTTTGTTTGTTTGTTTGGAGACAGGGTTTTATATTATGGAACCTAGGATGACTTCAGCCTATATAACCTAGATGATCTTCCTACATTAGTCTCCCAGCTTCTTGGTTTACAGGTGTGAGCCACCATTCCTTGCGTTTATAGTAAGACAAACTGCTTAAGGAATATGGTTGTTTTGGACTAGTAAGCTGGCTCCCTGGGTAAAGCACTTGCCGTCAAACTTGAGAACCTGAATTCAACTACTGGAATTCACATGGTGGAAGCAAAGATCTCGCTCCCTAAAATTGTTCTGTGACCGCCACATGTGTTGCACACACAAAACAAAATTGAATGTAATAAATAATAAAAAATATTTTTATTCATTTAACAGATATGAAGAATGTTCTTAAAACGAAAAATCATTTTGAAAGTTGGATCAGACTCTAGAACTCATATAGCATACTATATATGTTTGTAACTAAGCTAATAGCATGGAATAAAAGACATTGTTGCTGGATATGGTGTATACGCTTATAATCTCAGACACTTGAGGTCTGAAGAAAAAGAATCCCAAGTTTGTAGCCAGCCTTGGCAACACTGTCTTAAAATTTCACAGGATGGGCAGGGGCAGATAAGTGGTGAAGAATTTGGCTTTGCATGTGGGAATACTTGTTTTGGTTACCTCTCTCAAAAGACATTATTGCTTTTCCCATTGTTATTTCTCAAATGTGTGACAAGTGGTAATGTAATCGCCCTCCTGGATGATTGGCTGTGTATTAGTCACTATTCTATTGCTGTGAAGAGACACCATGATCAAGGCAACTTTTATGAAAGAAAACATTTAATTGGGGACTTGTTCACTGTGTCAGGGGTTTAGTTCATGGTCATCGCGGCAGGGAGCATGGCAGTATGCAGGCACACACTGAAGTGGCAGCTGGGAGCTACATCAGATCTGTGGGCAGAAGAAGACACTCTGGGCCTGGCATGCACTTTTGGAACCTTAAAGCCCATCCCCACCCAGTGCCACACATCCTCCACCAAAGTCACACTTACTCCAACAAGGCCACACCTCTGAATCATTCTAATCCTTTCAAAAAGTGCCACTCTCTGGTGACATTCAAACATGTGAGCCTTTGGGACATTTTTATTCAAACCACCACAGGATGTGTGGATCAAAGGTGAGAACCCTGCTGCCTTTTCCACTATAGAATTAATAGCTGGGCCATGGTGGCACTCACCTCTAATCCCAGCACTCAGGAGGCAGAGGCAGGCAGACCTCAGGGAGTTCAAAGCTAGCCTGATTTACAGAGTGAGTTCCAGGGCAGGTTCCAAAGCTATACAGAGAAACTCCAACTGGGGGGAAAAATCAACTGTAGAATTAAAATTAATTGCAATGAAGCTGGGTGGTGGTGGCGCACACCTTTAATCCCAGCACTCAGGAGGCAGAGGCAGGTGATCTGTGAGTTTGAGACCAGCCTGGTCTACAAGAGCTAGTTCCAGGACAGTCTCCAAAGCCATAGAGAAACCCTGCCTCGAAAAACAAAACAAAACAAAAATCCTCAGTATTTTTTTGTTTTTACAATTGTGCTTTTTCTCAATAAATTGTAAGGGTATAAAGGCACTCCACGGAAAAATGTGTCAGAACCACTGCTCAGCGCTTCTAAGTGTAGTGTTTTATTTAAAAGCTAATATTGCTCCTTTGACTTTATTGTGACAAATCTGAATTGTGTACATATAGGGTACAAAGGGGCTACATTCTAATTTGTTCCTGGATTGCTCACCTTGTAAAGAGACCCTGGAACTTCCACCTATGAAGAGAACTACTCCACTGGCCTCTAGAATTCACAGTCTTTTGGCCCTGACAATAGGACTTCTCACATGTCAGGTAAAAATGAATGAATGAATAGATAAGTAAGTAAATGAGATCCATCAGTAGGGTTGGAGTGAGCTGAGAGAGGTCTCAGAACCAAGTTACAGAAAAAGAAAAGACAAAGCCAGACCTGCAAACACACTGCCCTCCCTTGAGACTTCACACGGTCTATCCTTGACATCCACTTTCCACAGCTGCATGCAGCCAGATGCAGTGAGAAAGTGGTAAAGAATAGAGATATTAACTAGCTAGCTGGTCCTTCTTCCTTGCAGAGTACTTGTCTTGTATTTTTGGCCAGTCTCTTCTTAACGATTGTTCACATTAATGAGTTGTTTGCCTAATTACAAATAGTTTGGGTCAGGGAGAACTGTATACATGAGTAGAATGAAAAATAAAGGAAGAGTGTTGGAGAGGTGGCTCAGGGGTTAAGAACTGCCCTCCCACAGGACCCAGGTTTGATGCTCAGCATTCAGAGAGGCTCAGAACCACCTGTAATTTAAGTTCCAGGGGCTCTAGCTGCTCTATGGCCGCTGTGGACATCAGACACATGTGCAGGCTGTAGAAACACCCACATATCCATAAAATAATCCCCAAAACTTGAAGTATCAATGAGCTTGAATCCTGGCCCCAAATGCCTTGGTTATATGATTCGTCCAAGTATCATGACCTTTCTCAGCCTGTTCCTTAAATAAGGAACCACACTTGTCCTGTCCTGGCCAGCAACTGCTTTTAACAAAAATGATATGAAAGGGTGTGTACTTACTAGATTTTCAAATTAGCTTTTTCTTCTGTTGTACATTTCTTCAGGTGTAAGTACTGAGCTGAAATACGAATGGGTCATTTGCCATGGTTTTTTTTTGTTTTTTTAATTATGTAATTAATTATTTTTTGAGACAGGGTTCTCTGTGTAGTACTGGTTGTCCTGGAGCTCACTCTGCAGACCAGGATGACCTCAAACTCAGAGATCCACCTGCCTCTGCTTCCCAAGTGCTTAAAGGTTCCACCACCACTGATGGCACGAACCATTTCTTGATTCTTGAAAAGTCAGTGAAATGTATCACAAGGAAGGTGTGTACCACCACACCCAGCTCTCATTCCTGTTTTTTTTTTGTTTGTTTGTTTGGTTTTTTTTTTTTTTTTTTTTTGGTTTTTCGAGACAGGGTTTCTCTGTATTGTTTTGGAGGCTATCAGTCCAGCCCAGCCTCGAACTCACAGAGATCCGCCTGCCTCTGCCTCCCGAGTGCTGGGATTAAAGGCGTGCGCCACCACCGCCCTTCTCATTCCTGTTTTTAATGTGACAAAAACCTTTGTATCATCTAGCTAAACGTTGTTGATGACAAGTATTTGTTGAGTGCAGATCACAGATCTCAAAGCGGCGGCCCGCAGACACACAACACTGTTTTTAAGGGTTTGAATTAGACGTGGTACAGGCCCTTGTTGGTTACTAGCTTTTTCATCCCATCCTCTCAACAGTTGCTTATGTGCAGTAGCTGTAAGATTTCCCCTGGCTTGTAGCTTCTGTTCGTTTTTAGTCCCGTTTGTTGACTGCTTCTGTACTGGGTGTCTTAATGGCAGTGTGTCATCAGTCCTCTCAGTGAATCCATTGCATCCCAAACATACTTTCTGTTGGCCTGCTCTATATCTCCCACCCACTAGGTATTCAAGCTTTCTGTTTGTTCTGTACCTAGTGCAGAGTCAAGCCCATAATGAGCTTGCAGCAAGTACTTCTTGACTGTCTCTGGAAGGGCCCACATTTACTGTCCTTAACATGCTTGAATCAACCTTATATCATTCTTTGTCTTATTAGGCTTTTGTCTTTAACTCAGAAAAAGAAACAAGCTTTAGAAGAGTTGAGCTCTTGTCCATGTAAGTAGCAGAACTCAAACAGAAAACCTTACACATTAAACTTCTAAGTTATCTTGCTGTAATTATCTTCATCCTGGCTACTCTTTTTCTTTTTGGGTTTTTTGTTGTTGTTGTTTTGTTTTGTTTTTTCTTTTGTTTTTAGAAACAGGGTTTCTCTGTATCATTTTGGAGACTGTCCTGGAACTAGCTCTTGTAGACTAGGCTAGTCTCGAACTCACAGAGATCCGACTGCCTCTGCCTCCCAAGTGCTGGGATTAAAGGTGTGCGCCACCACCATGTGACTCATCCTGGTTACTCTTGAACTACTTACTTGCAATGTATTGTTGAGGATGTCTGCTGTTCTAGTGTCAGAGATAGCAGTTTATTTTAAGTTTGGATATGTAAACTGCCCAGGCTAAGGAGCAATATACTATGAATGTGTAAAAATGCATTTATTATAGATGAGGATTAGCAACTATATGCTACCCACTCTTTTTGCTGTTGTGTGTGTATGTGTGTGTGTTTGTTATGTTGTATGTATGTTTGTTGTTTGAAACAGGGTTTCTCTGTGTAGCCCTAGCTGTCCTGGAACTCACTTTGTAGACCAGACTGGGCTTGAACTCACAGAGATCCTCCTGCCTCTGCCGCCCATGCTGGGACTAAAGTAGTGTGCCACCACATCCCGCTCTTAATAGCAGTGTGTGTGCATGTGTGAATCCACATGCAGGCTTTCATATTAACTCTTAGTGAGATAATGAAGAGTATCTGATTATCTCTTTTGGCCCCTTACTTCTGAAAGTGGGTTTTCCTTCTCCATTTTGGCTTCAGAGAAAAAATTTCAATCTAGTTTCTCAAACCATTATCTTTAGGATATCACCATTCCTAATGCTGAACATTGCCAAGAAAGTAAGAAAGCTAATGACATAATGCTGCAAAAACTGAAGAGGTTTCAGCTTAAAAAGAGAGATCTAGATAAAGAGGTACTGTATTGTTTATTTTAAAACCTGATTCAGTTGAGTGGGAAGTAAAGCTTAGGGACCAGACTAGCTTATTATGCTTCTTAGAAGTAGGTACACTAGCCAACATTTGACTTGCTTACAATGTAAATCTACACTGGAAAATTTTATTCACAGGGGCTGCTACACATGCACCCACAAACATACACATACCACACATACACACGAAATAAATAAGTGTAATAAAATTTTTAAAATTTTCCCATGATATTTCTGATTCCTAAAGAGGAGTTTGTTTTGATATCCCTTTTAGTGGCTTCAAACTTTGTCACTTGGACACATTTAAAACAAAACCCGTTATTTTTCCATTGGGAAGAAGGGTCAGAAAAGAAGTACCTAGAGTTTCCTCATTGCCTTTTCCAAAAATCTAGATTTAATTGTTCTTACTAATGGGTGTGTGCTGGGGGGGTCACTTGGGTCACAGCACATGTGTGGTGGTAAGAAGACAATGTTCAGGAGTTGGTTCTTGCCTTCCCCCAAGAACTCTAGGGATCGAACAGGACTCAGCATCCAGCTATACTCCTAGCTATGATGTCTTATACCAAAAGGCTATCAGGGGAAGGCACAGTGGAGCCGAATCAGAAGGAAGAAGGTTTGCAGGTATCCTGGAGGAGTCACAAAAGTCTGAGCATCATTTCCCTAGCACTAAATTGTGATCACAGGGTGAGGGGTCATGTGCCAGGAAGTTCAGTAAAACCACTTACCCATAGAATTTTTATTGGGGAAATCATGTATCGAAGTTCCACTCACTAGAAATGAAGCAAGTGTTTAGTCTAAACAGCATGCTGTGGACAACAGTTTGGCCTAGTGAGTCATTCATAGCAAGGGGCATAAAAACCTCATGCAATTCAGGGCTCTAAGTGACTTGCTAGCTGGTCTGGCTAAGCATAGCAGTCTTGGGCTGGCTGTGGGAATTCTTTGTCAGGGAAGTGGTGAAATTATTACATCATTTAGGAATTAAATGGAAGTGGTTGCATGACATTATTTATCATAAATATTCTAACAGGTCATTTTATTTCTTTTCCTTTAAAATATAAAATGCCTTTTTTCTAGTTATTGAAACATAAAAACAGAATTGCAACTCTTAAAGAGTTAATTGCTAATGAAAAAGCATTTCAAGATCACACTATTGAGGTGAGTTTATCATGTTATGCTTTGTCTTCAACATGCTAATACACTGCAGATATTTATGTTCTCTTGGCAAATTTATTGATGTCCTTGAAGCTCTTAACTAGCTTTGGCTGTCCAGGAACTCACTCTGTAGACCATGCTGGCCAGGAACTCACAGAGATCCACCTGCCTCTGCCTCTTAAGTGTTGGGAATAAAGGTGTGGGCCACCACCACCACCCAGCAAATTCTGTACTTCTATGAATTCAGTTCATGTCACTCAATCCTCAAACTTTGAGTTTCAAAAGAAATTGGGTGTGTTTTGCTTGCATGTGTATACACTGTGTGTGTGTGTGTGTGTGTGTGTGTGTGTGTGTGTGTGTGTGTGTGTGTGTGTGTGTGTGTGTGTGCAGTGCCTGAGGAGATCAGGCAGGAGAGGGCATCAGCTCCTGTAGCACTGGAATTACAGATGTTTGTGAGGCCACCGTGATACTGGGAACTGAACCTGGCACCTCTGCAAGACCAGCAAATTCTCTTAACTACTAAGCCATCTCTCAAGCCCCCATCTTTGATTCTCAAGTTAAAAAGATACTGTAAAATGACAGGAGTTGTAACTACTATAATATGTGCAAACATACTTAATCTCAGGTCACAGATTTTGATGCGGAAGAAGCCAGGAATACCAGAGATGCACCTGTGTTACTGGCAGTCAGACTGGATAAATATCACAATCTAAATGAGGAGCTTAATTTCTTGGTAAGACAGGCCAATGCCTTATGGTATCCTTTTTATGCCCATTGCCATCTACTACATTTTAAGAATCTTCAAAGTATTGCTCATTAAAATAGTCATAATAGCATTGGGGCAGTATTATCAACAAAAGTATGGAAGTATTTTCATGTCTTAAAATTGGTAAAATGGCTCAGTGGTTAAGTTGTAATTCTAGAGGACCCAGGTTCAATTCCTAGCACACTCAAGATAGCTTACAACTATTTATAAATAAAGTTCCAAGAGATCCAATGCTCTCTTCTTGCCTCTCCAAGTACCAGGTATGCAAGTAGGATACAGACATACACAGACCAAACATCCATATACATAAAATAAAAATAAAAATGAAATTTTAAAGTAAGCATAAAAATTTAAATATTGTTCAACTTGATTTGTGTTCAGACTTAGGATTTCTGTCTTTCAAAATGCAGAAGCCAAGAGATAAACATGCTTTTATTTTCCCTAATATTAGGCATCAAACCCAAGGCCTGCCTGATGCCAGACAAGCATTCTACCACTATCTATATATCTCCCTTTATTGTTATTTATTTTTCAAACCGTTATTATTTATTTGTTTATATATATACATGCAGGTGCCCTCAGAGGTCAGAAGAGGGTGTCAGATTACCTGGAGTGCTAGTTGTTTTGAGCTGCCTGATGTGGGTGTTGGGAATCAAACTTCAGTCCTCTAAAAGAGCAGAACTAGTGCTCTTAACTGCTGAGCCATTTTTCCAGCCTCCCCATGCTCTTTTTGAGATGGGCTCTTACTATCTAGTTCAAGTCAACCTTCATCTCATAATATCCTACCTCAGCGTCTGAAGTTCTGGGCTTACAGATACATGCCACACACAGCTCTCCAAAATACGTGCTACTTTTCATTGTGGATAAAGCACACTTATGCTTTTGTGTAGTCTGCTATAATAGCTGCATTCGGTAACTATGGTTGGAAATAACTCTTTGTTTACCTCAGCTGTCACATAAGGAGAATGAAGGAAAACAGGAGAAAATGCAAACAGGATTTTGGTGTTTAGACAGTTACAGAACAATTAAAAAAACTGAGTTGGTATGGTATTTTTCTTTTTCTGTACTATATTTTGATATACATATACAATGTGCATTAATCAAATCATTCTCTTCTTACCATAACTTGGTGTTTGGTGCTCTGCTCATTTCCCTTGTGACTATAGAATATTCCTGTGATCACTGAGTCTTATTACTACTGTGTTTGATATACTGGTTACTCAACTCCCTGCCATCCTGTGTTGTTCTTTATTCTTCTACACCCTCACTTCAACTGTTTAAACGATCTGTCTATCAAACAGAATATGCAGTGTTTATATTCCTGGGCCTGATTTATTTTGTTTACTATAATATTCTCCTGTTCCATTCATTTAGCTGTGTAAGAATGTATCACTGTCACATGATAATCAAAGTTGGTTTTTGTTTGTTTGGTTTCAGCACAGGGTTTCTTTATGTAGCTCTGGTTGACCTGGAACTCACTCTGTAGACAAGCTAGCCTGGAACTGAACTCAGAGATTGGTAGCTGCAGTCTACCAAGTGCAAGGATTAAAAGCATGTGCCATCACTGCCCAGTAATCACAGTTCTTTTTAAATGCCTATCCATGTATTTCTAAAAAAAAAAAACTTAAAATCAGACATGGCCACTATATTTATTACATAGCCATTCACCTTTGAAAGTGAAGGAAAGTGCAGATACATGCCTAATATCCCAGAAACCTAAAGGCTGGGGAAGGAGGGTTTCAAATTTGAGGCTAATTTAAGCTATATATTGAATTCAAAATTAGTCTGGTCAACTTAGGGAGAGCTTGCCTCAAAATTGAAAAGCAAAATAAATATAAAGTAGCCTGGAAATAGAATTCACCTCTCACACACTCTGGGCCCTTGGTTCCTCTCCCACGCCTGGGATGAAGAGAGGAGGAAGAGAGGGACGGAGTGCTGCAATTTCCCAGCACATTGTTTACCACTGCTTCTCAGGGTCCTCCTCTACAGATACAGAAGTGTATTTAAACGTGAGAAGACTGACAGTCACTCAGCACTGCTATTTAGTGGGAAGCTTTCTGTAAATAAGCTTTCCTGATGAACCTAAATGCTGCTCTCAGAAAAATTAATGTTTTATTTAAAGCTTATATTACATTTAATTGATTTGTGTGTGTGTGTGTGTGTGTGTGTGTTTGTAAAACTATACTGGCATGCCACGGCACACATGCAAGTCAGACAGCAACTTGCAAGAGTTGGTTCTCCTTTCCATTTGGGTCTGGGGGATAGTATTCAGTCATTATCTGTGGCTGCAAGTGCCTTTGCCCACTAAGTCATTTGCCCACTTGTACACTTTTTAATTTTCAATAATATTCTTGCAAAAACTGAACCATGGTCCAGTAGCTGGACCATGAAGTACATTAAGCTGAAACTTAAAAATGAGCATCATTTGCAAGGGAGGGTATGTCTCAGACCGGTGCGTGCATCATTACCCACATCACTGTTCTGACAGACTCAGGCATGTCTCTGCATGTGTTATCTATGCAAAGGACAGTGATGAAAGCTGGGTGTGATTAATGTCCGTAGGTTCTAGCAGATGCATGGTTTCTTACAAAGCCATTTCATAGTAGAAAATAACAGAATCAATAAAAGTCCATCATAATTCCTGCTTGTGTGTGCTGTATACAGCAATCTACCCCCAGATCCAGCTCATCTATTTCTTAACTGAATTTAGTAGAACTCAATTTCAGAGAATACTGGACTAAAACATAGCTGCTTGTTTTCATTTTTACACTTGTTTCTTGGTGGTTTCCAGGTTACATTTTCACTGATGTTTCTCCATAGATCACAAAGTTGGGGGGCCTTCTAGAGAGCAAAGAAGAACACTACAGCAGACTCATCGAGGAGAATGACAAGTACCGGAGACATGTAGGCAGCTTAATAAATAAGGTACAAGTTTTCTTACAGGAAAACAAACAAGCCAATCCAAACCTTCAAACAATTATGCCAGGCAGCAAAAACTGGTTGGGGATGTGGTCCAACTGGCAGAGCACCTACCCTGGGTTTGGTCCTCAGCATCAAAACCAAACCAAACAACAAAAAACTCAACACAAGCATCACATCAGCACTAACAGAACTCCAAAGCTAAAAGGACCCGAGGTTTGCCAAGCCACTTTATTCTGGTCCCTTTTACCAGGTAATACGCATCAAATGCCCCCAGTGGCGGGATAGCTGGAAAGTGGCCAAGAACCTTGCTCCAGGCACTTTTAAGTTTTAATTTTGCTACTTTACCTTCAAGATAATTAAGTATCTTGCCAACTTAGTGTTTTAGTTTATGTTTTGTTTTCACTTTGGCCTTTTGAGACAATGTCTCCATATGTAACCCAGGCTGGCCTTGGAATCTCACATTCTACTTACTGCCTCAGCCTTCTTCCCAAGTACTAAAATTGAAGGTGGCCCTCCTTCAGATCTCTGAGTTTAAGATCAGCCTGGTCTACACAGCAAGTTCCAGGACAGCTAGTAGGGCTGTTAAACAGAGAAACCCTGTCTGCAAAAGCCAAAAACCAAAAAGACTGCATTAACTTTAACCAGATAGGCTGACCCTGTATCATTGGTATTGTTGTGTGCAGACAGGTAGATGATAGTGCACTCATTGAAGCTGTTTAGTTTCTGGGACTCATATTTATAGCCTGATGAGTGGGCCTCACTCTATTGTTATTCATATTCCTGAGATCAAAATAGAAAAAGGGTGTTCTGTCTGTTGTAAGATTTTCATTTATTGTAATCAAATAAGTAAACTTCAATTTGTAAAGATTTTTAAAAAGGGGAAAGTAATCAAAATTAAATACAAATGCTTGTATTTATAAAAAGAATACTTATTTTCTCAAGGTAACATCATATGAAGAAATTATCAAGTGTGCTGACCAAAGACTTGAGATATCCCATTCTCAGATTGCATAGTAAGTTAATAAAACTCATTTTTTAAATTTCGTGAATATTTACTGATGTTTTATTTCATTTTCTGGCTTCTAAGATCTCTTTCTCTGAAAACAAGGGTGCATGTGTAGGGTGGGCTAAAACCATGTGTCAGGACCTGGTTCGGAAGAAACCGCTTTATTACTCATTTTGCATGGAAGACGCCGCTGGTTCAAGAGCACAGCCTGGTTTCTCACCTGCTGCGTGCTTGCCTTGCTGCTGTTTTCAAGCGTTCACAACCTTTCTGAGAATTTTGGTATATAAACGAACTTCTTAAAAGGCACCACCAGTTTATAGTTAATCCAAAGAAAAAGAATCACAGGCAGTTTGGGACTTCTGGTCTTGGGTTTTGTTTCCTATTTTTAAAAATCTTCATTGACCTGGGCTTTTGAGTAACCTCGCTGCCCCCCCCCCCCGCCATGTTCTCCCTACCACCATGGACATCACCACCCTCTTCCCCGACCAGTCACAGGAAGAGCTGGAGAACGGTAGAGCCACAGTGATGATCAGGCCACCCACCCCGAAGTTCAAAGGCTTTATTCTCTCCAACTGGCTATCCCATCAGGAACCAGTGGCAGTCACTGTGGCCCCACAGCATCAGCTCCATCCTCCTCTTCCAGGCGGAGTACCCATGCCTGCAGGGTCCACAGCTGTTCTTCCCAGCAGACACACTGGCCAGCACCACGCCCACTGCCCCCTCCCACCTGATGGACAGACAGCTACTAGACAGCAGTTCCTGAGGGGCTGATGGGCAACTTGATTGTTGAGTGAGAGCCCTGATAGCAAGCACGGCAGTCAGTGGGCCATCAGCTTTGCAAAAGGCCACCCTGCGTCCCAGAATTAAGCAGGACAGTGTCCTCTTGAATGTTTGGCTGGCCCCTATGGGCCCAGTTGGAAGCTGGACCACAGGTCAGCAACAGGAATCAACGCACAAGACTTCCTCTTGCAGTTCTACCTGAGAGCCAGCGACTGCCACCTGTCTAGGTGCTTACCCCAGCCTGCCATCCCATAGCTACCCGTCAGGATATCACCTGCTCTGGAGCTCCACCACCAGGAGCTCACCACACAAGGCTCTGCCCACCGCTCAGAGTGGGGAAAGGGTAAGAACAGCTCCATGGCGCCTCAAGGCAAGCCTGCTAACCCACACAGGTGAGGAACCTTACCACTGTGATGGGGGCAGCTGTGGGTAGACATGCCCGCTTCAACGAACTGACCTTGGCACTACTGCAATACACCTTGACCTTCCAGTGACAGAAGCGCGACCCAGCGTTTTCCAGGTGGGGCTGCCTCACCTTACACTTCAAGAATCATTTTGCAGCCCAGAGTGGTAGTGGGTTTTTAATCCTAACACTTGAGAGGTAGGCAGATCTTTGAGTTCAAGGCCAACCTGGTCTACAGTTGGAGCTTCAGTACATCCAGGCTACACAGAGAAATCTTGTCTCAAAAAACCAAAACCAAACAAAGATATTTTGAATCCCAAACAACAGAACTTCCAGGAAACAACCCAGAGTGTGCCCAAGCCTTTCACACCCTTCCCAAGAAGGGAGAGGCCTAACCCACAAGCCAGACCATCAAGGCCTAGCATGGTTGGTTGTGAATGCATAAGCAGAAGACAAGAATCCAGAAGACAGAGACCAGCAGATAGGGGCCTAGAGCTGATTCGTCTCCTTCCCATTCCAAATTCAACATGAACGTCTGGACATAAAATGCCAGGGGTGCCTGGAAGTTTGGGGTGTCAGGGTTTATATCAGATCTGAGTTAGGAAGAGGGAATAAAGCAATCCCTTAAATTGTTTCTATGATGCAATGCAAATACATAGCTCATTCTGTGTTCTTGTTACTTTCCAAAAATGATGTAAGGAAAGTAAGAAACTCAGGAACAGAAAATATTCTAGGGCTGGAGAGATGACTCAGAGGTTAAGAGCACTGGTTGCTCTTTCAAAGGATCTGGATTTAATTCCCAGCACCCACACGGCAGCTCACAACTGTTTGTGTTTGTAATTCCAGGGGATTTGACACCCTCACACAGACTTACATTCAGACAGAACAGTAATGTACAAAGTACATAGAATAAATTAAAATAATTTAAAATTTTTCTAACAGTCTAAATGATGGCACTAAGACTACAAAATGAGGATGGTACTAAATGATCTACATTATGAAATAACCTAGGTATGTGCACCTGCTTTACGTCCTTAACATTTTGTTTGGGTTTTTGTTTTTGAGAGATAGTTTGATTTGTGTTCATGCATGTACACAGGCTTGCCAGTGCACGTGTGTGTGGAAGTCAGAGGACAAGTTTCGGGACTCAGTTATCTCCTCCCATGTGGGTTCTGGGATCAAACGCAGGTTGAGGCTGCCATTTCACTGACCCTCTTACATTCTTCCCAGCATCCCTTCTTTGGTGTTCCCTGAGCTCTGCCAGCTTAGTTTTGGCTTTCACCCTTCCATGTTTCACTTTCAGTTTGTGACTGCTTTTGTCATTGAGGTACATTTCCTAGAGACAAAAGAAGTTTGGATCTTGCTTTTTAGTTCAATCAGCCAGTTAGCGTCTTTTGGTTGTTTTGTGTTTTGTTTTTTTCATGGCAGGGTCTCTCTGTGCAGCCTTGGCTGTCCTTCACCTCACGCTATGGACCAGGCTGGTCTTGAAATCACAGAGTCCCGCCTGTCTATGCCTTCTGAGTGCTTGGATTAAAGGCATGCCCCACCACTGCCTGGCCTAGTCTGTGTCTTTTAATTGGTTAGTTGGACAGTTAACACCACTTTCACTTAGGGTTATTATTGAGAACTCTGTGCTGATACCTGTAATTTGGTTGGTTTTCTGGTTAACTGGATTCTTACTTGTTCTCTTGTCTCTCTCCTATTCATATTAGGGATATGTGGGTTTATTGTATCATGTACTTTGTGTTCTTGCTTAGTTCTCCCTTGTTCAACTATTCTTCAAGAAATGTGTTCTCTCCTGAGTTCCTGGGCTCATGACTTCCTCCTTTATACTTAGGGTTCCTTTAAGTGTCCTCTGCGATGCTGGCTTGGTAGCCCTGAATTGTTTTAGTTTGTTTGTCTTGAAATATCCTTATTTCTCTACCATTCTGATAGACTATTTTGTGGGATACAACAATCTTATTTGGAAGTTATTTGCTTTTAGGACTTGAAACATACCATTTCATTCTTTACTGGATTTTAGGGTTTCCTTTCAGAGGTTCCATGTGTGCTGTGTTTGCCTTTGTAGATGAGCTTGTTTTTTTTAAAAAAATCTGTTTTGAACTTTATTATCTTGACTATGTGTCCTAAAGCATATATTTGAGATTCTAAATGTCTCTTTTGTTTGGGTCTCTCTGTCTCTCTCTCTGTCTCTCTCTGTCTCTCTCTCTCTCTCTCTCTCTCTCTCTGTGTGTGTGTGTGTGTGTGTGTGTGTGTCCGTCTGTCTCTCTAAATGCATGAAAACAGGAAAATCTCTAACAGGCCAACAGAATGTTGTGACCATACCAAACATTTTCCTGTGGTAAAGCAGCCCCAGATCAGGAATTCTGTTAACACACTCCAGGGCTATATTACAATGACCCACTGTACAAATAAACATCTAAATGGTATGCTATAGATTTACCATTACCTATTCTTATCTTTAGCTCTGGAACACATAAAGGGAAAAATTGACAAGTGTTCTGAATTGCCAGGAAAAGACCCAAATTCCAGAATTGTGAGATAGACAGATGCTGTCTGATTAGCTTTGGATTTAATGTTAGTTATGAGAAAATATGATCATAAAATATTTAACAGGGTAATTTTATTATATACAACAATCTTAGCTCATAGTCCTTACAGTATATACTGACAAGCTCTGTGGTGGTTTGAATGAGAATGGCCCTGTAGTTTCATATGTTTGAATGCTTGTGGAACTGTTTGGGAAGGATTAGGAGGTGTGGCCTTTTTGGAGAAAGTGTGCCACTGGGGGATGGGCTTGGAGGCTTCAAAAGTCTACACTAGGACTAGTGTCTGTCTCCCTCTGCCTGCTGCCTGTGGATCAGGATGTAAAGCTCGCAGCTACTGTTCTAGTGCCATGCCTACCTGTTTCCTGCCATGATTATCATGGACCAACCCTCTAAAACTCTAAGAAAGCCCTGATTAAATGCTTTCCTTTATAAGAGTTGTGGTCATGATGTGCTCACAGCAATAGAACAGTGACTAAGACAGCCTCCAGAGAACCTACAAAATACTAACCTTGAAAAGTCCATTTTTGTGTAAAATGCAATTGTTTCTTCCTTCAGTTTGGAAGAGAGAAATAGACATTTGGAAGATTTAATTAGAATGCCTAAAGAGAAAGTCAGAAGGCCAAGGTAAGCTTTCCTTCCTTAAAAAATGTCTTTAAAATACATATAGTAAATTATACATTTAAAACAATCTCCCTTATATTAAGATAAAAAGATAATTAGGAAGTATTTCATATTTTCCTAGTATAAATAGTTTCTTGATCAAAGTTTTCTTATAGGCCTAAGTGGCACATATCTAAAACCCTCAGCTGCCAGGCGGTGGTGGCGTATGCCTTTAATCCCAGCACTCAGGAGGCAGAGGCAGGCGGATCTCTGTGAGTTCGAGTCCGGGCTGGACCAACAGCCTCCAAAACAATACAGAGAAACCCTGTCTCATAAAAACCAAAACAAAAAACAAAAAAACAAAAAACCCTCAGCTATTCTGAAGGTTAGCCTGCAAAGTTTAAGATACTGAGTCAAAAACAGGGTTTTTTTTCTTATATTATTTTGAGATGGTGTTATGTATAGGTTGGTTTTATGAATATTTTTTGCTATGCAGAATAGATTAAATAGACAATCCTTCCACCAAGTGCTCCCAAGTTTTGAAATTACAGGCACGTTCCACCTGCCAAGTTACAATAAAGTTTCTGTAGAGCCTGAATTAGAAGGTCAGGCTGCCTGCCCTTGTAGAAGCTTTAAGCAAAATAATAAGCTGAGTTGCTTATTACCCTCTCCATGTTTATTAACTGACTCCCTTCACTAACATGAAATCTTTTTTTCTAACATGAAATCTTAAAATCTATAATTTTAGAAGAGTCTCAGTCAGTCATGTAGCCCAATGCTGCAGGATATGTACACAATTTTGTAGGTTGACTGTAAGTACAGAGTTGGGTCCTAGCTTCAGTGGTACATAGACTGAAGTTGGAAAGTTAGAAAAAAATCAGTGTTTTTTTTATTTGTTTGTTTGTTTGTTTTTCGAGACAGAGTTTGTGTAGCTTTGGAGTCTATCCTGGCACTCACTCTGTAGACCAGGCTGGCCTCGAACTCACAGAGATCTACCTGCCTCTGCTTTCCGAGTGCTGGGATTAAAGGCTTGCACCACCAACGCCCAGCAACAAAAAAAAAAAAAAAAATTAGTTATTTTATATGATCACTTTGCAAACACTACTTTAATTCTGCTCAGGAGTTTTTTGTTGTTTTTTTTTTGTTTTGTTTTTTGTTTGTTTGTTTTTTGAGACAGGGAGGGTTTCTCTGTATTTTTTTGGAGCCTGTCCTGGAACTCACTTTGTAGACCAGGCTGGCCTCGAACTCACAGAGATCTGCCTGCCTCTGCTTTCCGAGTGCTGGGATTAAAGGGATATGCCACCAACAACTGGCATACTCAGAAGTTTTGATTTCCAAAACAGCATGGATTTTCTTTGACTTGCAAAAACATACTATGAATTTTTTTCTCTAGAATTATTTAAAGATTATTTTTCATATAATTATATACATTTGCCAATTAAGGCATTGTTTACTTATCACATAGCTCATTTTTACACTGAATTTGAGGCTTACTGTTTCGGATTTATTGGCTGTGAAACAAGGGAAAGAGGTCACAAGGCACTCCCCAGCTGCTAAGTCCATCTGTGTGTTGACGCCAGAGCCCTGCAGACTTCAGCCATGGTGATCTCTGGTCTTGATTGACCTCTGACCTCAGTGCATAGTTCAGTGCAGCTTGAGACTTCCTCTGCACCATCTCAAAATTATCATGTCAATTCGTCCAGTTGTCTCTGACAATAGAAACAGTAGAACTTTGGAATTAAAAAAAAAAGTCCCAGATATCCAACTTCTTAAAACACATTTTTATTTCATGTATGTATGTCTCTATGTGGGTATATACATGTGAGTACAGGTGACCACAGGGGCCAGAGTCCTTATACTCCCTGAACCTGGAGTTACTGGCTGTTGTGAGCCACCTGACATGTGTGCTGGGAACCAAACTCTGTCCTCTGCAAGAGCAGCAAGTGCTCTCAGTCACTGAGCCATCGCCACCCCTACTGGTGTCGAAGTTTTGCTCCTAGTTCATCACTTGCAAGAAGCTTTTGTAGGTTTTCTTTTCAAAGCTGATTCTTTTTAGCTTTTTGTTTTGTTTTTGTTTTCAAGACAGAGTTTCTCTGTGGCTTTGGAGGCTGTCTTGAACTAGCTCTTGTAGACCAAGCTGGTCTCAAACTCACAGAGATCTGCCTGCCTCTGCCTCCTGAGTGCACCACCACTGCCCAGCTCAAAGCTGATTCTTGACCTAAGTAAATTAGAACCCTATTAAATATGAGACTGTGACCCAGTATTTTATTCCCATGCATCAAGGATAGTCCACACAGAGCATGGCCCACACACTATGTGTTGAAAAGTTGCATCTTTTTAGGGTCTCATAGTTTGATCCTAAAGGACAACTTCTTGAAAGTGAGAGGCAACTATGCCAAAGTAATTGTGTATTTTTTTTTACCATATTCACCATTTTAGTTTTCTCTCCCCATTTTAACATCACTTTCTTTTTTTCTTACAGACCAAGACTAGAAAATCACCCAAAGTCCATGACCTTGGTAGGTCATCTTGATGAATACTATAAAGAATGTTCTATCTCCATGTGAACTGACAGTAATACATGATTAAATATTCCTGGAGTTATGTGAATTTGTGTGTGTGTGTGTGTGTGTGTGTGTGTGTGTGTGCGCGCGCGTGCACTTGGTATTTAATGTGGAGGACAAACTGTTTGTCCCTCCATAGGACTCATCCAAGTTGTTTTAGGGCAGAGTCGCTCGTTGGCCTAGAAATTTACCAAACAGGTAGGCTGTTTGGCCAGCGCGCCCCAGGAGTCCTCCTGTCTCCATTTCCACAGTGCTAAGACTACAAGCATGTGGCACATTCCTGGCTTTTTAAAATGTGGGCTCTGGAAATGTGAATCAGGCACCCACGTTTGCACACCAAACATGTGATGTTATATCCTGCTTGGTTCCCTGCCTCCAGGTTTTCCTTCAGCCCGTTTCATCCCTTTGTCAAATCCCCAAACAAGGCTGAAAGTGTAGTCGTGGATCAGCATACTCTGGCGGTAGAAGTTCAGAAATCACTTCATGTCACAAGGTCAGTGTTAGACTTCAGTCAGTCAGTTAGGTGCGAGGGTGAGTATGTGTGGAGTGTATAACTGCTTCCGAAGGACATGCTCAATAAGTCAAGCTACCACCACTTCTGTCTTTGTTGGAGAACTCTATAAGGCAGGCCCTGTCACAACTTGGAAACAGAAAATGTGGTATTTGCTTGAGCCTTGGAACGCCTGGACAGGTGGTCTACCAGAAGCTCCCCCAGTGGTTCTTTGGGGAGGGGGTTAGATGACATGACTGGTGGATGACAGGGATAAGGCCCGGGAGGGCTCCAGACAGGTAAGGTGCAAGGGGAAGGGGAGGCCCAGACAGCACCGGATCAGATGGATTGACATGCTCAGGAACTCAACTAATTCATTTTAAAGAAAGAAAGCAAAAAAGACAAAAATCAGAATATTTTTAAATCATAGGAAAACACCGGACATAATTTGTGACCAGTTAAGAGAGCTGCAGTCATAGCTGTGTCTTCTTTCAGTAAAGTGAGCATGAAAGCTGGGAAGCTACCCAGCCTTAAGAAGAGACCGCCCTCATAGTTCACGTTTCCAAGGATCCTCTAGGAAAATCTCACATGCTGGGGAAGGTAACGATTACAAAGACAGCTGAGTCTGGAATCTTCACACTGATGGGATGCAATTAGGGAAAGAAAGCCAGCCTAGGCTGTCCGAAGCTGGCCTCTGTACAGTAACAGTGACTAAAGGGGTGTCCAGGGAGACATCGGCATCCTTTTCCCTACAGGGTATCTCAAACACACCTCCCTTGGCACGTGGCTCCAAGAAACATTAAATGGGCATTGCTCCCTTGGAGACCCTCCCACTCTCAGGAGTTCTTTCTCGCCTCTTCACAAATCTATGTTTGCTCTGCTTTAAAACAAGGTGGGTTGTGGGGAGCTAGGCATGATGAGCTAGGCACTCAGGAAGCAGAGGCTGAGTTAATGGCCAGTCTGGTCCACATAGCAAGTTCCAGAGATTCCAAGGATGCAAAGAAAAACAGGTAAAGATCACAAGGGCACTTGTGTATAGGAAGTGAGATGGGGAACTGTTCAGGGTCCCTGCACAGAGACACGGCCCTGCACTGGAGGAGGAGCTGATGGGAAGTAGCCCTGGTCTGCAGAGAAGGCTCTAGGAAGACATTACAGAAATCCTGGCACCTGAGTGGGATCCTCAACTCTGACTGGTTAGTCCCAGGTTGAAAGAAGAAAGCCAAACATGTCCAATACATGCAGGTCTGAGATGGCTGACCATCCTGGACCCACAAGTCAAATGGCTTTGAGATGAAAAACCCAGGAAGATGACCTACATCTTTAAAAGGACACATAGCTGAGTGAGATTAGGGATCAAAATCAAAGCCGTGTAGTTATTATCTTCTGACATACATCCCCTGCTAGGTTCGGTTGGTGATCAAAGATGATGATTAATTCCTTGTACCCATTTCTGCCCTCAACTTCCTGGTATGTATGTATGTATGTATGTATGTATGTAGGTATGTATGTATCTGCTGATATGTGGGTATGCACCCTAAAGATTTAAAGTAGAGTGGATTTTCATATATAAAAGTTTAGGTTAGTGATTCCTTTAAGACTCCTATAAGATTACCTTTCAGGATAAGTAATACAATGATTGGCTCTTTCTTTGTAGCTGCAATATGCAGTCTGCCAGTACAAGAACCAGCTGAGAAAAATACCCTGCTTGCTTATACTTCGTTAATTTTAAGCCAGTTACTTAGATGTGAATGTATGTGGTTTCTTGGGATGACTTTGGTTTAATTATGTAAAAGAAATGGAAAACTTCTTTTTTAACCTGTATTCATTATAATCATTCACTTGAAAAATAGAGTATAACCACACTAATTTTTATATTGCTTGAAAGATTTTGCAGGGGTACAAGAATGAGAGCAGGAAAATATCAGGAAATATGTAGAAAGAAAATTAGAAGATAGAAGGGAAACATCAAAATACAGTGGAAAAAGCAACAGTAAGAATAATAAATGAAGGACTAAGCTTTGGCCCCTAGAAAAGTCCTCATGTGTCTGCTTGTCCTGGTCTGATGGCTCCCTGGATCCCATTGGGCCTGTGCTGTTGGAGGTTGGTCCTCATGGCAGTGCTGCCCTTTTTTTTTAAAGTGGATAGCCTCCAGCCTCCTGGACTTACTTTAGATCCCTAATTGTATAAATTAGGCAGTGCCCTTTGTGGGGTCTCTGCTGTCAACTAGGCAGGATCTGGGATCACCTGGAAGGCTCAATGAGGCACTGTCTAGATTAGTTGGCCTGTAAGCATGCTTATGAAATAGTTTGCTAATTAGGCTGCTTAAGTGAGTGGGGAGGACCCACCCTGAACTGGATGGAACCATTCTGTGGACTGGGTTCCAGACTGAATGCAAAGGGGAAAGGGAGAGGAACACAAGCATGCTTGATCTGTCTCTTGCCTACGGGTGCAACATGATCAGCTGCCTCTGAGTTCCCCCAAATGAGGGTGGTAATCTAGAACTTTCTCTCCTAAGGTGCTTTTGTCGGGGTGTTTTATCACAGCAGTCACAACGGAAGTGTCATGGACATAACAGGTGTCCCTCTGTCCTTTCTCTAGGATGGTATTTCATTACAATAGCTCTCTTGAGGTTATGCCTTTGCCATTCCCCGTCACCTGCAGCTCACTGGAGTGCGCCCAGGCTATTTCTGCCCGTTCCCCTTCTTGTCCTTGTACCTCCACTGCTATTGGACCGGTTCTCTCCGGGACTCCTTGCACTTAGCCCTTGCCTACAAACAGCACCTGACCACTCTTTCCCCACAACCTCTCTCCAGGGCTCTCCTTCCCATCTGCTGAAGGGCGTGTCCTGTCAACTTTCAAACAGAACCAAAGCGAACAGGGCTGACACTCCGAGGTGGTGAATCTGTTCTCAGAAACTCAGTACTGTTATTTAGTAGTCCTGTAGAGAAGCCACAGAGGTGGAGGAGAGTCAGGGTCTAGAACACTGAGTGTCGGGGCTGGGGTGGGGGAGTGGGGTGGGAGGTGGGGGTGTTACATAAGTGTCACTGGATTATCACGTTTTAGGGAAGAACTGAAAATCCCAGCTGGGCGGAACCACACTGAGAAGACTGCGAGTGAGAGCTAAGCTTCACTGTTAGGGGAATGAGACCGCAGGAGAGGTGGTGGCTTTAGCGGGTGGTGCGTGCCTGGATGTGAGTGGCACAGAGAAGCAGTCACTGGGGTGTAGATAGGGATGTTCTAGCTCACATTTTCACGCAGGTGACTGTAAGAGGAGGGCAAAGGCCCAGGGGACAGGTTTAGTGGGGAGTTTGGTGGTCTATGCAGTGGCTGGATTGCTCAGTTCTTTTTGAAGTGTGGGGTGGGGAAGGGATGGAGGCCCTCCTGCTAATTGAGACACTGACCAGGACAGCCTTGTTCTCTGTTTCCTTTTCCCACGGATTTTTGTTCCTCTGAGAGTATATAACAGAAGAGTTAATTCTTTTCTGCTCCTTGATACATGAAAGAACACTTAAATATTTGTTCACACACAATAAAAACAGCTGTTTTAGTTGATATTTTATTAGACCCCCCCAAGTGGATTAAAAATTTAAGGAGGAAAGATGTAACTATAGCAAACCATATCTCATTGGTCCAAGTATTTACGAGATGGGCATGACGGCACACACCTGTAGTACTAGCAGCTGGGAGGTGGGAGGGTTCAAAGCTTAATGCCAACCTTGGCTACACAAGAAAGTCCTGTCTCAAAACACAACAAAGTTCCCTGGTGCCAGACTGTTTCTAACACTGAGTTGGCGTGCCCTAACACAGGAGACCCATGAGCTATGGAAGGCTAGGAAGACAGCAAATGACGTGAACAGGGGAGACCTGAGAGAGAGAGAGAGGGGGGCAGCAAGGGTGTAATCTAGAGTGCTAGGAGCCAAACTTGGGGCGCGCGGAAGAACAGCTGTCTTAACCACTGAGCCCCCATCTCTCCAGCCCAAGGGCTGTCATTTTAAGGCGGGTCAGGTGAAGTGGAGAAGGTAACAGTCACTTGGAGAATGCAGAGAACAAACCCAGGGCTCATGCGATTGAACAATGCTAAGGCAAACTTAAATATTGAGGGAAGTGATTTTCTGCTCCCACATAGTCTAAAGAAACCAAACGACCAAAGCAGAGAACCACTGGTAGATGCCTGAACTGTATCAATGTGATTGTCCTGGGTGTCCCATCATTCTAGAAAACAGACACCCTCCAAAAGGTAGGTCAGCGTTTGGGAGGGTCAGGGAGTCATGAGAGGGGTACTAGGGAAGGCTTAAATTAGTAGCTGGGACTTTAGTAAATACTACAACCAATCTAGGGGAACTTTCTGGTGGGCACTGAGGAAAAGCTGACTTGGGTCAAGGCCCCCTGAAACACTCGCTTCTGCTCTTTATGTAATTAAATGGCTGAATATGCTGTTCTTTTCCCCTCCCATTTTCATGCTTTGTACTCCCCGAGTTCATTAAGTATCAGTCACCTCTGAGCACACACATTATTGGTTTCTGCTGCACATTTCACCGCTAATTACCTAAAACTGCTCAACCAAAGCCACCAGTGCTGCCATTGCTGCAGCGGCTCCTGCAAGGCACCATGCAACATCAGAGGGCCTGCAGGGCACCATGCAACATCAGAGGGCCTGCAGGGCACCATGCAGCATCAGAGGGTCTGCAGGACACCATGCAACATCAGAGGGTCTCCCCAAAAGCAGCCTCCCTCTTCACTGATACTTCTTTGTTTGAGACAGGGTTTCTCTGTATAACAAGCCCTAACCGTCCTGGAACTTGCTGTGTAGATCAGGCTGGCTTCGAATTCACAGAGATCCACCTGTCACTGCCTCCCACCACCGCCTGGCATTCTTCCATGCAGAGCCACAGGATGACTGACACTGTCTTGATGTGGCAGAGACTATACTGAGTACTCACTCCACTGGATGAAATAATCCTTCACCTACACTTTAAGACCTGTTTTGAGGACACAGAGAGAAACACTGTTTCAAAAACAAACTTAAAAACCCCTTTTGTGTCATGACTGTTCAGACCTGCTCTGAGTTGCTGATGTTGGAAAAGTTGTTGTCTTAGTCAATGTTCTATTGCTGTGAAGAGACCCAATGATCAGGGCAACTCTTATAAAAGGAAACATTTAATTGGGGGCTGGCTTAGTTTCAGAGGCTTAGTCCATTACCATGGCAGGGACTCTCGCTGTACACAGGCAGAATGGTGCTGGAGAGGGAGCTGAGAGTTCTACATCCTGATCCACAGGCAGCAGTGACAGAGAGACAGAGAACTGGGTCTGCCATGCAAGGCCACACCTCTTAAACCTTCTCCAACAGTGCCACTTTCAGATGACTAAGCGATGAAATATATGAGCCTGTGGAGGCTGTTCTCATTCAGACCACCAGTTTTCATGTTTTGTTTATTTTGGGTTTTTTTTTTTTTTTGGTTTTACGAGACAGGGTTTCTCTATATTGTTTTGGAGGCTGTCGGTCCAGCCTGGCCTCGAACCCACAGAGATCCGCCTGCCTCTGCCTCCCGAGTGCTGGGATTAAAGGCGTGCGCCACCACCGCCCGGCTATTTTGGGGGTTGTTTTGACAAACATGCCTTTCTATTTAACCTTCTACTTCAGGGCCGGAACTGAGGTGACGTTACAGATGGATGCCCTGTTACTGTACTGGGGCCCTCACTGACTCTCCCCTTCTCAGGTTTGACTTCAGATCGTGAGCGCTTCTGGTCCTTTAATATGTTCTTAAAGTTTATAGACAGTCTCTCTCACATCTTCTCAGCACACGCTTCAACCAACCTGAACCTGTGGGAGTTGTTAAGGTTAGATGTAAGCTGTGACTGCCACTCAGGTCATCAACAATTCCTAGGGGCTTTATTTACTCTCTATGTGGTTCAGAGGCTCCAAATATCCTGGTGGCTGCTTAGCCTCTGTAGTGTTTGAATGCTTCATCCCAGTTGGTAAGGAGTAGGCGTGGCCTTGTTGGAGGAGGTGTGTCATTGGGGGTGGGTTTTGAGGGGTCAAAAGTCCACACCACTGGAGTTATCTCTCTGCCTGGTCCTTTTTGGCACAACACTATAAGCTCTCAGGCACTGCATTAGCTACTTGCTCACTGCTCCCAGTCTCCCTGACATGGTGGTCATGAACACACCCTCTGAAATTGTAAACAAGCTACAGACTAAATGCTCTGTTTTATACGTTGCTTTGGTCATGGTGTCTCTTGACAACAACAGAAAAGTAACTAAGAAAGCCCCTGATAAAGGATTGTGTCTGGAGGTTCTCCTGAATTTGTCTCACACTGGCAAGCTGAAGTCGGCAGAAATATACCAGAAGTAAGATCGTGTGGAGTGAAAACAGCAGAAATGCTAGGCGATTTCTAAGTTACATTTTTTAAAAAAATCCAGAACTGAAGGAAGGAAAGAATCAATTCCCAGTTGTCCTCTGGCCTACACACACACACACACACACACACACACACACACACACACACACAGACAGAGAGAGAGAGAGAGAGAGAGAGAGAGAGAGAGAGAGAGAGAGAGAGAGCGCAGAAACATACCCTAACCAGAGTCAAAGAAACACACCTTGACCCTGAAACCAGAGTCAGTGAAAAAAACACTGGCCTGATGCTAGAGCCAAAATGCTGCAAGGGGCCAGTGAAAGAAACACAGTTTGGTCTTGAAACCAGAACCAAATCTGTCCCAGAGCACGAAACCAACCAATCCCTGAGCAGGAAATTTAGCCAATCTGACCCTGTCCAAGCTCAAGGGGATTGAAATCTGACCAATTCCCACCCTGGAAATCTTCTTAGAAAAAACTCTGCTCCTAAGAATCCATATATATGCCCTGTGCCTGTTGAGTTTGCTGCTATTTCCACCCTGGCAGAGGCAGCTACTCTCCTGGGTTCTTCCCTCCCAATAAACCTCTTAAATGAGGTTTGGGACCCGGGACGGAGGGGAGCAGAGCAGAGCCGATAATATTTTCGCAGGAAAAACCTTCCCCTAGTGGGAATCAGAGAACTGTGCCTTAGCGGAACCGTAACAACTTGTTCAGGGAAACCCTCCCCTGCCTGGGCAGTTATTACATTGGGGAAACTGCTGTGCAAACAGTGACTGTGGTATTCCTTGACTCCCGATTGCCAGAATACTTTTTCATCGGAGCTGAAACGCTTACACACACACACACACACACACACACACACACAGACACACACACACACACACACACGTGTGCGTGCATTCAGAGTAAAATTTAAAAGAATAAGACTCCAGAACTCTCATTTTTTGCTACAGAGGAGGGGGGTAGATTTCCCAGTCTGTGTGTTCCCCTTTCTATCTGCTTTGTTTTGTGACAAAGTGTTTACACTGTAGCCCAGACTTGCCTGGAACTCACAACATAGCCCAGGGTGCTGAAGGACTCGCCGCAATCCTCCTGCCTCAATCTCTCAAATGCTGGGATTACAGCGGGATTACAGCTGGCTTTTTTTTGTCGTTACCCACAGCTCTTCCTTTCTGTCTTTCAATTGCCACGCATGCAGAAAGTTTACGTCCCTTATGTCACCGGCACTTAACGAGGGTCTATCTCTCAAAGCAACCACTGAAGGAGTTAAACCTCTGGAAGGGGGTAGGGCTGCGAGGCTCTCGCGGGAGCCCCGAGGCCTCACCGCCGGCCACGTGATCTCGCGGACCATAGGCGGACCGTAGAGGCCACGTCGATGGCCGCTGGGCGGGACCACGGCTGGCGCGCGTGCGTGCCCCTCCCCTCCCGCGGAGCCCGGATGAATTGTAACGCCATTACCGCCGGAGCCACCGAGATCCCTAGCGGACGCGCAGTGGACGCTGACCGGCCGCACCATGAGACTCCTCCCCCGCCTGCTGCTGCTGTTCCTGCTGGCCTTCCCCGCCGCCGTGCTGTTCCGCGCCGGCCCCGGAGGTGAGGGGGCGCGGGGGACGGGGCGGGCACCGCAGCCGCCCGGGACCGCTTCCCCGGCCGGACTCCCGGGGGCCGTGCTGCCCCCCAGGACCCGCCGCGGCTCAGCGCCCTCCGCGAGCACGGGCCCGTAGTCCTCGGTCCGCGGGACCGTCGCCGGGCCCGGCCTGCTCTCCATGCCCGCGCTCGGCGCGGGCCCGGGACCCCCGGCCCCCGGCTCTGCGCTGACGTGTCGCTAGCCCCACGCGGGCGCGCCTCCATTCATTCGCCCAGAGCGGATTCTCCACCGCGGCGCGGTGGGTCATTTCGCTTGGTCTCCTCGCTTGCCCATCGCGGTCTGTGTGGACGTCGAGGCCCGGTGTCCAAAAACGCCCCTTCCTCTTGCTGCTGGTCAGCCGCAACTGAAGGGACCCGCGGGATGGCTGTCTTCTCCTTTTCTAGTCCCCCCACCCCCTTTCCCAGCCAGTTTCTGTAAGTTGAAAAAGTGCCGGGAAAAAGTTACTTGGAGCTTTATAAATCTACTCATTCCAACGATTAACCTGGGGTAAAAGCTTGGTAGAAACGTAGAAACTTTTTCCGCTCGCCCTTCATGAACTTTGATTTTCCAGTTTGTAAAATGAGTTAGTTTGAGTGATCGCCAGGATTCCTTTCCTTTTTCTAGGTTTCAGCGGCCCAGGGCATAAAAAGTAATGATCGGTGTTCAGGAGCTGTTTAGCTAAGCAAACAGGAAGTGATTGGCTTCTACTTAGTAGCATGACTTTTGAGTTACTGTTAGAGATTTTGGATGGGGGCTGGGTGGGAACACGGGACAGATGTTGAGACAGTTTCACCGAGTAGCCCTGTCAGGACTTCAAAATCTCTGTAGCCTAGCTCGACCTTGAACTTCTGATCCTTGTGCCTGTACCTCTGGAGTGCTGAGTTTCAGGTGTCTGTCACCACACCCCATGAATGAGGTGGTGGGGATGAACCCAGTGTTTCCAGCATGCCAGGCATGCAAGACATGCACGCTGACAACGGAGCTACAACCGTAGCCCTTGGATTTTCTTTCTTTTTTCGAACGGACTTTGGAAAATTGATGTATCAACTAGGAATGAACCGTTTTAACTCTGGAAAGTGGAAAGACTTAAGAATGATGGTCCTAAGGGCAGAATGTTTCTTGTGGGTACTGCACGTATGGCTCTTCCCACATTTTCCCTCCCTACTGAATTGCCACATCATCAGTTTCTGAGAAGTGGTGGAAAGAACTTTGAAGGGCTTTTGGGGGTTTAGACTGAAATTAAGGTAGTGTGACCTGTTGAAAAAGCTTTGTCTATAAAACTATGATTTACAATTTGGCATTGTGATTATAATTTATTTTTTGATATTTAAATTTTTTGATATTTTATATTTATCTGAAAATATGCTTGAAGCCATGTGCAAAAATAATTTTTTGCTACTAACCAATGAAGGTACCTCTATTTTAAATTTTTATGACATTTAGTCTGTGTGTTTATCCATCTCTGTCTGTCTGTCTGTCTGTACTAGTACCTTACAGTGCATATGCAGACACTAGAGGACACCTTTCAGAGTGACTCCTAAGATGATAGTCACATGGTCAGGCTTGGTAGCAAGAGCCCTAAACCCACTGAGTTTGACTTGTCTCATTTTGTGCCTTTTGATATTAGATACATGCCCGTTAAGATGAACTAGTTAAGACTACTAGTAAAATAATATAAATATTTTTGTCTAGTGGCATTGTTCAGCTGACCAGAGAGACTGATTTACTACAGGCAGAACATTTTTTTTTTCCAAGACAGAGTTTTTCTTGTGTAACTTTTGGCTGTCCTGAAACTCAGTCTGTAAACCAAGCTGGCCTCAAACTTACAGAGATCCGCCTGCCTCTGCCTCCTAAGTGCTGGGATTAAAGATGGGCACCACCACCACCTGGCTAGAACATTTTATTGTCTAGACCTAATGTTTAAAAACTCTCATAAAAGTTAAGTGCTCATTTTTTATTTTATTTTCAGGGTCATTAGCAGTGGCTCAGGATCTTACAGAAGATGAAGAAACAGTGGAAGATTCGGTAATTGAAGATGAAGATGATGAAGCTGAAGTAGAAGAAGATGAACCCACAGATCTGGTTAGTGCTATATTCTATATCTAGAATGTGTATGATACATGAAGATGGTTCCCCCACTTTTTGAGGTAGTCTCACTATAGCCCAGGATGATCCTAGTCCTGTGGTGGCTGGGGATGACCTTGAACTTCTGGTCCTCCTGCCTCTTCCAAGTACAGGGCATGATGGGTTATAGGCATGTACTATAGTGCCATGTTTTATGTGGTGTCAAGGATTGAACCCAGGGCTTCAGGTATAGTGGGTAAGTACACTACCGACTGCTAGATACTGAGCTCAAGAGTATATTCTTTTTATAGGCATTATAGTAATTTGGTAATTATTTTTTAAGTTATGTATGTATGTGTGGGTACTTGCATGTGAGTACAAATGCCTGAGGAGGCCAGGGGTATTGGATCTCCTGAACTGGAGTTACAGACAGTTGTGGGTTTTAGACATGAGTCCTGCAAAACCAGTGTGTGCTCTTAACCTCTAAGCCATCTCCCCTGGGTTGAAGTTGACATAAGGGCAAGTCACTGAGAATGAACAGAAGAATTTTCTGGAGTAGGGGAGGAGAAAAGATGCACTAAACACGTCAAGATCATTCATACGTGAGGGTGGGAGGAGAAAAGTGCGGCTCAGGTGTTAGCAGCAGACCCTGAGCTGTCACATTTGGGGCCTATGGTACTTTCTAGGTCTGTCTTCCTTTTTCCATTCAAAACCCACCGTACTCCTGCGGGGGTGGGGCATCTCTATAGCAAGGCTTTATTCTGGGTATTGGCTTGAGCAGGTGAGTTATTTCCTCTGCTTTCTTAAAGTTCTTGTGGGTAATGTGCATGTGTTTTGGGAACAGGGGATGAAGAACAAGTGATAAATACACCTTGTGAATAGTAACAATATCTCTTAGCAGTTAGCTCTGGAATTTTACTCTGTAATAATGACTATAAGAATATCAGGCTTAGGGGCTGGAGAGATGGCTCAGCGGTTAAGAGCAGTGACTGCTCTTCCAGAGGACCCGGGTTCTATTCCCAGCACCCACATGGCCGCTCACACCTGTCTGTAACTCCAGTTCAGTGGATTTGGTATCCTTACACCAATGCACATAAAATATAGTTAAATAAAGTATTTAAAAAAAAAACCAATATCAGGCTTAGAGGTGGAGAGATGGCTCTGCAGTTAAGAACACTGGCTACTCTTCCAGAGGACCTGGTTCTTCTCCCCTGAACCAACATAGCTGCTGACAAACATCTGTAATTCCAATTCTAGGGGATCCCATGCCCTCTTCTGGCCCCCATGGGCCATGCTCCACAGATACACATACATGCAGGCAAAACACCCATACACATAAAGTTCAAAACAAACAGCCCAGTTCAAATTAGTGTCATTACTACAGCCTTCTTCCTGCTAATTTTATTCCTGCACAGGAATACTGTAATCATTCCTTCATAAAGTTTATTTTGTTTTTATGGGTATGCCTGCCTCTTAAGCTGGTGTTTGGCTCTTTTTTTGGGAGGGCAGGGAGTTAACATTTTACGTATAGGCATGGTGTTTCATCTGAATAGAATACCCTTAATTTTTATGCTTTGCTGGCTCCCCCGCCTTTAAGAGATCTTCACTGGTGGTCTGTGCCAAGCCTTAAACATGGGAGCTCTGCATCTTCAACCCATTTCATTAGAGGAACAGCCTTGAGTAGATCACCTGTGCTACCTGCTCTCTCTGCTTGTGGAGAAGGTGTGGGATACACAGACGAGTCTGCTGTTTCATCAGGTGTAGGCACTGGGCTCTCTATTTCTTTGTAACATGAGGTGACTCGTCAGGTTAGTACCTTACCTTCGCATGCTTTCTATGATGTCAGCTGTGCTTCCAGACATTGCTTGCTTTAACTCCTCTGTCAGTCTTCTGGCAGCAGTGTTGGCTTTGGTGTCAGAAAATGAGGGCCTTCAACAATGAACTATCAGAGTTCAACTTGTGTGCATTTTCCCCTGCAGTGAGGTCTTCTCACTCTAAGGATCTCCGTCTCACTCTGTGGATGGTGCAGGAGACTTTGCTTTCGTACCCTTGCACTTGGTCCTTCTCGTTGGCTTTGGGCCTGGAGCTGCACAGATGCAGATCTACTTACTGCTTTCCCACCTTCAGTTGCTACTCGCTTTTACCTTAGCCAGTACCAGGTACTTTCTGAAAGAGTAATCTGTGCTTTTCCTCTTACTTTAGCTTCCTATTCATTATCCACCAGGATCCATCCTATATGTGTACTAAAAGTTGCTAAGGTTACCAGCAACCTAATTGCCAAATTCCTGGCCCATATTCCTGGTAGCATAGTTCAGGCCATTTTTAGCATTTGCTGTTTCCACTTTGAATCCCACTGTGTTGTACTCTGTGGCACCTGTTTCCCTTTCCTACCTGCTTGCTGCTGAGATTCTCTCTGCTACCTTCTTCTGCTTACTCCTTAATGTTGGTAAAACCTAATTTTAACCACTACAGCCTTCTGTTGATGGCTTGCAGGTCTCCACTCTAGCCCCTTGCCTTGAGTTCCACAGATATTTCCACCACTTTGCAGGATAGCACCACTTCCGATTTCATATGCCCACTATGGAGTCTGGCACTTACCAGTCTATCCTTCCTCCATAAGTGATTGTCTGCTTTTATGTAGCTCCGGTGGGCTAAACTGTTGTCTTATTCTTCTGTTCTATTCTGATGTCCATTAATCATCAAATCTTAACTGTGATATCTCTATCTCTTTCTCTCTCTCTCTCTCTCTCTCTCTCTCTCTCTCTCTCTCTCTCTCTCTCTCTCTCCCTCTCTCCTCAAGTATACTTTGTACTTTATTCTTACAGAATTTGTTAGCCTTTCTGTCTCAGGTATATTTACCTACTTGCATCTTGTATTTTGGAGACACTGTATTGCCCAAGCTGGCTTCAAACTCCTATGCTCAATCAAGCAGTCCTGCCTCAGCCTTCAAAAGTCATATCCTGCCTCATGTATTCTGTCTCTGTAGAGGAGTATGTGTCCACTATCATCATACCATTTCAATGGTATTTGACTGATTGTTATGAGGAAATTGTAATTGGAATGGAAATCTTTCTGGGCTGTTAATAAGGTACTTGAGAATGGGGCTTGGTAAAATCCAACTCTGCCCATCCATTTATTGTCTGGCTGCTTTCACACAGCAGCAGCAGCAGAGGTGAGTAGTGACAAGGAGAGGGACCTTATTATGGTCCTTAGAAGCAGCTAGCTTGCCAGTTTCTGTTCTAGGAACCTTGCAGTTCAAAGTGTGGCTGGACTCCTATCCATGATGGCATTTCCTTGATGCTTGTGAGAAACAGAATTTCAGTCTTTACCTGAGGCAGAGCTACCAAATTCCCAGTGACTTACTATGCACATTTTTCATGAGCTGTTCTAGAAGTTCTATTTAATTGATGAAATAGAATAAAGTAACACCATTATACTTAGTTGGCAGGAGAGGTACCGTGATCCAGGGGGTGGTTTTCCTAGGGAGAAGCTCTTTCTTCCATTGCACTTGGGATGTGCTGACTAGTGATTTCCCCAGTGCAGGAAACTCCACTATATAAATTGTGATAGTGGGGGACTGTGTTTGTGCTCTCCTCTTAAAATAAATTCATACCGCCAGTACCATCAGATCAGTGTTTTATCCAAGTCTAGTGAAGTCTGTACTTGAGTGGCTTTCCTCACCGCTTTCATAGCCTCTGTTTTTGATGTTGTTGCCCCTAGGCAGAAGATAAAGAAGAAGATGATGTATCTGGGGAACCGGAAGCTTCACCAAGTGCAGACACAACTATCTTATTTGTAAAAGGAGAAGGTAATTGTCTGTTTTAATTCCAGCCTTACGTATATGAATACTGGTGTGTGTAGTAATGCTGGTATTTAAATGGAAAACTAAGTGTATTTGGTTTACTAGAAATTAAACATTCTTCTCAATACTTTTAAAAAGTGTGTGTGTGTGTGTGTGTGTGTGTGTGTGTGTGTGTGTGTACATGTGCCACTGGGAGCATGTGGGGCTTGAGGATAACTTGCGGGAGGCTATCCCTCTGTTGTAGGTTCTGGGGACCAAACTCGGGTTATCAGGTTTGCCAGCATTTTTACCCACACAGCCATCTTACCAGCCCCATAAGTACCATTCTTGAAACTTTTTCCAGGTTGTGTCGGTAATACTGTTTTATTTGATGCCTTGAGTTTAATCCCTGGAACCATGTTAAAGAGCAGCAATCACATGAAAAAGCCAGTTAGGTAGGGCAGTTGTTTGGGGATGTGAGGCAGCCAGGCTGGAGCAGGCAGCATTGCAGAAACAAGAGGGCCCTTTCCTGAGCAAGTGAAGGGGAGAGCTGGCTCCCACACGTGGTTCTCGCTCTGTGTCTGCATCCACACTTGTTGATACTGAACTCCAGGTCCTCCTGCCTCAGCCTCCCCAGTGCTGGGATTACAGGCATATATCATCAGGCCTGTCTGTAATTGGTGGTATTTTTGAATATTTAAATATCAGTGGAATACTAAATGTCTATAGTTTTAGGCCCTGATTAAGCATAGCATTAATTTTAAAAAAGAAAATTAAGGTTGTATATTTCTTACTCTAAATGCATGGGATCAGAAGTGGTTTTGGATTTTTTTTAGAATATTTTATATACATAATGAGCTATTTGTTTGTTTGAGTGGGGTTTGTTTCATGTGCACCTCATCACTGGAGACTTGGATTTTCCACTTGTAGCATCTTGTTGACCCACAAAGGTTTAGATTTTGGAGCATTTCCAATCTTCCGGTTAGGGCTACTCAAATTCTTGAGTACATTTATTTATTGAGGGCTTTGTGGATAGCATTGTTCTTTATACTTTGCAATGTTAATTTAATCCCAGCAAACCCTGAGGATATAGTTATTGTTGGTCTTGGATTTAGAGGGGTTAAGCAACTTGTTCCGTGGATACTTGGAACATAAAATGTATTGCAGAGACAAGGTTCAGACCCAGAGCTATCTGTTCTTTAGCCTGTGTTGTACTAGGTAGAGTTCAACCCATTAGACTGTCATACAGTGTGATGGAAGACTTATCAGAAACCACTAATTTTTGGTCTCAAGTGCTTTGTTTTCTGTATATTCCAATTTTATGCATACAAAAACTGATTTGATTGCTAGAGATGTACTCAGTAATTCTTAGCATACCTAGAATGTACAAAGCTCCTATTCTATTCTCAGCACTTAAGAAAAAGAGGCCGGATGTTGGTGGCACACACCTTTAGTCCCAGCACTCGGGGGGGAGGCAGAGGCAGGTGGATCTCTGTGAGTTTGAGGCCAGCCTGGTCTACAGAGCAAGTTCCAGGACAGCCTCCAAAGCCACAGAAACCATGTCTTGAAAAACTGAAAAGAAAAGGGACAGGGAATTTGTATGTGTGATATATGCCCCCATCCAAGTTTATTTTTGTAGTAATATACTGCATTATATAAACTTCTTGAATGGTAATTTTCTTAACCTCTTAATCTGGATGTGATTTGGCTGAAATTGCAATGCCCAGTTTATCTCCTAAATTGGGATCCCAGAGAACAGACAGAAGATTTTTAGTGTGTACCCTGGTGAAGAGAATTCTGAAACCAAGTCCATGTCTGTGTTTCATTTTAAACTCTAAATGTGTTCTGATCCCACCCCCACCCTTTCTATTTTGTGTCTTAGATTTTCCAGCAAACAACATCGTGAAGTTCCTGGTAGGCTTTACAAACAAGGGGACAGAAGATTTTATTGTTGAATCGCTGGATGCTTCCTTTCGTTATCCTCAGGACTACCAGTTTTACATCCAGAATTTCACAGCTCTTCCTCTAAACACTATAGTGCCACCACAGAGACAGGCAACTTTTGAGTATTCCTTCATTCCTGCAGAGCCCATGGGGGGACGGCCTTTTGGTCTGGTCATCAATCTGAACTACAAAGATTTGAACGTAAGACCTTTTGAGTTGTCTTTGTTTTTGTTAGAGACTTCAGGGAAAGTGGCCATTGTCCAATAGTTTTCTGTCTGTATAAGTGCTTATTTGGTGGCTCAAATTGTAATAGGTACCAGGAATACAAAAGGAACCACCTGTCTGTCTCTAACTACATTTATATGTGCATATCTAAGCTGTGTGCCACTAGATACTGCCATGTGTGGGAAAATGACTTGAGCTGGATCTTGACAAGGACAAGTAAGTGTACCAGGGAGTCTGCCTCTTGCTTAGATGCTATTGAACAGTAAAACGTTTGCTCTGACCCATTTTGTTGTGGACCTTAAATGCGTCTGAAGACTTTGTTACTGTCTTGCTCTTTTGGATACTCATAGTTAAAACATAGCCCACTTTTAAGTTTTAGCAGCAAGGTTTATGTGTTAATTTCACTTAATGTGAGAGGAATCCACTACTGCAGGGAGTAGATCCCAAGTGACAGCTCTTACATTCTCATTACACCAGACTGTTTGTACCGTTCCCTATCCCAAGAGTGTCCCCGACAAGTGGCTTCCACCTTCCCTCACCCTGTGACTGTCTTCACCCTGTGTCCTCAGCAAGGCCCTGCATTGTGATTAGTACAGAGGAAAAGTTGCTTCTTCTGTCTCCAGTGACACTTAAATAGCTAAAGAGTTGTTTTGTTTTGTGTCTGTCATTTCATCTTGTTTTCAGATATGATTGAACTGAGTTCAGTTTCAGTTCCAAAGTGCTATGTTTGTGGAAGAACGGGTGCATCCCTGTATTGGAAAACTAAAGTCCTGTTAAATTGTCAAAAATTTTAAGATGATTATGGAGAAAGTACTTTGGAACTGGAAATAAATCCCTGGTCCATCCTTAGTGGAATTGGATTCCACCCAGTTTCAGTTTAGAGCATGGGCCTGACTTTGCTGGGTCTGCTTTGTGAGTAGTTGACTCGTGCAGCTGCCACTGTCCCTGTTTGCAGGGTGACAGGAGGAGCTGGGCTGTTGAGGAGCTCTGGGGCTCTGCTTCCTCCTGCCCCTGCTCTGTGACCTTCATTGCTGTCCTGGCTCCTGAAGCCACCATCTCCCTGCTCCCTGCAGAAATTAGAGGGTGGTCTTTGCAAGTTTCTAGGCATTTTTATTTTACAGGAGAAATGACATCATAATGTTTCATACTTGGCATTGGAAATTACATATGGTTTTATTGTCTCCTATGACTAAATGATGGTAAAGTCAAGTTTAGTAGGATAACTGTTTTGAGAACACTTGTAATTTTTATTCTTTCAGCACAACTCATGCGTGATTTTTAATATGTGTTTCTTAAACAGGGCAATGTTTTCCAAGATGCTGTCTTCAATCAGACAGTTACAGTTATTGAAAGAGAGGACGGGTTGGATGGAGAAACGTAAGTATAGCTGTACCTGTAGATCTGGAGCTCACAGATGGAGCTGGAAGGCAGTGTACTAAGATTGCAGACCATCTTAGTCAGAATGTAATGGTCCCTCCAGGTCTGTGGAAATACCACAGAATCCATACATTATGTGCTTCTGGTGCCTATTCATACAAGTCAGGAAAGATGGTTGAAACAGAAAAAATGCTTTTACAAAGGCAGTAGTTGAGTTTCTGTCTTCTCAAGTTCTTTTCTGCTTTAGTTGAACCGTAGCCTATCTAACATGTCTATAAGATAATTATACAAATTAGGTTTTTTTTCTTGAAAAATGTTTTTTTCTGAGTGAAGAATCATTTGTGAACTTAAATGTGACTCACTTGAAGGGATCTATAAGGCCAGTTGTAAAAAAGGATATAAATGTGACCTGAACAAAACTGCTAAAATTGTCTTAAACTGTGAGTTTGAAATAAAACACATTTTAGATGGTAGAATTTTTTATTGACAAAGTATTCTTAACTATAAGAGGAAGTTTGTAAAAACTTGGTGCCTGGAATTAATTAAAATGCTGTATTTTTTTTTCCTACAAGTTATTTGGAAAGCTGTTGTGGCATTTGTTGGGATTTTTTTAATTAGATATGGTATGTATGAATTAACGCCAGCTGTATTTTCTTTTTTTGTGCCAGAATTTTTATGTATATGTTCCTTGCTGGTCTTGGACTTCTAGTTGTTGTTGGCCTTCATCAACTCCTAGAATCTAGAAAGGTAATTATGAATGAACAGATGGAAAACCACACTCAGAAGTTGTTATGGTAGTACTAACTGTGCTGTAGTTCTTACTGTAGTTTTGTACATTTGGAACTTAGTTGTACCTTTTTAAAACAGTACCCAGAGATGACTTTGGGTACGTGACTTGAATTTGTTGAGATGTGTGCACAAATCCAGCTAGTGTGCTATTTACCCTCTCCAAAGTGGTCTTTACTGTTTTACTATAATGTTCCTTGAATTCAAAAGATTTCTGCCATCTAATACATGTATCTCATGGATGGGTTGGATTATCTGTCATCGGCCAATTCATTTCAGTTAGAATTCTTAGTGAGAGGGAGGGGGTACTTTTTTGTGAGTTCAAAATTTATAGGCTATGTAAAAACTGTTTAAAATGGATTATCAGAGTTTCTACCTGCTAGGCAAGCATTCTACACTGAGCTATAACTGTAGCCCTTGGTATTTGAGACAGGGTTTTTCTGTGTAGTTTTGGCTGGCCTTAAAGTCCAGTGGCACTCAGTCTATCCTGGCATGATCCTCCTGTGTCCTTCAGGTGCTGGGATTACAAACTTTCCCCACAGAATTTTGATAGTCTTATGATATAGATCTGACTGGCCTGCAGCTTACTATGTAGGCCAGGCCATAGAGAAGATTCATAGAGATTCATCTGCGTCTGCCTTTTGGGTGCTGGGATTAGGGGTGTATACCACCATTCCCAACTTCCTGCACAGATTTTGATTTTTAAATTTCAGAGCAAGGCTAAAGAAAGTAGAATTAAATAGGTTTTATGTTCCAGTATTGCAGCAGATAGGCTATAGAAAAAGTCTCTCCCTCTCTCATTTGTTTTGGTTTTTGGCATTGTTTTTGACCTTGAGCTTGCTGTGTTGCTAAGGCAGGCCTCCCTACATTATCCTTGTCATATATATATACCACTTGTGCCTTGAAAATTCGTGCTCTTAATGAATATTTATTATTGTCAGCCTATATGAAATTTTGTGTGTGTGTGCACATGTGTGTATCTGTCCCTAATTTTTTATTGCATTTAGCTACCAGTGAAAGATTGCCTGCTTACAACATTTCAATAATTAGCCTGAATTTCATTGATTGGAGTATTTTTATGATTTGATTCCCAAATGAAAGGAAAATTATTGGGTTACTAGTGTTCTTATTTCATCTCTCGGTGGATAGCAACAAATTAGGCTATTTACAGGCTGGAAATAGTCAAGATTTATTTTTTTTAATGCATTTTCCCATTACGTTTATTTCTGGGTAGGTATGTCTACATGTGCATTCACATGTGTGTGTTTTGGCACATGTGAGGAGGTCAGAGGTCAACTTGGAGAAGTTGATTCTAATATCATTTGTGACCCTGGGGTCAAATGCAGAGCATCAGGTTTGGTGGCAAGCATCTTTACTCACTAAGAAGACATGTTTTTATTTTTCTAGCAGATAAGATGTATGTTAGGATGTCTTTTTTTTTTTTTTAATTTAAATTAGAAACAAGGTTGCTTCACATGTCAATCCCAGGTCCCAGGTCCCTCTCCCTTTCCCTCCCCTCCTCCCACGGATATCTTAAAACAAGAAAAGAGTATAATTTGTCTGCTAAGATCTCCAAATTGTGTTGATTAATGTTTTTAAAAGTAGAATAAACAATGCTATGACTTTCCTTTAAAATATGTCTTTTATGTTCTTATAGCGCAAGAGACCCATACAGAAAGTAGAAATGGGTACATCAAGCCAAAATGATGTTGACATGAGTTGGATTCCTCAGGAAACTTTGAATCAGATCAGTAAGTAGCCTTACAAACTTGATGAAAGGTTTTCCTCCAAGTGGAAAGTAAATAGTTCTGATTCAGCAGAGAAATGCTTGATCGGTACTAGTTAATACTGATCTTTTCTATTACTTGTCTAGACTCTAGTATAATAATTAATGAAGCACTTAAAGACTTGTTCTGTTTCTAGTGTTTTTTATTTAATTTAGAAGTGCTTTCAACCATGCAGCTTGTTTTGTAAATGTCTGAGTTCTTTCTAATCTATTTCCTGTCTTTTTCCTTCCTGTTGCTTCAGTGCAGAGTAGAAGAGGTGAGGCGATGAATTTCTTCAGTGGTCTTTGCTACAGTTTTGGGACTCTTGCATAGTGCATGAATACAGCAAGTTTAATAATGGAACTGTATTTTGGGGGAAACTACTACAAACTTTACTTTGGAGTTAAGTTTTTTCCCTTAGGCTTTGCTTGTTTTTCTCCCCAGACCTTTGTGGGAAGTAATGGTAATTTTTTTTCCTTTGGTAACTGAAAAGATCATAATCCATATCTGTGATTGCTTTTTTAAACAGAATACCTTTTCTGCTGTTAATGTATTTGAAACTGTTTTACCCAAAGCCAGATGACTCCAGAGTGCTGTCTCCCAGACATCTTTCCCTGTCTACTGCCTAACCTACTTACGCAGGCCGTCATGGTGAAGGCTAGCTGAATTGGCTATCTTTTTTCATGGAATTTCATTCAAGAATTGAAACAGACCTCGAAAGTTCCTGGACTTTTTCTTTTTCTTTCATGTATTACCATGCTGCAGGTACTGGGATTTTATAATCCCATGTCAGCATTAACTTCTTACAGTGACAGTGTTAGATTGGGAGGCACTTTTGAATTTTCAGAGATTAGATATTTACCTTTTTGCTTATTTTTAGAAATTATTTGGAAATTGGTCACCTAGGAAAGGAAGTAGTACTTAGTCTGATCTTTGGGGAAAAGCTGAAATGTTTTCATCACCAAGAAAATGTGTCTTTGATTTAAAAAAATCCTCTTTCAGGCATTGTTTATGTGACTTGTAGACTTCAGTCTTTTTTTTTTTTTTTTTTTTTTTTTTTTTTTTTGAGACGGGGTTTCTCTGTGTTGTTTTGGAGTCTGTCCTGGAACTCGCTCGGTAGACCAGGCTTGGTTTCGAACTTACAGAGATCCACCTGCCTCTGCCTCCCGAGTGCTGGGACTAAAGGCATGCGCCACCACCGCCCGGCTGACTTCAGTCTTAATAGACTTTTGTTTGTTTTGGTTTTGGTTTTTCAAGGCAGTTTCTCTGTGTAGCAGTCGTGGTTGTCCTGGCACTCACAGATCCTCCTGTCTCCGCCTCCTGAGTGCTGGCATACACCCCTCTAGTCTTCAGATATCTTTGATAGACGTTTATTATAAAATGTATCCTGAGCTAGTAACTTCTTTAAGAAAAAGGATGTCAGGCATATCGTTTTTCATTTCGTAAATACTTATAAATAAACCTTACACCTTGGTGAAAGTATCTTTTTCCAGTGTTTTACTTTTTTAATCTGCAGAAATCATTTGGTGGTGAGGGGAAATGACAGGATCTTGTATATTGCCCAACCCGACTTGTATTGTACCTGGCTTCCATGATCCTCCTGCCTCAACAGTTGGCTCATGTCGCTAGACTGAATACATTTTCTTTACTCTTTTTGGGAAAAATAATAGTGAGGTATTCTTGGTGCACAGAGTGTTCCTAGAAAATTAGGAGAGGGTATGTCAAGCCTTTTTTTCTTTTTTTCTTTTGGAAACAGCTTTATTAGATGTAGTCCAGACTGGCCTCAAACTCAGCTTCCCCAGTACTGAAGGCATGTACCACTGTACCTATCCTGGCCCTTTTTTTTTTTTTTTTTTAAGAAATGTACAGATTAGTTTATAAAATAGGAGAAGCTCAACACCACATATATTTCTGTTAAATTCTAAAGAGAGGCTGTGCGTTGAGTGGTTTTAGTACTAGTATCCTTTGCTTGCTTCCAGTTAAATTTGTGTAGTGGCCAAAGCTTATGCACCCAAAAATACTAAATCTTGTATTAGTGCCCAACATAAATATGCTCCAAATATGTCCTACCTCTAAATGTTTGCATTTGTTTTTGAAACAGAATCTCATAGTAGTCCTTGCTAGCTTTGAACTTCTAATCTTCTTGCTAATCTCCCAAGTGCTGGGATGTGAACCACCTTGCCTGGGTCTTTTAAAGTATTTTAAAATTCTTACTTTTGCATGTATGAGCATGTTATAGATGTGCATGATGTCTCCAGTAGTTCAGCTACCATTGTCAGATCATTTTCGACATTAGGTATGAAAATTTTATTTTAATTGGTATTACCCTTGAAGGGTATTTTTGAACTTAGTTTAAAAACCTAGAGCTAGGTAAGAGGCATTTGTTGCCGGATGGTGTGCTCACATGCGCACTTGAGTACCTGTATTAAGTTTACTGCTGTCTGAGAAGGCAAAACGCTCTTGGTTAGTGTCTTCCTTGCTCTTTCTTTCAGATAAAGCTTCTCCAAGAAGGCTGCCCAGGAAGCGGGCACAGAAGAGATCGGTGGGATCTGATGAGTAAATGTTCTTTGTGCAACAGTTCAGTCTGTGCTTCCCCTGCCCTAATGTGTTTTGGCCTGATGGGAATTAGTGCAGAGAAGCCATATCACCATAGAAGGCAACTGCTGCTTAGGTGTGGACTGAGCAGTCAGAGCCTGTGGGATAATACTGCTGAAAAAGCACTGCATTCGTTTTTCTAAAGTGACAAATTTGGTTGTTTTTTTGTTTTTTTTTTTCCTTTTTTTAAACCATTAAACTGTGTGGGTGTGAATGTCTGAGCAGTTGTCTTACAAGAATCATTGTTAAACTACCTGAAACACGCCTTTAGAATACTCAGCAAAATGCTGTTGTCACTTCTCTTGTGATAATTTCTGATTTTTTTGCCCCCAAGCTCAATATTTGTCCCCAGTGTGTGGTTTTAGATGTTCTGCCATGAATTATTTTGAGGAAATAATTTGTTTCTTTCTTGGACTCGATCACATGCAAACCGATGGCACAAACTGGCCTTTGCTTGCTGTCTGCCTCAGCTTCTATTCTAAAGGCACGTGCAGGAGTGGCTACCGTCTGGGCAGCAGCGGCATGGTGGCTGTTTGCCGCTGTTTACTGTGTGAACACCTGCAGGAACTTACCAATGGAGTCAAGGAACTTTGGAATCTCTAGCAACAAAATTGTGAAACCTGACAACTCTGCTGATGTTGATATATAAATCCTAATTCCACGCCTGTTTTTTGTTTTTTTAACAAAAAATAGTATGTTGTGTAAACGGGGTTGTTGTGTTGTCCGTTGTGTGTGACACGGGAGAGCTCTCGAGTGACCTCCTTTCTTTGCTTCTTGCTTGTTTGTTGGCTTTAAGCAGAGTGTTTATTCTTAGAAATTGTCCTGGTCTACAGACCAAGGGGATCAAATTTTAGGGGCAGGGATACATTTTAGTTAATCCTAATCTACAAAAACATTAACTAAAAAGTTTTAAGGTTACAAGGTTTATCTTTTAATCTGATTTTTTTTTTATTGTTGACCTACTTTTTTCCTTTGTTAATTTGAAAGATTCCAAAACTTTAAGCACTTGGGATTTCAGGACCAAAATTAAGTTGGTTTTGATAACAATCCCTTTAGTCACTCTTGCCTGAACTAGTGAATTAAGTTTGGCATTATTGTCAGACTTACTGGAAATTAAAGTAACTTTGAATGTGAATGGGTAAGAGGCTTCCCTCTGTTTTTAAGCCATATTCTCCATGTGTGTGTTACAAGAAAGTGCTAATTTCAGTAGTGTTCTATTCCTAACTTCTTTTAATTTTCTTTGAATGATCCAATCCCTTTCCCACACACCTAAAGGAAAACAACAAAATAGATACAGAGACAGACCTTGCAAGCTATTTAATGTGTGAGCCAAAGCCAATAACCATAGAAGGTCTTCTGTAATTGTTAATCACTTTGCAAAGGGGGCTGAAATGTCAAATTGCCTGTATTTGCATTGCTGGACTGTAAACTTTTTATGCCTGTAATGTAATGTGTGTGGGTTTTTACTTGAGCTGTATAATGAGTTTATTTTGAAAAGGTTCGTTGAGGCCTGAGGAACTGTATGGTTTTTGACTTGATGTATCATATAGGAGACCCTTTTTTTCTCAAGAATCATTTTCCAGAACCTTCTGTGAATATCAAAGTTTGTTAAGCTACTGTAACATACTACAGTAAGGTATAAGCAATTAAAACCTTTAAATGGCCAGTAGAGTTTGACTAAACACCTGGTAGAAACATGGGCAGTTGCAGAAACCGCACTTACAGCTGCCACGCTCTCATCCCTGAGTAATTGCCTTATACACCAGCTCTTCGTTCTGAGGCCCAGAGTAGAGCCTCGGGCGTGTAGAATGTATTACTTTTTAGTGGAGACTGGGGACAGCTGATAACTCCGAGTCTTCAAGTGCCAGGCGTCTACTATAGCATCAGTAAGTATATAGCAGAAACTAACTCCACAATGAATGGAATTCAATTCCACACATGGTTTGTTCAAGCACACTTAATAAGTAGTCTACTTTTAAATGTCTTATGAAAATGTAAATAATTGGATGAAGCGCTTTTTTTTGTTTATTTTTTTTTCAATATAGTCATTTGCATCATCAACCTTGGTTTCAGAATTTATCTTTTGAGTAAGTCGGTTTCAGAATCTGTTAAATGAACTTAAGGACCATGTTTATCAAACCTGTGACCCAGACCTTTGAGAATAATTTGTTATAAAGCATGATCCCACTCTGGGTGTACAGCTTCATCATTTGAATCATGTTTTGTAGTAAGGGACTTTGGGACTAATAAACTGTCCACTGAAATGTTGCCTGAGGAGTTTGGCAAGGAGAAATGAGACTTTGTAAAAGCCCAGGGGGAAAGAGCCAAGTAGAAATGAGAAGTGTCAGGAACAATAGAAAATGGAACTTTGATGGTGGTGTAACTAGTTCCTCAGCCCAGTATTGTTAGGGAGAGAGGCAGAAAATGGAACTTTGATAGTGGTGTGACTAGTTCATCAGCCTAGAATTGTTAGGGAGAGAGGCAGGTGAAACGACCTTGAAACAGTCGTGCTAGATTTTGGGGGTATAGTAGATGACATTACATTCATCTCTTGTAGTACACAGGTGTTCATACTCTTGATATGAAGGGAAGTGTGCTTGGTAGTGTTTCTGAGTCAGGAATTTTTGTTTGTTTTTAGATGGGGTCTCAACAGCCTTGCTCAGAATGGTCTTGAATTCCTACAGTATGGTATGAAATAATTTTAATTTAGCTCAAAACAATATATATGCTCTCATCAAGATGTTGATAGGCCTTGGTTTTTCTTTGAGTTCCAAAATTGTAAGAGCTTAAATTAAGACTATTTCCCGATACAGTGGAAGAACTTACACAGTATTGGTTGGCATTTATAGCCATAGAACTAGTCAGAGTACTTGATCTATATTTCTTAAATAAATCCTCCCTTACTCAGCTTAGCAAAGAGCAGTCTAAAGGTCACATTTCTTGGTAGCAGTGTATATGTGTGATGTTGGGTTATTCTAGTCTGTTCCAGAGAAAATGACCTGTGCAGAGTACTTCCTAAGAAGGGAGAACAGGGCTTAGCAATTATTGCAGATAGCTAAGCAATAGTTGCTTCAGGACATTAATTTAGTTGATACTTGCATGGTTTTATCCCTTTCTCATTTACACGAAACCTAGACTTGTAATTCTAGCTGAAGTTCTCAGAGTCTTTCTAGATAGAATTGTGTAGAAACACACACTGAAGCTGGTACCCTGCAGTTGCCTTTGTAAGGGAGTGGAAAGGGAAGCTTATTTGTTGAGCATGAGTCTTGAGATGTACTCGGTGGGCCTTCCTGTTCACAGCAGCTCACTGGGGAAGCTGTATTGCTCTCACTTAGTACATGGAAAAAGAGTCGTTGAATTTAAGTGATTTGGAGTCTGTATGTTAAGTATGACTTCAGAGATGTCTTTAAAAACCTCAGTGTTCTTTCCCTATACTCCAGACAACATGGACATTTTATAAAATCCAAGCATTTGGGCAGCTTACAAATACTCATTTCCCAGAACCCAGCAGCTAGAAAGTTGAGATAGCCTTGTACTGAACATCCAGCATGAGCCTGTACCATGTACGCATTGAACACACTTGCCACTTAGCTCATAGGCGCTGCAGGGATGCGCCTTTGCACTTTGCTGTGTCTCTGTAGTGAAGAATTTATATGGTTCTTTAAAAACAGCTTCTGGCAGTGTGTGGTGGCCCAAACCTGTAATCCCAGCACTGGGGTGGCAGAAATAGAAGAATCCTAAAGTCCAGCCTGGCCACATAGCAAGTGCCTGTTTCAAAAAAACAAAAACAATTTGGATTGTTTGAATTTATTTAGTTGAAATACCCATATTCGTATTAGAGATGTAATAGCTGCTTGTATTATACAGGCAGGTGGGGACAGGCCTGGAGTTTCTATTCAGTTTGGATTTTCTTTAGGCACAATAAGACATTGCAAAGAAAATCTAGTGTACCTGGAAAGCCCAAAGGATAAGTCAGAGGTAATTTGTGCCTATTTTGTTCCTTTGCTTTCCCTTATACAGACTTCTGTAGGTGCCTGTGACAGCCGTTCCTCCTATTGTTACATCTCCCTCTGCTAGATTGTGAGGCCCAAGATCTGTGTATTGACAACCCCTAGTTCAGTTAGGTAGAAACCTGTTAGTGCCTAAAGAAGCAACAAGGGCGAAGGCTGGTGGATCTCTGAGTTTGAGGTTAGCCTAATCTACTTAGTGAGTTCTAGGCTAGCCAGAACTACATAGTGAGACCCTGTCTCAGGAAAAAAGGCAACATGGACTGGGAACATAGCTCAGTTGCCAGTGGCCTTGCAGGCCTGAGGACTTGGGTAAGGGTAACACCCAAGGTTGTCCTCTGGCCTCCATACGCCTGCAGTCTGAAGGCGTTGTAGACGCTGCAGATTGGTGTGCATTGAGTGAAGCGCTTCCTTCGTGGGCACATGGCCCTGAGTTCAGTTCTTAGCACCAATAAATAAAAGTGCTCAAGTCAGATTTATCAAGCCCTTGCTCCGTGTTCATTCGTGCACGGCCATCAGCTATGCAACAGGAGTCTGGGACATCCACTTCTGCGTTCGGTTGCTGCCTAGGACTTATTGGAGGAATAAGGAAGGTGTAAGGTGTACCTGATGAGTATGTGCTCATCATGCACACAGTAGGCTCGCCTGTGTTCTAGTGGCTGTAAGTCCTGCAGATGCTCCAGCTTCCACGGTCTGCTCTTCTCCTTTGTCAGAATGTCCCGACTTAGTTCTGCCCGGGCAAAGCCTGCTCTTGTAGGGTCTTGTGGCACTCCACGTGACCAGAGCCACCTTCTTTCAGCTCCCTGGCCTCCACCAGCCTCTAGTTCACTTCCCGTCTGCGGCCATGCTCTGGGGGACGACCAGCTTCACCACGTCAGAGTTTCACCACCACTCCATGTTTCACGTTGAGCTTTCTTATTTCAGTCCCGAGTGCTTTGATCAAAATTATTTCCTTCAGGGCCATTGTAACTGCCTGTGTCCCACTAGTCTCTTCCCGGGCCAGTGACATGTTCTCTCTCCAGCTCTCTGTGTCACTTTTTAGCGTCACGACTCCCCTTTTATCTAGCCTTAATGAATGAATGGCAGCTAACCCTAGCTCTGCTGTGAATTAACGTTTGATTTCAGTTCTGAGATAACTTCACGTTTTCTGTTTCCCCATCCCCTTCAGGGGATGGAGCTGCTATCTTAACTTAGTGCTTACCCCCTTGTGGTTTCCCTGAAGCAGGCTCATTGTTGGGAAGCTTTACAGTATGTGGTCTTCATGGAGATGTTTCTGAAGGTGTTCTTTGGGTATCTTGTGTGATCAGTGAAAATGGGGGTAATGGAGCCGTAATTCTCATGCAGCTTCCGCATACATTCATTCCTCTTGAGTGTTGAGATGACTGCTAAGTCTGATGAACTCAAGATGTAAAGATCCTGCGTCTGAAACTGCTTTGCCTCTGTTTCCAAGGCACAGCTGTGATTACAACTGATGAGGAAAGCATTGCTGCCTTTTGTATAAAAACTTTCTTGAGTGCTAGCCCATGTCACTGGTTGGCCTTCAGAGACAAGATGCACAAAGATATCTAAAATACTAAACAGAAGGAGAAGGAAAAGCAATGGTCCGGGCGTGATGGCGCATGCCTTTCCTCCCAGCACTTGGGATGTAGAAAGAGGTAGGTATGTCTCCTTGAGAGTTCAGGCCAGCCTGCTCTATTTACTGAGATTCTGTCTAAAATCAAATTTGATCGTGATTGTTTGCCCAGAATTGTTTTTCAAAGTTAATATATTATCTACATACAAAAAATGTTGCCATTCCAGGTAACAAAATAGTATTGTAGAATCAAGAGGACTAACAATGAATCCATACCAAGCTTGATGATACAGGCCTTTAGCCCCAGCTGCGGCAGGAGGATTGTGGCCTGTAGGCCTTCTTGGTCTGTAGGATGATTTCAAGGCCAGCAACTTAATGAGACGCTGACTGAATAGAGCTGGGGGTGATGCTCAGCAGTAGAGAGTATGTTTCGGGTGTATGAGGCCCCGGGTTCCAGCCACAGCACGTGTATACACGTGTGCGTTCACACACATAGGCTCACACACACTTCATGTGTTCGCCGGGCTGTTGCCTTTGCTGATCATGGTCATAAAAGATGCATGAGGGTTCAAAGACGCAGTAGCCCCCAGGTGGCCCTCCAAGCTCTGCTTGGTGAAATCCCACTGTATGTTCCTCACTGAAAGGTCACTTGACTAGAGGCTGCAAACTTGGAGAGTCCGACTTTATAACTAATGTCTTCAGTCTCCTGAGAAAGAAAAACATGCTCTGAAGATCAGAAAAAGCAAGGACTATACCAACCAGTATTTTTATGTTTTCTTCTAAATGCTTGGAACAGTATTAAAGTTCAGATTAAATGCTAAACCTAGGGAGAGACATACCAAAATGCTGATGTAGTCTTTGTGCTAGGGTGGGGAATTCCTTTCTTTTCAAAATGTCTGTAAAGTGCTTATATTTTAAAATGAAAGCAATAAATATGAATGCTGACTTCATCTGGGCCTCCAAAGATGAGTGTGATCCTCAAAGCAGGTACAGATAGCTTTCCTGTAGCCAAAAAATGGAAAGTGGGCCAATGCCTAAAATGTGTTTGAAGGTCGCGATAACTACTCACAGACGCCCCCTACAAGGGTTTTACACCATCCTCGACTGTCCCATTCCCCCCTCCTCCACTCCAGCTCCCCACCTGCTTCCCTGCCTCATCCTTCTCCCACCCAAGTCAGGACCTTGACTTCGCCCTGCTGAACACCTGAAGATTCCATTTCCATGGGCACTTGTGGATGTGGTGCTCCATTGTGGCCTGCAGGGGGGCTCCAGGGTCTGGATTAGCACATCCTCCCTTCCCTGCCTTGCCCTCAAGCTGCACACACTCTGCTCCAGCAGTGGGACCTTCCCAGCTTACCTTGGGATGTTCCCCAGACTGTGGGTATCACACACCTTGCTTTGTTGTCCTTGTCCTACTTCCTGGTCCTTATGTTGTTTCACTCTTATGAAATGTGGGCTTTAGGACCAGGACTGTTCAAGGACTAGGGATCCATTGCCTCAGATGCACAGGGCCCTACATTGCATGCCCAGTCAAGCCAAAACAAAGTCTTCAAATAGTACCTGAATGGTAGGTGTTTCACAATAGGAATTCTTTATACAGCCACACTGATACATTTGCAAATAAGGAAATGAAAAGTATTAAGCTGCAAAACTGAGTTTCAAAACACAGGTTCGTGTGTGTATCCCAAGCAGTTAGGTGACTGCCTCCCACATAATGCTGAGAGTGTTCTCTCCAAACCAAAACTGCCTCCTGGTCACCATCTACTGAAAGCCCAAGGGGAGAGGATGCGTTTGTATGTCGTGCTTGGCATTCACAGGCAGACCCTTGCAAGCTGCCGAACCTTTATGTCTATGCAAAGAGCTGGTGGCATCTGGAGTGTAGACTTGCTCATTTCAAGAAGAAATGGCAGCCAAGTACAGTCATTGCTAGTAAATGGCTCCTGTGAAATTCCATCAGGGGGCGCTAGTGGGCTTGAAACTGACAGCTGTAGCTGAAACACTTATGAAACACTTGTTCCTGTTAAACTGATACTTATTGTTTTACATGCATAATGGCCAGGCATTACAAATCATGCCAAGCAAAAATCCTTAGCTTCTCACAGACAGCACAAGCTGCCCGCTAGCCATGACAGCAGCAAAAGGAGAGGGACAAGGAAAACGGTTAAAGTTTAGCCCCTTACCTGTTGTTCTGCCTCCGAAGACTAGTGGTATCACTAATATTTAAAACTAAGTACCCCTGGTCACAGATGGCTCACAGTAAGAATCCTAGAAATCAGAAAGCTGAGGCAGGAGACTTGCTGGGTATGTGAAGGATAGCCTGGGCTACAGAGGGAATCCTTGTTTCAGAAAACCTAATTAGCACCAGTGAGATGGCTCAGCCGATAAAAAAAGGCTTGATGCCCAAGCCAGAATCAAAGAGAAGCAGACAGCCAACTCCCTAGAGTTAGACCTCTGACTTCCACATATACGCCCGCATACACACACCATAAGCTTCAAGTTTAAATATAAATAGATAAAGACAGACAGACATAAACCGAGCAGGACAGTGGCGGCACACACCTTTGATCCCAGCACTCAGGAGACAGAGGTAAGCAGATCTCTGAATTTGCAGCCAGCCTGATCTACAGAGTGAGTCCAGGACCGCCAGGGCTACACAGAGAGACCTTGTCTTGGAAAAAACAAAAAAATAGAAAATGTACATGTTTCTAAATGTATACAAAAGTTTCTTATTGTCACTTGTAGGGGTGTTAGTTTTTCTTCATAACTTTAAAGAGATGGTATCCTCCACTACAGAGAGCTTCCAAATGATACTGCAGGGCAGGCAAGATGGCTCAGTAAGTAAAGGGATTTGCAAGTCAGAGTTGCATCCTAAAACCCATATGGTGGAAAGAATTAACTCCACAAAGTTGTCCTGTGATCATATACACACACACACACACACACACACACACACACACACACACACACACACACACACACACACACACACACACAAATTAAAAAGTTAAAAGAAAACAACATGGGAGGTAGCCCAGACTCTCTTGAAGCCAGTGTGCACAGATGTATTTTTGCTGCCCTCTGCTGTCCATGGAGGGTATGACGGTAACTGAACCACTCATTTCCAGGGCCTCCCAGCCGAAAGCTGAAGTCTGTATAGACTTCACTCCTAAAAACACTACTTGCTCCAGTTGGCCCTTGGCACAGCATGCCTGTGATGTGCCCCACCCCAACAGCAGACTGGAAAATACTGCTTTGTCAAGACATCAGTGAAATGCTCTTGGATGGTTAACAGAATGATCTGTCAGTAGGAAGATAAGTGCTGTAGCAAACATCTTTCCTTCCCCATAGGCCATCAATGGGGCAACCAGGCACGTGCAGTATGTGCTCTAGACTCATCTCGTCTCCCCAAGACAGTGGTTCTCAACCATGGCTTGTGTACAGACATCCTGCATGCCAGATATTTACATTATGCTTCACAACAGTAGCAAAATTACAGAGATGAAGTAGCAACGAACATAATTTTATGGTTGGGAACCACCAGAACGCAAGGAGCTGTATTGAAGGGTCGCAGCTTGAAGAGGGTTGAGAACCACTGCCCCAAGAGAAGCACGCTGAGCAAAGGAAGCAGACCGGCCGCTGTTCTGCTTTGCCTACAACAGGGTCTTTCTTATGTGCGATGTCCTGAGAACAGCTCAGTTTGTTTCCACACACTGGTCCACGGAGCAGTAGAATGGTTCAGCTACTGGGGTGAATCCACCCGGTTACTACATGGGTAAGCTTCCTGTATTATCACCACCTGGTTCTTCACCAGTCAAATACGGATAATAGTAACTAGAGTTGCTGGTAAATCCAATGAAGAGTTCTAAATCTTTTAGTTTATCTCCACTTTGGAAAAAAAATGCAGCATGATGGAAAAAAAAAAGCTGATCCGAATACCTGGCCCACAGTAACTTTCTTGTTTCTCCCTCCTATAAGCAGTGATTATGTGTCTGCCACTAAAAGCAATTCAGCTTTTTTATTCAAACCATGACCTATTTAAAAGGTTTAGCCCTCTCACTGGGCGGTGGTGGCGCACGCCTTTAATCCCAGCACTCGGGAGGCAGAGGCAGGCAGATCTCTGTAGAGTTTGAGACCAGCCTGGTCTACAAGAGCTAGTTCCAGGACAGCCTCCAAAGTCACGGAGAAACCCTGTCTCTAAAAACAAAAAACAAAACAAAAACAAACAAACAAACAACAACAACAAAAAGGTTTAGTCCTCTGGTCCTCCCTTACTTCACTCATCTGCGAGCAATCTCAGATTGCTCTTATGCATGCAGCCAGCCACAGAGCCTGCTGCCCAGCCTACACAAGTCTGCATAAATACACCTGTATGCTTAGGAGGTACATGCCAGGTGCCAGCGCCCCCCAGTGGCAGTGGTGGTCCCTGCCTATGGCACTACCAGAGCCTCCACCCACTCTACTAACTGCCATTCTTGTCCCTCTGAGTCCATCCATCATTACATGGATTCTGGGGATCCAAGTTTTGGTCCACTCTTGCCTGACAAGCTTTTTACGAACTGAGTCGACTCCTTAGCTACTCTCATGACCTTGTAGCTGAGCTTGCTTGACCTCTCTGCCTCGTACTGAGGGTAGGTGTCTATTTCTAAACACCAGGCGCAGGGTTTCATTCACACCGAGTTTTCTGGGTGTGTATGCCGCCAATGACTGTGAGGGTCATGTCTTGCTCCCTGTGCAGGACAGTGACAACGACAGCTCCTAGTCTGGAGTCTGGGACACGGTAGGCACTCAAAATGTGTTGGGTGGGTGAAGGGATGAGATTGGTCAGGCTCTGATTTGGTTTCTAGAGCAAAGGTCCACACGTCTCTGGATGGCTCCTCTGAGGTCTTCAGCTTTGCTCTGCAGTGTCGTGAATGTTGTTTTCACACCAGGTCCCTCCTGAAGCATGAAAGCGACTAAATCTCGGTGAAGAAGCACACTTTTTTGGCCTTCTTTCTGGGAGGGACCCATCCTCTGGGCCAATTTTATCATCTCTAAACTCCTACTTAGACCTTCCTCTTTGACTCTTCCTAGGTGGGAGAACATGGCAGGGAGGTTCCCTGGCTCTTTGATGGGTGAAGTGTTTGGAGCCACACAACAGCATAGAGATGCCTTTAAGATGGCCCTAGGACGCGTCACCCCATCCCCCAAGCTTTGGATGCTGGGACAGTGGCTGGGGTCACATCAAGCAGCCCCTTAGGTCACCATCTCCCTTTGCTCTTTCAGGCGCAGAAAGAAAGAGGCACACTGAGGGAATGCGGCCAGCCTCAGGCGACAGCGCACCTGCCTCAGCTGCCTCAGGAAGTTGCCTAGACCAGTGGCTCCTGGATGTCTTCTCCTCACCAGCTTGCTGCTTGTGACATTTAGGACAGCACAGGTTGGTTCAACTGAGCCCTCTATGGAGTCACCACTGGAAATGGCTGTCACCTGGGCTTTGCGGCTGACGAACAACAGCTGCTGTGTGCTGTCTCTGGGTGGAGTGTTCCCAGGAAACTCAACGTTTCTGACAGCTAGTGTGTAGGAGGGGAGGGGTCCACCCAGCCAGGAGCGGAGAAACCTCAGGCCAAACTCTAGAGCCATTTGGGTCAGTGGGCTTTCATGTCCCCGCACCATCGTGACAGATAGCAGGAGACAGGATTCCGTGTGAAGCAAGCTAGCATACCTCCGTGATCAGACACACCTCAGCAGCTCCCATGACCATCTGAGGAGATGTTCAATGAGTGTCCTCCGGCAGGGCCGACACAAGGTCTCATAAAGGGTTGAGTGGTCTCATCCCAGCTGGCTCTCAGGTGCGCTTTTCTGTGTTGACGCTTACCATGAGCTTGAACTGTGCTGATGTGAATTGAGCTGAACTGCTTTGAGTCAAATCAGATGGAAATAAATTGACGTGAAAGACGGATACGTATGAATCTGG